GCTGCTGTCCTGGCCCTTGTAAGCCATGGCTGATCGCTTTGGTCAATAATGTGTTCTGGGTTCCACACCAGGCTTGGGGTGGGGCGTTGGGAGGCTTGGGAGTGTTTGTCATGTGTCCTCAGCCCCGTGGATTTGAAACAAACTCCTCCTTGCTGTGTGCTTCCAGAACCACCTGAAGTTTGTCAGTGACTGGAACATGGGCAGTATCCCCAGAGTTATGGTCAGCCTTACCCCCTCCTCCAAGAACAAGCAGAGCGCTCTATTTTTAACTATGTTATACTCTAAATGATGAAACCAGATCTTCTATTAAAAGGCAAAGATGATGGAGACTGTGCCCGTTCTTTACATGTCCTCCCCACCCCCACCAGCCCTCGGGGACGGTTGAATGACCTCGAGGGAAAGCGCATCCTGCTTTATTGGCAACTGGATGTGCCCAGCACCACACGTGTGTCGGACGCTGCTTCAGATCACGTCCCCTCTGGAAGTTTAGATGCCGTCACAGTTTCATCTCTTTAATTTCTGTTGCAACATCAGTGATGGGCGTCACGGCAGGCAGTGTAAGAAGAATAACCCTGAACTGCATCAGCTCCTCTCTGCCCTTTGGAAAGCAGAAGTTCTGTGTTCTCTGTGTGGACGTCCACCAGGAGTAAAATGTTGGCTCCACATGGTTCAGACCGGAACAGGCTGGATGGGGTGAGGGCAGGCTGAAGGCTGAGGGTTTGAGACCTCTTGAGAATGTATCCCAGCATGCATGCCAGAGGTGGAAGGATTTACAGTGTCATGGGAGACCCAGAGACCTCAGGGGTGGCTCTCTTCTCCCTCGGGAATTGCTTAGGCATCAGGAAGCCTCGTAGCAGTTTATTACATATGATGTTGGCTGTCCTGGGGCTCAGATTATTTAGGAATTTCCTCTCCCCCTCTGCCTCCCTTCCTCCCCTCACTCTGAAAATAGAGCAAGATGGCTGACAACAGGTTGACAGCGGGTTTAGTCCTGAAGGCTCTGGTCCATATCTCCGATGGGCTAAGAGGGTGCTGGGTTATTTCATTTTCTTTTGGAATTGCTGATGGACGCCGGGCCCTGCACACACTGGACTACCCTTCCTGGTGCTGCGGCATCACGGGCTGTGGACCATGGCCCTGCACCTCCCAGCACACGTCCTCCGCCCCTTTGGCTTATTCTCTGCCCCGAGGCCCTACTGTGCAGGGAGCGCTCAGCACCGTGAGGGACTGGGTTGGAGACGCTGTTTCTAGCTGTGGCTCGGTTTTCCTCATCTCCCTAGGAAGGGAGGTCTCTCACTCTCACCTACAGCCTCTCCCGTTGTACAGCACAGCTCCGTGAGCACTCCAAACGGGAGCACTCCAAACAGAGGCACTCATTCTGACTGCGCTCGTCAAGATTGCTCATACGCTGTTTCTTCCTCCTGGCTGTACTTTCCTCCCAGTGTCTCTGCCTTCAGCACCCTGAGGAGCACTGGCCATTGTCAGTCTCATGCTGACCATGACATGATGATGCATTTGGGACTCACACAATGTATTTACATAATGGACTTGGCAGGGTTAGAGCTGAGGTCTCTAACTCACAAATTCTTTCACACTAGCAGGACACATGGATATTCAGGCAGCCTGAGTCACAGTCCTTAGGCCCAGGAGGGGGGCCCTGTTCTGTTGCGGCTCATGTTCCTGGAAGGACTCCTGTCCCCGCCTGTGTTCTGTCTTCATGAGAGGGAACTCAGGGAGAAGCCATTCTTGGTTTGGTTTGGCTTTTCAAGACAGGGTTTCTCTCTTTAATGTTGGAGCCTGTTCTGGAACTCACTCTATATACCAGGCTGGCCTCGAACTCAAAGATCCGCTTGTCGATGCCTCCAAGTGCTGGGATTAAAGGTGCTACTCCTGTTTAAACACTCCTTTGCTTCCCTGTCTGATAGGTTCTACCTGATGGGACAGAGAGGCTAGTGAGGGTTCTGCTGGGAAGGTGACAGGTGATACAGAGGCCTTTGGAAACTCTGGGCGTTTTTTTCCACCATCCCCTTGCTGGGTGTCTGTCTGTCCCTTCCCCAGTTCTCTGTGTCAGGAATAAACTTGTGGAACCCCTGCTTGCAGTGGGACATTGCCAGGCTTGACCCCACATCCTTCCCCTGGTAGCAGCTAAGCCTCCTAGCCGGGCAGCAAGGTGACAGCCTGCGATGACCCTTGTCCCACAGTGGCCCTGGACTGCAGGAAATGCTTCTTCCTCCTAAAAGCTGAGGCGCTGGCTTCACCCTGTCCAGGAGAGAAGGGCGCTCGCTGCTCACTGTCATCTGCCATGACGGTACACCATGGTTACACAGAAAAGCTAGTTAATCACGGGACTCTAAGCAGCCCCTTGCTGTCTGAAGCTCTGAAAGCTTAGCGCATTCGGAGGGCTAAGAAGATACCCAAAGATAGCAAAGCTATGTGTTGCTTCTGGTGTGTTCATTTTTATTTTGAAGACAGTTGTTGCTACAAAGGAGAGAGAAAGCAGATATTGCTGTAGAATTTGTCGACGCGCCAAAGCACAAAAGACTGAATTGGGAGCTGCCTGTGCCCCGACAGCCCTGATTTTACAAATCTAACCTGCTCTTCTTCCAGCCTTAGACACAGCGCAGTGGGCTGCCAGAGGCCTGCCGAGCCTGGGAAACAGCAGCTGTGGTCGGGGCACTTCCGGGCAGGCCCATAGCCCCGGCTGTCCTGTGTGTGCGAATGAGGGCTCGTCCCTGACACTCGTCTGTCACCCAGGAAGGGCTCGGCAAATGTCTACAGGGGGAGGTAACTTGGTGTAGGTTCCGAAAATAATCTCAAATGGCACATTTAAATGAATTTACTCTTGGGGCAGGGTGCACACATGCTGTGGTGTGGATGTGACGATCCGAGGACAACTTTCAACAGCCATTCTCTTCTTTCACACGGCCTACTGTCCTGAGTGCTGTGACCAGACGCTTAGCAGTCCTCGGTGACTTTTTGGTTTGGTTTGGTTTTTCAAGATAGGGTTTCTCTGTGTAGCTTTGGAGGCTGTCCTGGAACTAGCTCTTGTAGACCAGGCTGGCCTCCAACTCACAGAGATCCACCTGCCTCTGCCTCCTGAGTGCTGGGATCAAAGGCGTGCGCCACCACTGCCGGCTACCAGGGTGGTTTTTAAATGCTGCTTCTAGTCCCTTGGTGTAGAAGCTGGCAGGGAGAACGTACACCCTCCACACAGTCCCTGAGCTGCCGCAGTCAGGTGGGCTGGCCACCCTCTGTCCCCCTCCAAGCAGTCCTTCCTCTGGTATTCCCTTTTATCAGACACCAAAAGAACCTCGCCCAGACAGCCCTGCGATTCCCTGCTTCTGGCGTCTGAGGCTTCCCAGCTCACCCTCCTGGCTGTCCTCTCTAGGCCCCGCTGGTGGACTGCTTCTCTGTTCCTCACTGGGGCAAAGGGCATAAGACAAAAAAGTTGTTCAGGTTGTCCAAGGGTCGGAGGGCAGATTCTGTGCAAACCAAGAGCCATTTCCTACTTCCAGGGAAAAGAGAATTGCTACCCTCTGCTTCCAGGGGACAAGGCCCTCTGAGCTGGAAGAGGCTCCAGCCTTGGCATCGTTGCTGAGGGCCCCCTTGGGGCCTGGCTGCATTTTACTGAGCTGTGTGGTTCCTAGTCTGCTCAGCCCCCACAGGTGCTATGGCTTCACGTGAGCTGCCCATCACAGCCTAGAGCTGCAGGCTGGGATCACGAGCGAGCATACTGCCACTAAAGTCACAGGAAGAGAGGACCTGGAGCACCCTGGGAACAAGTTCTGGAACTTGTTTCGGGGAGCGGGCTGGACTCAAACTCACAGAGATCCTGCCTCTGCCTCCCAAGTGCTGGGATTAAAGGCGTGCGCCACCAACACCCGGCTATTTTTTTTAAATTTTATGTGAGTGTTTTGTCTTCACGTTCAGGGCAAAAGAGGGCATCAGATTCCCTGGAACTGGAGTGACAGACAGTTGTGAGTTGCCATGTGGGTGCTGGGATTGAACCCCGGGTCCTCCGAGCAGCCAGTGTGCTCTTAACTGCTGAGACATCTCTCCAGCTCCTAGTTATTAAGGCAGGGATTCATGTAGCTCCAGCTGGTGACCTTGAACTACTGAATTTCAAGCATCACCACACTGTGTTTATGCCATGTTGGGCACTGCACTCAAGGCCTCATAAAGGTTGGGCGGGCACGCTATGAACTGAGTCTGCATCCCCAGCAGAGCAGTGCCAAACAGGGGGACTGATAATACATTTAACTCCACATACTCAAACTCTCATTGCAGCACGCCATTGATAATAATGTGAAAGAGAGATTGAGATCTGCCAGGCATTGGTGGCGCACGCCTTTAATCCCAGCACTCAGGAGGCAGAGGCAGGCGGATCTCTGTGAGTTTGAGGCCAGCCTGGTCTACAAAGCGAGTTCCAGGACAGCTAGAGCTGTTGTTACACAGAGAAACCCTGTGTGTGGGGGGAGATTTTGTACGTGGTCAGTTTAGGCATGTTGAAACACTCAGCAGCCACAAAGCTGGTGGCCCCAGTGTGCAGCATTGCCAATAGGGCCAGGAACGCAGAGTCACAGCTCTCTCCAGTCCCTATCCTTTCTCCTGTGATTTATCCTTGGGACCACGGCTGCCCATCTGAGCAGGGGACCCCCTGCTACGAGGATTCACTTCAGCACCCCGGAATCTTCCTGCCTGCTCTGCCCAGCCCTCAGCTGGGGGCCGTCTGATGTGACCTGACAATCACATCAGGGAGTCAGCTCTTGTTTTTTCTTGCAGTGAGTCAATTAGCCCTTGAGCCTTGGTACACACACCCTGACCCACAGTGCTCATCTGTTGCCTGGAGGGCTTCCGTAGGGGAGCGAAGCTCTTGGCACGGACCATCTGTGGTCTGGGTACTTTCCACCACCCCACTCACCCCCCACAGCCACTGCATCCTGGGAAGGGCCCTGTCTCCACGGTGAAGGCAGCTGTGTGGACACAGGTCTGCGAGAAAGGTGGTAGTTAGCTCAGACTCTGGGCCACGCAGTCGCTTAAGTGGTCCCTTGTGTGACAAGCTGATAGCAGGAGGGGATATTAGTGTTTAGAAGGAAATTGTCACAGGGATAAAGGGGGCGGGGCCTGAGACAGGCTGAGTGGCTTGCATCCCTGGTGCCAGCCAGCTCACAAATCATGTGCCTACAGTAGAGGATGTTGTAGGCCCCCCCTGTTCCCTGGGCCGTTTGCTCCGGCAGGGCCTCCTGTCCTGTGGGCTTCTTCACCTCCGTGACTACTACCAACCTCTTCAGGAACAGGAAACTGAATCTTCCTCTCCAGTTCAGTGGCCAGATTCAGTAGCTTCTCCGTGAGATGCAGCCAAAACCCGGTTGGGGCTCTTCCGTTGCCCTGAGGCCCTGCTAGAAACAGGAGTCGACTTGGCACTTGCTGGGAGGAAAAAGCCACTAAATCAGGGTGGTCACCCGACACTCAGTCTGACTTGGCAGAAACCACAAGGGCCACTCAGTGGTCTTTCTACCAGGAAACCAGACAGGGTACCATGGACTTCTCGATGACCTTGGCTGAGGCTTAACTGCTGACCAATTCTGGTAGTGACTGAGAAAGGGGTGCGGTGGGTAGCCTGGCTTCTCTAGAGGGTCCTAGCCATGCATGGAGCTGTAGGGCCCCTGGGGAACCAGTTGGGCCGCACCTACATTTTAAAATACTAGGTGCGAGCAGTTGCGGCGGCTCACACCTGTAATCGCAGCACTTGAGAGGCTGAGGCAGGAAGGTTGATTGCCAGCTTGGGTTATATAGCAAGAGCTTATCTCAAATGAAAAAAAAAAAAGTTGGTTGCATGATGTGAATGTCTCCCAGCTGCCCTGTGGGAGCCAGAGCAAGGCCCCAAGTGGCCCCACCTCTCTTAGCCGGCCAAGTTATGGGTAGGGGCCAGGACTGATAGAGGACCTCTGTGCAAGAAAGGGGCCCAGATATTGGCTAACTCCAGCTAGGACCCGCAGAGCCAGCGCCTGCCTATGTGCTTAGCTCGGTCTGTTTCGCCTCGCTCCGGCCAGGCCATTTCCCCACCTGGGTGTGATCCTTGCTCTTTAGCTGGGCGTGTGGGTGTAACAAGTCCAAACCTCCGTGGGAGTCGCTCGGGCGCCCCGCCCCTGGGCTGTGCCCTCTCCTCCCAGACTGGTTGTGCCGGAGCCGGCTGCGCACGTCGGGGCGGGCGCTGGGGCATGCGCGGGCCGAGCCCGGCCAGGACACCACACCTGCAGGGAGGGGCCTCCCAGAAACTGCCATCCCTGACCGCCTCCCTGCCTCTCCAGAGCCCGGCTAGCAGCCAGCGAGGACGCGCGTCGCCTTCCCGCCCTCCTCCCAGGAGAGCCCAGCCTGAGCCGGCACCTGCTTCACCACCATGTTCAAGGGGCTGAGCAAAGGCTCCCAGGGGAAGGGGTCCCCCAAGGGCTCCCCAGTCAAGGGGTCCCCCAAGGGCTCCCCCAACAAGCACAATCGGTGAGCGGGGCCGTGGGTAGCGGGGCCGTGGGTAGCGGGGCTGGGGTCAGAGTGGTGCAGGGCCCAAGTGTTAACAGCTACCTGGGAGCCCAGTTCTGGCATTTGGGTCTCCTGAGGCAAGGGCCCAAGGGTGGACACTCTCCAGGCCAGGCTGAGCAAGGGATGGATAGCCTGCTGCTGCCCACATTCTCCTGAGGGGCGGGGGAGGGATTGCACAGGTGGAGAGTGGCCTTGCGGAGATGCGGGACAAGGTGACTGGGAACGGCAGAGTCCGGCTCCCACTCAACTGTCGTTGTCCACTTGGATTGGGTAGGTCTTGGAGCGTGGGCACAGGGTGGGCAGGACCAAGAGGCTCAAGAGAAGGGTTTCTGGCCGGGCGTTGGTGGCGCACGCCTTTAATTCCAGCACTCGGGAAGGCAGAGGCAGGTGGATCTCTGTGAGTTCGAGGCCAGCCTGGTCTACAAAGTGAGTTCCAGGACAGCCTCCAAAACAATACAGAGAAACCCTGTCTCAAAAAACCAAAAAAAAAAAAAAAAGAGAGAAGGGTTTCTGGGCTGACCCACACCCCACACCTAACACGACTTTCCCCCAGGTTCCAAGCCTGGGTCTTGGCTGTGAAGAGTCAGGAGGCCCTTTTCATGGGGTGAGAGGAGGTGGTGCCATACCCTGGTCACCGTCTGCAGAGAGACTTGGCCATGATCTTCCCGCTCACCGGTCTCAAGCCCTCTGTAGGAGGAGGTAGCAGCCTGCCTGGAGTCAGGTGTTGGGGTGCAGAGGTGTCAAGATAAGATGAAAGGCTGAGGTCTGGGTACCCATTACCTCGATAGGGATCAGGGTGCCAACCCAGAGGCTGGGCATCTGGGCGGACAGGAAAGACAGTGGTTAAGACTCTCGCTGGACTGACCTGTCACCCTGAGGCGCTGATCCCAGCCCAGGGTGGAGCGCACAGTTCCCAGTGGAAGTGTTTCTATTGGGAGGCCCAACCTGAAGCTGGACTCTCCCTGGAGTCCCAGAAGCCTTGCTTCCCGGACTCTCCTGCAGCTCTATTCATGCATCCCCCTGAGGGCTCCTTGTTCCCTCAGAGGTGCCCACTCTTCAGATCTTCTTTATTGGGGGCCTGTGGTGTACCAGGACTGCCCTAGGCCCCGGGGATGCCCTGCAAGAGAAACAGGGATGGCTCTACCTTCGAGGTGCCCATATCAGTACAATAAAAATTAGCTGGGTTGTGGTGGCGCACGCCTTTAATCCCAGCACTCAGGAGGCAGAGGCAGGCGGATCTGTGAGCTGGAGGCCAGCCTCTAACTACATAGTGAGTTCCAGGACAGCTAGGGTTACACAATAAAATCCTGTTTCAGAGAGAAAAAAAAAAGAATGCAGCTGGAGAGACGACTCAGTGGTTAAGAGCACTGACTTCTCTTCCAGAGGACCTGGGTTTGAGTCCCAGCTTCCACGTTGACATTGACAGCTGTCTGTAACTTCAGTCCAGAGAGTCCTCGGCTGGTCCCCACTGACACCAGGCATGCACCAGGCATGCACACGGCGCACAGATGCAGGCAAAACATCCATTCACATAAAAACAAAATGATATGTACTGGGTGCTGACTGTGAGGCTCTGAAGTTCGGAGCTTCTCACGGCTTAATTCTTCAAATACCTAAGCGAGCTCTGTGTTCAGGGCCAGGCATGGTGAGTTCCAGGCCAGCCTGGGCTACAGAGTAAGACTTGGTTGCTGTGGGTGCTTGTTGTTGGGTTTTTAGGACTAAAAATAATATAATAATGGTAATAAGTAAAGCCAGATGTGGTAGCGTGTGCCTGTGAATTCAGCACCTCAGGAGGTGAAGGCAGATGACCAAGACAACTGTGATTATGTACCAAGTACTAGCACGGAGGACCAAATGCGGGCATTCTTGGCCATAGACTTTGGGAACGGCCATGTTTTCACTGGCCCTGTCCTTCGAGAGTCCAGGTGCATCTCAGGTAACACTTCCGGGTCACCTGGACTCTGACTCCTGATGGATGGCCTTTCCAAGTCTGTCTGATTCTCTCCCTTGGAGTGCAAGCACACAGTAGGAGCTCTGCAGAGCTGGGCACACAGTAGGAGCTGTGTCTGGGGAAGAAGCCTGGGGGGCTAGCTGGTGTGTGGTAAAGAGCATAGCGGGACAGAGAGAGGGGGGCCAGGCTCTGAACCCCAAATCAACAGGAGGATATCGGGGTACCCCAACCATCTCTTGGCCCCTCCCTGCTCCAACACTGTTCCTCCAGGGAGTCACTAATGTCTCCATACTGCTGAAGCCCCGTGTGCAGGAAGAATGGTGGGGGCAGGAAGGCTGGAATGGGGAGCAGTTGGGTGGGGAGATATGCCACTACTCCCTTCTGTCACTCAGCCCAGCCTTCTAAAGCCAGCCAGGCTGTCTTAGGTAATTTACTTTCTCCCTGAGCCACCTCCCTACTCACCCCAAGAAGCAGGCGGGTCGTTGGGCAGGGTTTGAAGTAACTGACGCATACGTGCTGTGTAGTCGCACACAGCCCTGGACTGTCACTTTGCAAGCCCTCTGCAGGGGACAGTACCTTCACCCTCATCTAAGACTGAGCGCTTCAGAGCTCTGACCAAGGACTCTTCCCAGAGAGAGGGTCCCACATGGCAGGCTCGGAGGGCCTTTCCTTAATGCTGTCCTCTGTCCCCGGCCATCCTCCAGAGCTGCAACCCAGGAACTGGCCCTGCTCATCTCCCGCATGCAAGCCAACGCTGACCAGGTGGAGAGGGACATTTTGGAGACTCAGAAGAGATTGCAACAAGTAAGGACCCTGCAACTGGGGGGGCAGGGAGAGGGATAGGGATGGGGCGGGGGACAGAGGCCCAGAATCGATGCCTGGGAGTCCCCAGAAGGCCTTCTGTGAGGAGGGATAGACAGCCTAGTCCTCAGCTGTCCACAGCCCACCCCAGTCTCAGGGAGGGCCCAGCTTTCTTTTTTTTTTTTTTTTTTTTTTTTTTTTCGAGACAGGGTTTCTCTGTGGCTTTGAAGGCTGTCCTGGAACTCACTTTGTAGACCAGGCTGGCCTCGAACTCACAGAGATCCGCCTGCCTCTGCCTCCCAAGTGCTGGGATTAAAGGCGTGAGCCACCAACGCCCGGCCCCCAGCTTTCTTTCTGTATCATGCTCCGTACTTTGGGAATAAAATAAAACCTGACCCAGGTGTCCTTGCCACCTGCCACACAGATGTCCTAGCCCTCTGCTTGGTGGTCCGCAAAGCAGGCTGGTACAGGGTCCCAGGGCCAGGGTGGAGGGGGTCAGCCCGGCAGGAGTCTGCATGGCTCCCCGTCTCGCACCAGGACCGGCAGAATGGTGAGCAGAACCAGGCTTTGCAGCACCAGCAGGAGACCGGCCGCAGCCTGAAGGAGGCCGAGGTGCTGCTCAAGGATCTTTTCCTGGATGTGGACAAGGCCCGGCGGCTCAAGCATCCTCAGGCTGAGGAGATTGAGAAGGAGTAAGTGAGCTGGGGCTCACCATGGAGGCGCGGGCTCGCGGGGCTAGGGCTCGCAGGGGCGGGGGCGGGACGGGGCGGGGCGTAACGGGGGAGGAGGAAGCTGGGGTCCCCGGAGAACCCAGCCCAGCTCTGACCTGGTGGCTCCTCCGTGGCAGCATCAAGCAACTGCACGAACGGGTGACCCAGGAGTGTGCGGAGTACCGCTCCCTGTATGAGAAGATGGTATTGCCGCCGGATGTGGGGCCCAGGGTTGACTGGGCGCGTGTGTTGGAGCAGAAACAGGTTAGGGGCGCCTGAGTATCAACTCATTCTCGAGGGGCTTAAAACCACCCCCAGTGCAGTCAGAGAGCAAGATTAGCAAGACCAGATGTGTTTACTGGGGCTTTGAATTTGAACACGGGGCTAGGTAGCTCCGGGAGCCAGGAGGGGAGCTGGCAGGGCAGACAGTGTAGCCGGGAAGGCTTCCTGCAGAAGGTACTGGAAGGTGGGAGGACTTGGCTGGGTCACAGTGAAGCGTGAGGACCTCCCAGGAAGGCATAGAGACTCCTTCGGGAGGAGTGCGGCAGGATGGGCGGTGGACGTACCAAGCCTTGATACATCGTAAAGACAACCAGGGACCGTGGGGAGGGGCAGGTCCTGGGTTTGGCTGTCCATGTCCAGGCAGCATTTGCTGAGGTTTGGGCTCCAGGTAACATGGGAGTATAGTGTGAGACCAGAGTTCTGAGAACCATGGGACTCAGAGCCTTAGTCCTCATGGCCACATGAGGATGGCGTGTCCCTACTGTGGGGAACAGCTGCCCTCCTCACCCAGGCTGCTCACCCGGCCCGTCCACTCTGTCTAATTCTGCTTCTGCTGCGGGAAGGGCGCAGGTGGCTGTTGGGGGTGGGGTGGGGAATTGTCCTCTGGGCCGGAGACCCAGGCCTTCCTGGTGTTCCCGCAGAAGCTGGTCTCTGAGGGCCAGTATGGGCCTGGGATGGCAGAGCTGGAACAGCAGGTGGCCGAGCATAACATCCTGCAGAGAGAGATCGAGGCTTACGGGCAGCAGCTCCGGACCCTGGTGGGGCCGGTAAGTGAATCCCTGTCCAGCCTCGGTGCGGGTCTCCCTTTCTTCCATCACGGGCCGGGCTGGGTCTGCCGGCCTTCACGGGAGAGATGCTGACGGGGAACAGCCCATATGCAGGGGGCCATCCCACCACACCCTGCTTTTCTCTCCTCGGTTGAGACAGGATGCAGCCACCATCAGGAACCAGTACCGTGACCTACTGGTGAGCTGGGAGGCGGGCTGGGCCTGGGCGCTGCGGCGGGACCTCTTTGCCTGGACCCTCCCTGGGGTCACTGTTGCTAATGGCACTGATGCCATCTCTTGCCACCTCCTTCCCTCCTGAGCACAGAAGGCGGCCTCCTGGCGCCGACAGAGCCTGGGCAGCTTGTACACACACCTGCAGGGCTGCACCCGGCAGCTGAGCGCCCTGGCGGAGCAGCAAGGCCGCATCCTGCAGCAGGATTGGAGCGACCTCATGCCTGACCCCACTGGTGTGAGGCGCGAGTACGAGGTCTGTGGGGACAGGCCCAGGCAGTGTGTGGGGGGTGTCTGGGGCTATCTCATGGCTCACGGCTGACCCCACTTCGATCGCCCCTAGCACTTTAAGCAGCACGAACTGCTGGCCCAGGAGCAGAGTATTAACCAGCTGGAGGATGACGCAGAGCGCATGATGGAACTCGGGCACCCAGCCATCCGGCCCATCCAGGTGTGGAGGCCCCGCCCATGCCCCCAACCCTGCGCTCCCCAAACAGGAAGCTGGTGGGCGTGGCAGGGTTCCCGCGCTCACTCCCCCCCCCTGCTGTGCTCCAGGTCCACCAGGAGGCCCTCAAAATGGAGTGGCAGAATTTCCTGAACCTTTGCATCTGCCAGGAGAGCCAGCTACAGCGTGTGGAGGACTACCGCAAGGTGAGCCCCGGGCTGGGGAGCCAGGGTGGCGGCTGCCGGAGAGGGGGCTTGAGGGCAGCACAGACTACAGGGGCCGTCAGAAAGACAGAACTGTGGCGCTGTGTGCCTCGGTCGCCGTGGGGGGAATAATATCAAGACTACGTTCTTCAACAGAGCGGCTTCACCCCAGCGAGCTCATTTTCTAATTTCTAAAAAATAACTGTTTTGGGGGACAGAATCTTATGTACGTTGGCTTCAAACTCTCTCTATGGCTGAGGGTGGCCATGCACTTGTGATCCTCTTAAGACATTGAGACGTGCACCTCGTTTATGTGGTGCCGGGGACTGAACCCAGGGCCTTGTAGACACCCTACTGACCGAGCTGTGCCTCTGCCCTGGCTTGTTTTTCCTCTTCTTCTTCTTCTTCTTCTTCTTCTCCTTCTCCTTCTCCTTCTCCTTCTCCTTCTCCTTCTCCTTCTCCTTCTCCTTCTCCTTCTTCTTCTTCTGTTTTTGTTTTTTTTTTTTTTGGTTTTTCGAGACAGGGTTTCTCTGTGGCTTTGGATGCTGTCCTGGAACTCGATCTGTAGACCAGGCTGGCCTCGAACTCACAGAGATCCGCCTGTCTCTGCCTCCCGAGTGCTGGGATCGAAGGCGTGCGCCACCACTGCCCAGCTTTTTTTTTTCCCATGTATTTTACACACGTATGTCTGAGTCTGAATACATGAGTGCAGGTGCCTGGGGGAGGCAGAGGCAGGCGGATCTCTGTCAGTTCCAGGACAGCCTGGTCTACCTTGCAAGTTCAAGGCTAACCAAGGCTACATGGCAAGACCCTGTCTCAAAAAAATTAAGAGTACCTGGGTGGTGATGTCACACGCCTTTAATCCCAACACTTGGGGGGCAGAGGCAGGTGGATCTCTGTGAGTTCAAAACTAGCCTGGTCTACAGAGCGAGTTCTAGGACAGCCAAGGCCACACAAAGAAATCCTGTCTCAAGAAGACAAATAAAAATAATAAAATAACATATGGGATCTAGTGTGGTGGCAGTGGCTGAAAGGGTACCCCTATATCCTAGCACTGGGGAGCAGAGAACAGGAGGATGACAAGCTAGAGCCTAGCCTGTGCTACTTATCGAGACCCTATCTCAAAATTTAAAAAAAAAAGAGGAAGAAGAAGATAAATAGCTGGGCTGAGGTTCAGTGGCAGAGGACTTGGCTGGCATGCCCCAGACCCCTGAGTACAAAAGACAGCAGGTTATCTTATGACATACTAGAAGTATTAGCAACAAACCAAAAATGCCCCATTTGTGGACTCTCCCTTTTAAACTTGCCCCAGTGCCTGGGTGGACGTAGCTGGCCTTTGTTTAACTGGTTGAGAGTTAACCTGTTTTGTTTTTTAAGCTGGTTTGGGTGTAGCTGTCTGAGTGTAGCTGGCCTGGGTTCAGCCTGACTGGAATTTTATCCTAGCATGAGTTCAGCCTGGTGAGTGGTCCAGCCACTTTGCAGGGTCATTGGGTAGCAGGTTTGCCCCCGGCTCTGTCCTTGACTACCCGGTCACCCTAGTTTCAGGAAGAGGCAGACTCGGTCAACCAGACCCTGGCAAAGCTCAACTCCAACCTGAACACCAAGTACGGCCACGTCACTGGGGACGCCTCTGGCTCCGCCACAGAGCTCCTGCTGCAGCTGGAGGTGAGATGGCCCCACCCAGCCCCACGGGAACATCTGCACCCTACCTCTGGGCACGGAGCTGTCTCCAGAAGAGGTTCCCAGTTCAGTCCCCAGGAGAAGGGCTGCCCCAGCAGAAGCCCTGACCCTCCTACACCTCAGTGTTCCATCTATAATGTGACCCAGAAGCCTGGGAGAGCTCTGAGGACCCTGCAGCTTCCCCTCTGGAGGCCTGTGTGATACTAGCCGGCATCCTTACCCTCCATCCATCCACAGCCAGTCTGATTTAGACTTCCTCCCTGATGAAGGCCACACCCCTCATGAGAGATGGAAACGAGGCAGGTGGCCTCCGTTTCGGCCTGGTCTGAACTCCTGCTGCCTGGGTCCCCAACAGGCAGAGGAGAAGCAGCTGGCCATGACGGAGAGGGCCATTGGGGAGCTGCAGCAGCAAAGCCGGAAGGTGACCCCACTGCCGCTGCGTAGGAACCCTCCCAAGCAGGCCCTGCACGTGGACAGCATCTGTGACTGGGACTCGGGAGAAGTACGAGTGTGCTCCACCTGCCCTCCTCACCCTCCCCAGTCTCTGCACCCCCACCCCACCCCGCCCCTCCCTCTTCCTCGCTCCTTCCCTGACCCAGCCCCACCCCTCGCCAATCTGTCCCACCTCTGATCTGTCCCTGTCCTTACCCCAGCCTCTCCCACCTCTCCTCTTAGCTCCTATTCCCGCTGCTGTCCCCACCCAAGCCTGTCCCCAGCCACCTCTCCGGCTCCTATCCTTGATCCCACACGAGCCCCTCTCCATCTGTCCCTCAGGTGCAGCTGCTTCGGGGAGAGCAGTACACTCTCAAGGACAATGCTGACCCGTATACATGGGTGGTCCAGGGCCCTGGGGGAGAGACCAAGAGCGCCCCTGCTGCCTGCCTCTGTATCCCTGCACCAGACCCGGAAGCTGTAGCAACGGCCTCCAGGTCGCTCACCCCAAGATGCCCACAGGCACCAAGGCCAATGCTTTCCTTTGAGGCGGTGTGTGCTGGGGATGGGCTGGGAGAGAGACACGCCTCTCTCGTCTCCTCATTCCAGACTGGGCGTAGAGCTGCAGACCCTGAAGCAGAAAGTGTCTACGGTGAAGAGCCGCCTTAAGGCCACTGTGGCGGAGCCGTTACAGCCTGGTCAGCAGGGTACCAGAGGATGGCCAAGGGGGGGCTGACGCGGGGGCCACGGTGGGTGGGTGGGTGGGTGGGCTGTACTCCATCTCTAGGACTATCCCTCCCTCGGTTAGGCCCAGCCCATCCTCCACACCCTGCAGACGCCCAGGGAGAGCCCATTTTAGGCAGACATAGGTGAACCTGGACCCTTTACGGTCGCGTCTGCCCCCAGCTCCAGCAGGCTCAGCCCCAGCTGACCCCCAGGCTCAGAAACTCCTGACACGAATGACGCAGCTGGACGGGGACCTGGGGACCATCGAGAAACAGGTGCTGACCTGGGCTCGGACACCGCTGAACCGATCTGCTCCACTGGCAGACCTGGAGGACCGCATCCGCAGCCATGAGGTTAGTGAGCAGAGAGAGGCCTGGGACAAGAAAGGGCGCAGACTCAGAAAGCAGCGTTCCCACACATCCCGGTCCTTCCACAGCAGGCTCCCGTCACCATGGAAGCGTCACTCCCCTCAGCTCTGGTTTTCTCCCATCTGGGGTGGTCCCCAGATCCTCGGGGCGTCCTGCGGGTAAAAGTGTGACCACACCTGGCCAGAGTAGAGGCCCCACACGTGGACACTCCTCTAGTGAGAGCTGCAGTACAGCAGGGAAGCCTGGGATAGCCGTAGGGAGAGATTTCTCAGCACCACAGAGAAAGCCTACCTGAAGGGATGGGAAGACGGTCCTGTGTCAGTCAGTGACGGCTGTGTTCTCTGACGCATGAACCCAGCAGCCTGGAAGAGGCCTGGCTAGAAGTCCAAGCATTCTAGTCAGCCTTCCAAACCGGTTGCTGTTCAAATACAGCATACCATTAGTGTTTGGTTTTGTTTTGTTTTGTGTTTTAGTGTGAACCATGTTCATTTACATTGTTGTATAACCTGTTCTGGTCTATCTGCTGCACAGGTTGGGTAGAGGGTGGCAACAGCTCAGCCCCACTGGGGAGTAGGGGAGAGGCTTCCCCAGGGCGGGGGATATGAGGTCAGGGGCCACGTGTGCACGCTCTGGCTTGGGGTGGGGGTGGGGGTCTCAGTGCTCATCGGAGGGTCTCACACATGGGACATTTGTAGAGGGAAGGGTATGGGTACAGGGCATCGGAGGCTGATAGCTGACCCTGCTACGCCAAATAGGTCTGTGGGGCTTTTTGTTTGTTTCCTTGTTTTGAGACAGGGTCTCCCTTTGCGTCCCAAACTGGCCTCAAACTCTCGGGCCCCCCCCCACCTCAGCCTCCCGAGTGCCGGGATCATGGCCATGAGCCACCACGTCCCGTGGTCCTTTGGTTTTTGATGTTAACTGCCACATCAGAGGTGTCAGCAAGACCTCTGAAGCCCGGGTCAAAGGTCAGCCTTGTGGGGTAGGTGAATAGACTGTGATGACAGCTCAGAAGCCCCAGGGAAGGCGAGCCAGGGCTCTGCCCACCCAGCCTGAAAGTACAGCAAGCTAGAGGGCCCGACAGGGAGCCATAGTGACAGTGCCAACCGAAGGCCGAACGTGCCTGCCCGGTTCTCGTCGCTAAGCGTCTAATACACGGGATCTCACGTCATCGCCCAACCCATCACTCTCCATGAAGACATGGGAGGGGGTGAGAAAGGCTGGTCCAGCCCTAAGCTATCCATCCACTTGGGGACTGGAACAGGCAGGTCTGGCCTCCAACTGCACCCCGCCTTCAGCACACGCTTAAGGTCAGGTGAGCCAGGGATCTCCAGCTGTGTCCCCCGCCCGCTCCCTCCCTGACCCAGGCCACGGCACAGCACCTTCAGAGCCTGGGAGCCGAAAAGGAAGCAGCCCAGCAGGAGTGTGAGGCCTTTCTGTCTACGAAGCCTGTGGGCCCAGCGGCCCTGCAGCTGCCCGTGGTCCTCAACAATGTCAAGAATAAGGGCAACGACGTGCGGACTCTGTGCTGCCTCTACGGGGAGAAGTGCGTGCTCAGGCGGGGGTGTCTGGAGGGCGCAGGGTGTATGGCTGAGGTAGCTGACTGTCGCTCCCCACTGCAGAGCCAAAGCTGCTCTGGGCCTGGAGCAGCAGATCCGGGAGGCAGACAGGGTCATCCGAGGCTTTGAGGCTGCCCTGGCGCAGGAGGGCCCCATCCCCGAAGGCTCTGCGGCACTGCAGGAGAGAGTCGGTGAGCTGCAGGTAGGCTCAGCGGCAGCTTCCTGGTGGAAGGGGCAGGCGAGGAGTACTCTGGCTGTCCCAAGGAGGCTGGAGCACTGTCCCTTCTGCCCCCCCCCCCCAGCACCAGCGGAAAGAGCTCCTCCAGCAACAGGCCTGTGTGCTGGGGCTGCACCGCCGGCTGAAGGCTGCCGAGCACGCGTGCGGTGCCCTGCAGAGCAACTTCGGAGAGTTCTGCCAGGACCTGCCGAGCCAGCAGCGCCGGGTACGCAGCCTCACTGACCGCTACCACGCCGTGGGGGACCAGCTGGATTGGAGGTGAGGAGGATGAGGGGGAGCACAGGCCCTGCTGCTGAGCTGGTGACAACCTCTCTGAGGTGGTCTCCTCGCCTCTAAAATGTCGTCTCCTCGCCTCTAAAATGTCTTCTTGCCCTGACCCGTGCCAGGCAGGCACAGTTCATCGTGTCTCTGAGAGAGGACCCACACGGCCTGTCGCTCAGGCCTTCTGCTTTGTCTCAGGATGGAGGCACAGACTCCTCTGTGGACCCCCTCCCCCAAGTCTGTGCACCCCCCCAGTCCTTCCCTGGAGGCTAACTCTCACTCCTGCGTGGGACACCTTGTCCTCTGGCAGGGAGAAGACCCTACAAGATGCCAGGCTCACCTACCAGCAGCTCACAAATGTCAGGGACAACCTGAGTTCCTGGCTGGAGCAGCTGCCCCACAACCAGGTGCAGCCCAGCGATGGGCCCAGCCAGATCGCCTACAAGCTGCAGGCTCAGAAGGTGAGGGGCCAGGGCTACAGGGCGACCTGAGTCGGGGGCTGGCCTAGAGCGGGGGCCTCTGGCTAACTGTTCTACCCAGCCACCTTTCCCAGAACAGGTGGCTGCTTGCATTCATTGAGGCCAAGCCTCAAAAGCCGGAGACCTCACAGGGGAGACCAGGAGGTTGGGGGCTCGGCCCTGCCCCCTCCAGCTCGCTCAAACAGCATTTTCCTCTGGTGGGCTTGTAGCCACCGCTGTGTGCCCTTCCTGATCCTTGTTAAGACTGCAGTCTGGAGTGGAGGGGGTGCAGGTCCACCTGTCAGGCAACCTGTCCATCCCGGCTTGGTGTGGGCGCCCCCTGGTGGACACTTGTGGGCGTGAGGACAAAAGTAACCTGAGGAAAAAGCCTTCTCTGGGGACTCTGGTCCAGAGAACTTTGTCGGGCTGTGAGGCAGGGACAGGCCACCCAGGTTCTTCTAAGCACAGGACGGAATCTGAACTTGACAGATTACAGCATTGGGAAGGATCACTTCAGGCTGTTTGAAAGTGGTCTGTGAGCCGGGCGTTGGTGGCGCTCCCCTTTAATCCAAGCTCTCGGGCGGCAGAGGCAAGAGGATCTCTGTGAGTTCGAGGCTAGCCTGCTCTACAGAGCGAGTTCCAGGACAGCCTCCAAAACAATACAGAGGCACCCTGCATACCCTTCACCCCAAAAAAGAAGTTGGAATTCTTATAGCATTGGAATGTCTATCTTGTTTTTATTTTTTTGGTTTTTATTTTTTATTTTTCAAGACAGGGCTTCTCTGTGTAGCCCTGGCTGTCCTGGAGCTCACTCTGTAGACCAGGCTGGTCTTGAACACAGAGATCCACCTGCCTCTACCTCCCAAGTACTGAGATTAAAGGTATGCACCACCACTGCCTGGTGGGTTTTTGTTTGTTTGTTTGCTTGCTTGGTTTTTGTTTTGAAGAGTCTAGATGAATCAAAGAGCATATCCAGGGTTCAAAATAGTGGGGTGAGCAGTGGGTTCCAGAGCCTGGTCCCGCCGCCCTTCAGCCCCAAACAAACACACAGAGACTTAATAATAACTATAAACTGTTTTGACCAATGCCTCAGGATTCTTATTGGCTGGCTCTCTCTTAATTATTAACCCATAAATACTAATCTATGTATTTCTTAACCTGTGAGCCATCTCTCCAGCCCATAATGTATGTATTTCTACATGGCCTTATCCTACCAAAGGACACCAGTGCGTCCCATCTTCCCCGTAGCTATGTGGCGTCTCCCTGGTACCATTGTTTTCACTTGGTACCAGCTTGTTCAGAATGCTCTTCGGGTGGTGCCCAGAGTTGCGGTCTCTCGCTGGGCAGCTGGGGCAACGGATCTTTGGCCTAGTGACACTAAAACTACAATTCGAGAGCCACTGGGCCAAGACAGGATTCCTAGGGCCATCAGACAAGAAGGTCCGAGAAGATCGGTGTCAGAGAAGCCAGGCGCCCCTGGGTCCCTTTTGCCTCTGTGTGTGCTGGCTGTTTGCGGCCCTGGAGATGCCCGCTTTTCCAGACCACAGTGACTCTCGTTTCCTCCCTGGCAGAGGCTGATGCAAGAAATCCTGGGACGTGCGCAGGACCGGGCCACAGTGTCCCGCCTCACCCGGGACCTGCAGGAAGCTCTCCAGGTGAGCCGTCTTTCCTTTGGCTTCTCCCCTGCCTCATTCCGCCAGCCTCCCTCCCTCTGCCAGCCTCATCCGACCCTCCAGGGCAGGTCTCTGGAAGTGACTCTTCTCCCTGTTCAGGACTACAAGCTGCAAGCAGATACCTACCGCTGCTCCTTGGAGCCCACCCTGGCAATGTCTGCCCCTAAGAGAGTCCGAGTGATTTCCCTGCAGGACAGCGTCCAGGCTCAGGTGAGGCGGGTTCCCAACGGGGCTTCTCATCCCCTGGCACCAGCTCTACAGTTCCTCAGGCCAGAGCTGACTCTGCTGTCCTCCTCCCACATTTTGCCGCCTCCAGGAGAAGAGCATTGCCAAGGCTTACACGGAGATGGCTGCAGCCCAGCAGCAGCAGCTGTACCAGTTGGAGTTTGCTAAAAAGATGCACGAGAAGGTACAGAGACAGCGCCCACCCTGTGCCCACACAGCCCACCTGGCCAGGCGTTGGCCCGGATGTCATCCCTTCTCCCCCGCAGCCTCCAATCCCTGAAACGAAGGCTTGGGCGTGAAGTCCTCTCCAGAAGTTCATACAGGCCTGTGCCTGTTTTGGGCAGGCCGTGGAGATGCCCTCTAGTGATTGCTTAGCCATAGGCAGTCCTCTGATGGGGACATGTCCTCTAGCCCCAAAGAACCAAGAAACGCTCCTCAGTCATCAGTGTAGGGCCCAGTCACACTGGGGACAGGCCGTCTGGGTCTCGGCTGCTGGCCGAGCAGAAGCCAAGGGCTCTCTGTGGTTCTGGTGGCTTGCCAGCTTTGCTCTTCCGGAGCCGTATTAAAGCATCTCCTGGAGAAGGTTGTGTCCGGGAGTGCGGAGGCTTAGGAGTGTCCCGTGTGTGCTGTCTACTGCAAATGGCCTGGACCCTGCCTGGTACCCAAATAGCATCTGACGGAGCTCCTCAAAATCCTGTGTCCAAGCACCCCATCTTCAGCTCCATGGCCCAGGATCGACAGGCTCAGAAAGCAGGGAGGGAGGGGTCTCTAACCTGGGGGGGATGCGGAAAAATGGGGCTCCATTCTTTACTCACCCTAGGACTCACTCTGTTTCCCCTCTCTCACTGCAGGAGCTTAGCGAGGACGTCCGAGTGACACACAGAGCAAGACAGGGCTCTGGGAGCCCAGCCCAAGCAGGGGCAGAGTCAGAGGCCTTGAAATCCCAGCTAGAGGAAGAGAGGAGGCGGGTGGCTGAGGTACAGCGGGAGCTGGAGGAGCAGAGGCAGCAGCTGCTGCAGCTGAGGACCCAGCGGCCCGTGGCGAGGCTGGAGGAGAAGGAAGTGGTGGAGTTCTACCGGGACCCCCAGCTGGAGAGTGAGGCGGCCGGAGTGTCGGCCCAGGTGGAGGAGGAGGGCAAGAGGCGGGCCCGCCTGCAGGCCGAGCTGGAGGTGGTAGCCCAGAACGTCGTCCGCTTGGAGGGCAAGAGGAAGGCCATGCAGCCTCACCTGCTGACCAAGGAGGTCACCCAAATTGAGAGGGACCCTGGCCTCGACAGCCAGGCCACCCAGCTGCAAGGCGAGATGCACCAGCTGCGTGGGAAGAACGCCGCCCTGGCGACCCGGCTGGAGGAACTGAAGGATGAGCTGCTCGCCTTGGAGCAGAAGGAGACGAGCGTGAAGGAGAGGGTGGTGGTGAGGGAGGTGGTGAAAGTGGAGAAGGATCTGGAAATGGTTAAGGCGGCCCAGGCTCTGCGGCTACAGATTGAGGAAGATGTTGCACGCAGGAAGGGGGCGGAGGAGGCGGTTGCTAAGATACAGGCTCGCATCCAAGACCTGGAGAAGGTGATCAGCTCGGTGGAGCCCAAGGTCATTGTGAAGGAGGTGAAGACGGTGGAGCAGGACCCTGGCCTCCTCAAGGAAGCCTCCAGGCTGAGAAGCCTCCTGGAGGAGGAGAAGAACAAGAATGTCGTGCTGGCCAGGGAGCTGCAGGGCCTGCAGGACAAGTACAGCGTGGTGGAGAAGCAGAGACCCAAGGTGCAGCTGCAGGAGCGCGTCAGCGAGATCTTCCAGGTGCACCCCGAAACGGAGCGAGAGATCGCACGACTCCGGGCTCAGCTGCAGGAGACGGGCGACAAGAGGCGCGGCGTGGAAAAGGAGGTGGAGAGGCTGCTGCCCGAGCTGGAGGTCCTGCGGGCCCGGAAGCCCGTGGTGGAGTGCAAGGAGGTGACCCGGGAGGTGGTGAGGCACGAGAAGAGCCCGGAGGTGCTCCGTGAGATCGACCGCCTCAAGGCTCAACTCAATGAGCTCGTTAACACCAGCGGGCGCTGCCAGGAGCAGCTCATCCGGCTGCAGGGCGAGCGTGACGAGTGGAAGCGGGAACGGTCCAAGGTGGAGACCAAGATGGTGAGCAGAGAAGTCGTGAGGCAGGAGAAAGACCCGGTGCTGGAGAAAGAGGCCGAGAGGCTCCGGCAGGAGGTGCGGGAGGCGGCCCAGAAGAGGCGAGCGGCTGAGGACGCGGTCCACGAGCTGCGGAACAAGTTCCTGCTGCTGGAGAGGCGGCGGCCCGAGGAGCAGATCGTGGTGCAGGAGGTGATGGTCACCCAGAAGGATCCAAGGTTGCACGAGGAGCACAGCCGGCTGAGCCAGAGCTTAGACGAGGAGGTGGGGCGGCGGCGGCAGCTGGAGCTGGAGGTACAGCAGCTGCGAGCCGGCGTGGAGGAGGAGGAGGCCCTGCTCAGCTTCGAGGAGGACCGCGGCAAGAAGCTGGCGGCCGAGAAGGAGCTGCGGCAGCTGACCCTGAGGATCCAGGAGCTGGAGAAGCGGCCCCCTGCCCTGCAGGAGAAGATCATCATGGAGGAAGTGGTCAAGTTAGAGAAAGACCCGGATCTGGAGAGGTCCGCAGGAGCCCTGAGGCGGGAGCTGGACCAGGAGAAGAGCCGGGTGATGGAGCTGCACCGCCAGTGCAAGGGCCTGCAGGTGCAGGTTGACCTCCTCCAGAAAACGAAATCCCAGGAGAAGACCATCTACAAGGAAGTCATCAGGGTGGAGAAGGACCCCGTGCTGGAGGGGGAGAGGGCCCGGGTGTGGGAGACCCTCAGTCGGGAGCGCACAGCCCGCCAGGCCCGGGAGGACGAGGTCCGGAGCTTGCGGGAGCGGATTGACCGCGCTGAGGCTCTGAGGAGGTCCTGGTCCCGTGAGGAGGCCGAACTCCAGAAGGCCCGGGACCAGGCGAGCCAGGACTGTGGGCGGCTGCGGCAAGAGCTGGGAGAGCTGGAGCGGCAGAAGCAGCAGAGGGCCGAGCAGCTGCTGGAGGAGGGGAGGCTGCTGAGCCAGAAGACGGAGAGCGAGCGCCAGAAGGCAGCCCAGCGTGGCCAGGCCCTCTCGCAGCTCGAGGCAGCCATTCTCCACGAGAAGGACAAGATCTACGAGAAGGAGAGGACCCTCAGGGACCTGCACACCAAGGTGAGCCGGGAGGAGCTCAGCCAGGAAACGCAGACCCGGGAGACCAACCTTTCTACCAAGATCTGCATCTTGGAACCGGAGACCGGCAATGACATGTCTCCCTACGAGGCCTACAAGAGGGGCATCATCGACAGAGGCCAGTACCTCCAGCTGCAGGAGCTGGAGTGTGACTGGGAAGAGGTGACCACCTCCAGCCCCTGCGGGGAGGAGTCTGTGCTCTTGGACCGCAAGAGCGGGAAGCAGTACTCCATCGAGGCCGCCCTCCGCTGCCGCCGCATTTCCAAGGAGGAGTACCACAGGTACAAGGATGGCCGCCTCCCCATCTCCGAGTTTGCCCTGCTTGTGGCAGGGGAGACCAAGCCCTGTTCCTCACTCTCCATCGGGTCCATCATCTCCAGGTCCCCAGTCTGCTCCCCAGGCCCCCAGAGTGGCGGTTTCTTCTCCCCAGGCCTCTCTTTCGGGCTCACTGATGACTGCTTCCCCATCGCTGGGGTTTATGACACAACCACACAAAGCAAGTGTAGCATCAAGGCAGCGGTGGCCAAGAACATGCTGGACCCCATCACTGGGCAGAAGCTGCTGGAGGCCCAGGCAGCCACAGGGGGCATCGTGGACCTTCTCAGCCGAGAGCGATTCTCCGTGCACAAGGCGGTGGAGCGGGGACTCATTGAGAACACCTCCACGCAACGGCTACTCAATGCTCAGAAGGCCTTCACCGGCATCGAGGACCCGGTCACCAAGAAGAGGCTGTCAGTAGGCGAGGCCATCCAGAAGGGCTGGATGCCCCAGGAAAGTGTGCTCCCCCATCTGCTGGTGCAGCACCTGACCGGGGGTCTCATTGACCCCAAGAGGACGGGACGCATCCCTGTCCCTCAGGCTGTGCTCTGCGGGATGATCAGTGAAGACCTGGGCCAGCTTCTGCAAGATGAATCGGGCTACGAGAAGGATCTGACAGACCCCATCACCAAGGAGCGGCTGAGCTACAGGGAGGCCATGGGGCGCTGCCGCAAAGACCCACTAAGTGGCCTGCTGCTTCTCCCGGCCGTGCTGGAAGGCTACCGGTGCTACCGCGCCGCCTCCCCCACCCTGCCACGATCCTGCGTGCGTTAATGAGGGCTACGCACAGGGGAAGGGTGTGTGCCCAGGCAGTGGGCCCCCCTCTGTCCATCCGCCTCTTACTACTCAAACATTCGTGGTGTTGGGCTCTGTCCCCAAACTCGGGGAGCTCCATTGTTTCCCTGAACCCCCACCCCCCCTTCTAATAAATGAATTGTATTGGCGCTGTGTCTGGTTCTCATTTGTGTACACAGGACCAGTGTGTTTAGGGTGTGAAATCAGGAGCAGCACTTCTTGGGAATTTTTCCCCAAAGTATGTGCTAGGTGGGGCAGATGTGTTCAACTCACCCGCCTGAGGAAGGCGTGACCATGGAAAGAGGCCCGGAAGACCCCTGGTCCCTCAGTTCCTGTCAGAACTGTCTCCAGCCCTCTGTGGAACTCCTCTTCGTTGGCAAGCTGTGTCCCCCCATAAGCAGAATGACACCCGAGAACTCAAGAACAAGTTATATTTATTTCCCATTTGTCACACAGAGGGACACCCACAGCCTCTCTGATGATGTGACAACTACTTAGAACACCCTCAGGTGCCCTAACCAGACTGTCCCATCCCACCTCCTGCTGAGTCCTCTGAACTGGACTCTTCCCACCAACAGCTTAAACAAAAATCAAGACCAGCAGAGGGCGCCCTGCCGTTGAGTCTGCATCTGCAGCTACAGCAGAGAAGGGGAGGGGGGCTGTTAACTAACCCGACACCCGCTGTCGAATGCCAGGGAAGCCATGCACCCCACCCCACCCCATGTACGGAACACCTGCATGGCTTTTGAAAGTGCACCATTAAATCCAACAAACGACATTAGAAATTCGCCAACCTACAGGCAGGACGAACCCAAGCCTAGCTTTCTGATGACTGATGTAAAATTTCCTCAGGGATGCATTCCTCCCTAGATATGCTTTATCGGAAATGGGTGGGGAGAGGACGTGAGGCGGTGGGCCCCACAGACATGGTGGAAGTTTAAGGAGTGTTCCACCATTCAACGGAGCCGCGATGCTAGGGAGTTCTCCGTAGAGAAGTAGGGATGGGCCAGGGCGGTCTTGGCTGAGATCCGCTGGCTGGGGTCGTACTGCAGGAGGTGCTGAGGAGGAAAGACAAGAGAATGAACCTAGGTGCAACCAGGGTAGGGTGAGGAATTCCCTTCACAGGTCCCTGAGCGGGTGCCTCAACCCAGAACTTTGTGAAGCCACTGCCTCCTAGCTGTGTGTGTGTGTGCACATGGGTGCAAACACCCATGGGAGGCCCAAGGCATCAGGTCCTCTGGAACTGGGGTTACAGTTGACTACGAGCCACTCGGTGTGGGTGCTGGGAACAGAACTCTGCAAGAACAGCCATCACTCTGGCCCCAAGTCTCTTTGCCGTTTGCCTGTACTGCATACCCCGGGCTAGCTAGCTGGCCCCTGAATGCCAGGGATCCTGCCCTGGGGGCACTGGGGTTATAGATTCCCGCCGCTGCGTCCAGCTTTAGGTGGCTTCTTAGATGCTCATGACTGCCTAAAGGGCTTTGCCCACTGAACCGTGCCCAGCCGGGCTTTGTGTGGGTGCTGGAGATCTGAAGTCGGGTCCTCATGTTTGCCCGGCAAGTACTTCACCCACCGAGCCACCTTCTAAGCCCACGTGCCTGTCCCAGCTTCTAAGCTCTGGACACTCCCAGAGCAGGTTAAACCATTAGTTCTGGTTCCAGGCCTATGATTCAGCGAGGTCCTCTCCAGGTAACACCTTCTTCTGGCTGGGAACAGGTATGTTTCGTGTTAGGCAGCAGTCCCTAAACCTGTCCAAAGAATTTACGCTTGGGGTGGTGCAGGACAGACACAGAGCAAGGTGAAGGAGGAGCTAACACAACCAAGAGGCCAGGTCTGTCCAGCTCTCTGCACTCAGGTTCACTACCCAGGCAGGACGCCAGGGAGTAGCATACGAAGGACCCGGCCTTAGCAGAAAGTGCATGCCATCCTGTTGGCATTATGCTGGTAGACAGCACACAGACCTCTGGTGACCTGACCATGGCCTCAACAGACCTGCCCTTCCTTCCCCGGCGCAACACTAGGGTGAAGACAGAAATGGGGATTGCAGGCTGTGTGGGCAAACGGGAACAGCTTTATCTGAGGCCCTGTAGGCAGCTGATGAATCGCTAGGGTGGCAGGAGTCCAGAAGGTAGGGAGTTTGTTCTGCACGGCCAGGCCTCTGTGAAGACCAACCTTTGGGAGGCAGTGAGTGGGGGGACACTGAGGCAGGAGGGGGTGTGGTCTCTGCCCAGAGACGTGTTCCACCTAAGTGCTCCACAAAGCCCGCAAGGGAGAGACAACAGCCACGCCACAAAAACAAAGCTGATTACTTCAGAGACGTTTCAAAAGGGGAGATGAACGCTCGATATGAGCAGAGAGGCTCCTGACCAGAGACGCACAGGCACAAGCCAAGGGTGTACAAAGCCGTAAGAGCCCAGCCCGGACTCGGGGTTACGCAAGAGGGTGGCTGGCAGAGGGCACTCTGGGGCAGCAGCAGCTTCTGGGGTGCTGTCCTTGTCTGCGTGTACCTACCAGGAGCAGGTCCTTGCCTTCTGGTCCCAGACTAGGCACGATCTCCTCCAGCCTCCTCCTGGTCCATCTGGGGAAGCTGCCCTGAAAATCGGGCAGCTGGGAGACTCCCGGCCACGTGGCTTCACTGGGGGTCCCCAGGGTACGGAAGATACGGAAGAGCTGGTCGATCTCCGAGTCACCGGGAAACAGAGGTTTGCCAGTCACCTGGAGCGCGAGGGGAGAGGAGGTGTGTGTTCTTTGTGACACTTGTGATAGCAGAACCCCACCCTGGCTAAGCGGAAAGACAGGGAGGGATATCTTTCCCAAGATGGGTGTGCTGGCACACGCCTTTAATCCCAGCACTCAGGAGGGAGGCAGAGGCAGGCGGATCTATGAGTTTGAGGCCAGCCTGGTCTACAGAGTGAGTTCCAGGATGGTTAAAGCTACACAACGAAGTCTTTGTCTCAAACAACAACAACAACAACAAAAGACACCTTTCCCAGGGCTATGTTAAATTTCTAGTCTTCCCCGGAACAAGACTTGCTTCCCCCCAGCCAGCCACAGATATTCCTCAAGCCACCTCTAATAGACATATGAGCCACAGTGTGGTCCTGGCTGGCCCCAAACTCTAGAAATCTTCGTGCCTCGGTACAGCCCTTCCTCCCTCCCTCCATCCATCCCTTCCTTCCTTCCTTCCTGTCTGTTTTCTTTTTATAATAGGCAAGTGCTCTACAACTGAAGTTCATTCTTAGCCCTTAGTGTTTTTGTTTTGTTTTGTTTTGTTTTTTGTTTTTTGGTGTTTTCAGACAAGGTTTCTCTGTGTAGCCTTGGCTGTCCTGGAACTCACTCTGTAGACCAGGCTGGACTCAAACTCACAAGAGATCCTCCTGCCTCTGCCTCCCAAGTGCTGGGACTAAAGGCGTGCGCCACCACCGCCCTTATTTTTTTAAGCCAGCCTTAACTTCAAGAATATCTTGTCTTCCCAAGTGATAGATTGACAGGCATGCGCTATCATGTGCTCACATTTGTTGGTTTAACATTTTTTGTTTTACATTTATAGGTTGATTGATAGTGTGTGTGTGTGAGAGAGATTGTGCATCACAGTGCATGAGAGAGAGAGAGACAGACAGAGAAAGAGAGAGAGAGAGAGAGACTGTGCACCACAGCAAGTGCATGTGTGTAGCCAGAGGACAACATCTGTTCTCTTCTTCCACCACGAGGGTTTTAGGGATAAAACTCAAGCTGGCTGGCTGGTGGCAAGTTCTATTACCCACTAAACCATCTCCCTGGCCACTGGTTCAAAAAGTTTTGTCTTTGGTTGCATGCAGTCTTGGGAACCGAACCCAGGGCCTTCCCCAACTTAGGGGATCACCCCGCCACTGAGGAATGCCCCGAGCCCAGCTTGTCCCCCTCCTACCATTTCTGCAAAGATGCAACCAATGCTCCAGACATCCACAGCTGTTGAATAAAATTTGCTGCCCAAGAGGATCTCGGGAGCACGGTACCACAGTGTCACCACCTGTGGGGCAAGCAGCAGCATCATCATGGTGGCCGAATCCACGGGTGACACCATTTGGCTGCCCCTCCCACCCCCTGGCCTACACCACCTCGTGGGTATAGGTGCGCATGGGAACCCCGAAGGCTCGAGCCAGCCCAAAGTCAGCCAGCTTGATGGCTCCAAACTCATTGATGAGCAGGTTCTGAGGCTTCAGGTCTCGGTGGATGACCCGGTGGCAGTGGCAGAAATCCAACCCCTGCAGCAGCTGGGAGAGGTAGCTCTGCGGAAAGACCAAGACAAAGAGCCATTAAACAGAAGGTGGCTGGCCAGGCGGGGGTGTGGCCTTACCCTCCTGTGTTTCCCTGGGCACCTTGACGACGTGCAGGGGGAGCTCTGAGGTGGGGGTGGAGTCCATGTGCTTCTTCAGGTCCTGAGTGAGGAACTCAAACACCAGGTAGAGTTTCTTCTCTCTGTGGACCACATCCAGCAGTCTGGCAGGGAGGGGTCAGTCTCAGGATGAGGCACTCGGGGCCCCAAGCCCCACCACTTCCTTTCCCAGCTCACTTGACAATATTGGGGTGCTTCAGTTCCTTCAGCAGGGAGATCTCCCTGATGGCGGTGCTGGGAACCCCCTCAGTCTCCCTGTTGGAAAATATGAAATACCAATGGGCGAGCCGGGCGTTGGTGGCGCACGCCTTTAGTCCCAGCACTCGGGAGGCAGAGGCAGGCGGATCTCTGTGAGTTCGAGGCCAGCCTGGTCTACAGAGCGAGTTCCAGGACAGCCTCCAAAACAATACAGAGAAACCCTGTCTCGAAAAACCAAAAAAAAAAAAAAAAAAAAAGAAATACCAATGGGCACAAGCAGTCACTTCTGACCAGGGCGTGTGTGCGTGTGTGCGTGTGTGCATGTGTATATCTCTGTGTGTGTGTGTGTGCATGTGCGCGCGCCTGTGTGTGCCTCTTTATGTGAGTGCATGTGTGTGCCTCAGTGTGTTTCGCTCCAGCAGTCCCCACTTCTGACAGAAGGTCTGTACCAAGAGGGGGACCCGTGCTCCGCAGCACACTTTACACCCACCGAGCTCCACAGGGCTGGGCCCAGGACAGGGCTAATCAGAAGGGAGGGGGCTGCACCTTTGTGTCTACCATAGAGGCTGGGTGCAAGCCCACGAGATGAAGGCAGGTTTTAGTGTTCCCCTGGGAGACAGACAGGGCATTGGGGCAAGCCCTGACACTCACGCATCCAGCCTGATCTTCTTGAGGGCCACAAGTTGCCCAGTCGCCTTGTTCCTGGCCTTATAGACCACCCCATAGGTGCCCTCTCCAATCTTCTGGACCTTCTGGAACGAATCCATGTCTGCAAAGCTGCCCGGGAAACAGACCACATCTGGACATTTCAATCTCACGCGAAGCGTCCCCTCTGCGGGACTCCAGCCTGCGCGGAACACCCTGCCCAGCCCCCGCCCTGGCCGGGCTCTCCCCATGCACTGCCTGTCATCCATCTTGCCCAGCCCAGTTCAACCCAACTCCAGGTTTCTTCTCCATTGACTAGCTACGGAGTGCAGGAGAGCCCAAACTTCTGCCTCGGCCCATGACTCGGTCCCCGCACACCAATGTTCCTGGGTCACAAGGATCTACTTAGAAAGGTCGTACAGGGGAGGGTTAACAGCATGAGGCAGAGGTTAGGGTTGGGTCAAGTCTTCTGAAGCCACAAGCCTGCTCTGGGTCACACATCAGGACCCAGCCCCCCCCCGCTTGGCCCGTCAACAGTTCTTAGCTTCCATCACGTCAGAACCTCTGCAAGGGTGACCCCTTAGCATCTTGAACCCCTTAACTCTGCCCCTGGCTCCCCCAACTCTGCCCCTGGGCCCCTAGCATCCTCCCCTCAGCCTCCCAGCCCAGAAGTCACCAGAAGTCCTCAGCAGGCTGCAGCTTCTCTGTCAGGCAAGCTGTCTGCTGTGGCTCCCCCTGCTGGCCCCTGCTGGCTGCAGCCGGCTCTGCACGGTGCACACACATTGGAGGCTCACACTCTTTATTCATGAGGACATTGAGGAACCAACCCTTTGTGTCTTTCACAAGTCACAGCCCCAGGGCCTTGGGGTGGGGTATCAGGTATATATTTTGGAGAGAGGATCTCATGTAGTTCAGATTGTCCTTAAACTCCAGATCCTCCCGACTCTGCTTCCCTGTCGCTGGGATTACAGGCATGGGCCACCACGGCGGGCTTGAGGAGGGTTTTCGTTTCCGGGTCAGTCCAGAGTCCAGGACTCCCCTCCATCCCCCGCCCCACCCCCACCGCCGGGCCACCACTTTCTGGTTCCAGATGAAGACTGTTACTGGAAATGAGGAGCACTCGGAGGGGTTGGCAAGGTGCTGGTGACTCCTGTTGGCTGCTGCCTCTTTTGCAGGCACAGCCTCTGCTCCAGGATGGCTTTTTCTAACAAGGACAGATCCATCCCCTCCACACAGGTGAGCAGTCGGGCCTTCACCACTGAGCTTCCATCTGAAAGACAGACCCGAGGAGGCGTTAGCAGAGACTTCCCAGAGGATCCTCAACACAATGATGCTTGCTTCTCGGTGCTCCGAGGCACTGGCAATGCTGGCAATTTTGTCTCTAGGACAGAGACAAATTGAACCTACACATTCCGACTCCTGAATTAATTCCTTTGCCTTCCAAAAGCCCAGCACTGAGGAAACAGTGCTCTAAGGGAAAACCTTCCTCGGCACCCTGAGACCAGACTCATTGAAAACTGGGGTGGCCAGCAGGGGTGATGCGCGCCTTTAATCCCAGCACTCGGGAAGCAGAGGGAAGCAGAGTCTGTGAGTTCCAGGCCAGCCTGGTCACTCCACCCTGGAAACGGTGGTTGGAGGCTGCTAACAGATGATGTTGGTGACCTGATATATAATGTCAATGTTCTTGTACTACCAAAACAGGAAAGATATTGATTAGGGTGTCCACAACAGACGCTTAGCTTTTTTTATTTAAAAAAATATTTTTTTGGCCGGGCGTTGGTGGTGCACGGTCTTTAATCCCAGCACTGGGAGGCAGAGGCAGGCGGATCTCTGTGAGTTCCAGGACAGCCTGGTCTACAGAGCGAGTTCCAGGACAGCCTCCAAAGCAATACAGAGAAACCCTGTCTCGAAAAAAAATTATTTTTTGCTGGGTAGTGTTGGTGGCAGTGGTGTACACCTTTAATCCCAGCACTGGGAGGCAGAGGCAGGCAGATCTCTGTAAATTCAAGGCCAGCCTGGTCTACAGAGCCAGTTCCAGGACAGCCAGGGCTACATGGAGAAACCTTGTCTCAAAGACAAAAAAAAAAAGTATGATTATTTTATGTGGGTGACTGTTTGCCTACAAGTATGTAGGTGCACACTGGGCCTGCAGAACAGGTATCAGATCCCCTGAAATTGGAGTTACAGACAGCTATAAGACACTGTGAGTGCCAGGGATCCAAACCATGTCCGCTGGAAGAGCAGCCAGTGCTCTTAACCTCAGACCCATCTCTCAGCCCCTGGATTTACTTATTTATGTTCACATTTAATTTATGTACACAGATGTTTTGCCTGCATGCAGGTAACTGTACCATGTGTGTTGCTAGTGCCCCCAGACGACAGAAGAGGGCATCAGATCCTCTGGAACTGAACTTATGTATGGCTCTGAGCCACCACGTGAATGTCAGGAAGAGAACCCAGGTCCTCTGCAAAGGCAGTCAGTGCTCTGAATCTCGGAGCCATCTCTCCAGCCCCTACTTACTTTTAGACAGAGGTTACTATAGTTCAGGCTGCCTGGAATTTTCTATATATCCTAGGATGACCCTGAACACTTGATGCCCTGCCTCTACCTCTCAAGTGAGTTTGAGGCCAGCCTGGTCTACAGAGAGAGTCCCAGGACAGCCAGGACTACAGAGACATCCTGTCTGAAAACAAAATGAACCAAAGCCAAACCAGAGGGCGTGGAAGGGGTTTCTTGACAGCCCTTCCTTAGCATGAATGAGGTGATGATTTGGTTGTGGATGCCATGGGGGAGTTTCTGGAATGAGGGATGGGAGATCCTAAACTCAAAACAGGATTCTATGTCAAATGTTCCCAAACTTCTGGTGTGAAGATTTTCTTAGAAATCTGCTTAAATTTCATAGGATCTTTAAAAAGTGCTTATTTACATTATTTGGAGGAGTTAACAACTTAAATTAGGTGTGTGTGTGTGTGTGTGTGTGTGTGTGTGCACACACACATGAGTGCAGGAGCCTATGAAGGCCTGAAGAGAGATCTGCTCCCCTGGAGTTGAAGGTACAGGTGGCTGTGAGCTGTTGACGAAGATGCTGGCAACCAGGCTTGGGTCCTCTGTTCGGGCACCGAGCACTGTCAGCTGCGGAGTCAGCTCTCCTGCCCCGTTACTTTTAATCTCTAAGTTTAAGTTATTTCAGTTGGTTTTATCTTCGCTGCATATAACAGAGTAAGCGAGCCACAGAACGGCGGCTTCTCACTGGCACAATCGGCCTGAGGCTGTCGGGCCAGGCGCTTCAGTTTCTTTAGGATGGAAGGGATAAATATGGGCGTGGACGCTCCCACATCATTAGAGGACTGCTGGCCTCGGCCTTGATGCTACCTGGGGTAGCCGGTGTGAGGAAAACCGGGCAGGACGGAGCTTGCCTGGGATCTGAGTTCTTGGGAAGGTGTGGCTGAACGGAAACCCCACCTCAAACAACAAACAGAGCGCTTGTCTAGAGTGTGCAGGCCCTGAGTCTGACCGCCAAAGACACACACCGAAAACAACTACAAAAAAGAGGGACTGGGAGCCGAGGCAGTGGCTGAGAGCACAAACCGCCCTTGCAGAAGACCTGAGGTCAGTTCCCAGCACCCACATCCAGTTCTCACAAACACGTGACTCTGGCTGTCAGCCATCCAAGGCCTCTGGTTTCTATGGGTGCCTGCATATATGTGCACATACCTATATGCACACACACACACACACACACACACACACACACACACACACACACGCCTAGGGAGGCAGGGGATCGGGAGTTCAAGGTCATCCTTCAATACACATCTGTTTAGGGGCAGTCTAGCGTACAAGAGAGACCATCTAAGGACAGTAAAAACACAGCCACTTGCCTAGCATTCAGGAGGCCCATGGTTCAAGTCCCAGCACACACACACACACACACACACATACACACACACGATTCTCAAGCACCATGGCTGCCTTGCTATGCATGGAGTACTATCGCTGGCATGTGTACCCCTTAACGGTGGACACCTGACTATATCAGAGGCTGTCCTTGCACAAGTCACCCCAAATCCCACCATGTTCTCATCCCCGCCCCCACACTCCTGTGTCCTATGTCCTTCCTTTTACACCCTCCGGTATGTGGGGTCTCTGTCTTCCAGAATCTTTATAATGCTCCTAGCTTTTTTAGGGGGGTCTTGGCCAGAAGTTGACATCATCCAGACGAGCGAGTCCTCCTACACTCCCCACTCAGGCTCCCACCCCACACACTCCCCACTGATCGGGGAGGCGAGGCCAGAGTTCACCCACTGTTCAGGTTTCACATTACACGCCTGTCTCCTCCTTCCCGCTGATAACCAGTTACGCCACTGCTCACCTCTGCTCCAATTCTGCCTCCCACACCCATCCCGCACCTTGGACTGGCTGTCCTGGGATCACCCACCTCTGCCGTAGAAGCTTTGCTCTTCTTGGTATCTATCTGTCCTCTTCCCCCCTGCACCCTGCTTCACCCCTGACCTTGGGACTCCTGGATTTCCTCCGCTCACCTTCTCTGTGCCCTCAGCTGACCCTAAGTGCCTTGCAACCATCTTCCTGGCATTGTAGGGAGCAGCCTTTGCCTTCCCAGCTTCCTGCCCGACGCCCTCCCTGGCCACGTCCTCTGTTGAGTGAGGAGGGCCACAGACCTCTGCATGGGCCCCTGTAACACAAGGACTTCAAAGTCTTCCCTCTCACTGAGCAGCTCCCCTCCATCGGCCTGGAAACCGTCCTGGTCAGCCTGGCCTCAGGCTCTGTGACAGTTATTCAGGCGTTTACCAGGCATGGAAGTCTCCTCCCTCAGGCCCTGGCCCGCCTCTCTTAGAAAAGTTCCTTGCCTCTGTGTTGCTGCTCCTGAACTATGTCCCCCCCCCCCCTTCCCTGGCTTTCTCTCTCTCTCTCTCCTGTTTTTGAGGCATGGCCTTGCCAAGATGCCCAGGCTGGCCTTGAACTCGCTCTGCATCCCTGGCGGGGCCTTGAACTTCCTAGGTAGTTAGGTTTACAGTCCTGCACCACCAGGCCCTCTTGTTGCCAACTACTTGAATATTTCAAAACAGCTAGTAGAGAGGATTTTTGAGTATTCCTAACACACACACACACACACACACACACACACACACACACACACACACACACACGTCAGTTACTCTTACTCTATGTGGCCATTCATTATCTATCGAGGACAAGCAATGAAATGTCGCTTTGTGCCCTGTAATATGTATATACAATCACCATGTATCAAACTTTTTGGTTTTTTTTGTTTTGTTTTTCGAGACAGGGTTTCTCTGTGGCTTTAGAGGCTGTCCTGGATCTCACTCTGTAGACCAGGCTGGTCTTGAACTCACAGAGATCCACCTGTCTCTACCTCCTGAGTGCATGTGCCACCACCTCCAGGCTTTACAGTAGTCTTTAAAAGAGGAGAAAAGAGATTCGTGAGGCGGCAAGTGTTATAGCCAGTGAGGTGTTTACAAACTGCGATTATTTCTGATTACAAAGCAGGGACACTCAGACTGGGGGAAGGTGGTCAGAAACGCCTCAAGTCCAGACAGGAACCCCTCAGGATCTTGGGTGGTGCCGGGAGGTGTCACATCTTAGGACTTGATCACACGGCTGGCATTGTTTCACATTAATCTCATGGCTGGCTCTGCATGAAAAGTTAGAAAAGTCCCTCTAACTAACATGTCCTTTGACCTCAGGACTTTCAGCTTAGACACAGGGCACAGCACAAGCTTGATGGACCTTTGCACCCAACAGGGCTCACAGCAGGCTCAGGAAGGTTGGAAGCAGCCAACCCTCGGCGCAGGTGAGAGGGCAGGGCAGACGAGGCCGCGCTCAGCCCACACAGGGCTTCACCCCTGCCCCATCTTTCATTCCTCACTCCAGATCAGAGTGGCATGTACGAAATACTCAGGAAAATGCAGAAAAGGTTATGGTGGCGCACGCCTTTAATCCCAGCACTCGGGAGTCAGAGGCAGGTGGATCTCTGTGAGTTCCAGGACAGCCTCCAAAGCCACAAAGAAACCCTGTCTCGAATAACCAAAAAAAAAAAAAAAAAAAAGACCCTTTGTACTTCCTCTCATTCTCTCCCAAATCAGTTATGAGGGCAGGAACTCTGACCTCCAAATCTTAAACCTGAGTGAGATAAACTTTTATTAAAGTCAATGTAATTAAGACCAGCCATTTAATTAATGTATTTTCCAGAGTTATGACCCACCATGATTTTTTTTTATTTTTTCGAGACAGGGTTTCTCTGTAGCTTTGGAGGCTGTCCTGGAACTCCCTCTGTAGACCAGGCTGGCCTCGAACTCACAGAGATCCGCCTGCCTCTGCCTCCCGAGTGCTGGGACTAAAGGCGTGCGCCACCAACGCCCAGCTCCCACCATGGGTTTTTAAAAAGATTTTCTTTCTCATTGTGTTTGTGTGTGAGCCCACAGTGTGATGAATGGGAGTGAGGTCGCTGACTGCAGAGTCCACAAGGGGAGTTGAAGTCAGAAGGCGGCTATGAACTAGTGTGGGTGCTGGGAAACAAACCCAGGACCTCTGGAGGAGCAGCCAGTGCTCTTAACCACTGAGCCATCTCTCCAGCCCATGGAGTTTTAGAAGTATAAATTAAGAGACATAAGTGTACTAAGCCCAGGATATATAAATCCATGCTGCTAATCTTAATCCTTCTGGATGAATCAGAATGATCAAGTATGATTGATCAGAATGAGGCCACAGCCAGCCTGCTCTACATAGCAAATTCCAAGACAGCCCAGGTCACATAGACCTATCTCAAAACACCAACAAAGCCAGGCGTTGGTGGGGCACGCCTTTAATCCCAGCACTCGGGAGGCAGAGGCAGGCGGATCTTTGTGAGTTCAAGACCAGCCTGGTCTATAAGAGCTAGTTCCAGAACAGCCTCCAAAGCCACAGAAAAACCCTGTCTCGAAAAACCAAAAAAAAAAAAAAAAACCACCAACAATAAGAAAGCTAAGGAACAGCCAGGCGCTCTGGCACAAGTCTGTAATCCTAGTACGTGGGAGGCTAAGGCAGAAGGCCTGCTGTGGGTTCAAGGCCAGCCTGGCCTACAACGTAATAAGTTACAGTCAACCTGAGATATGGAACGATAATACCCTGTTGCAAAATAAATAAGTAGTCAAATTGATAAATTTTTAAAATGCTAAATCTAAAAATTTAGCTGGCTGTGGTTCTGCAGATGTGAAATCCTAGTACTGGTGAGTCAGAGGCAGAAGGATCACAAATTCAAGGCCAGCCTGGGCTACATAGTGAGATTCTCTGTCCCAAAGCAAAGACAAGGTGGGGATGAGTTTCACTTCAAAGCTGGGCCTGGTGGTACGTGCATGTCATCCCAGCATGGGGAGGCAGAAGCGTGGTACGTGCATGTCATCCCAGTGTGAGGAGGCAGAAGCGTGGTACGTGCATGTCATCCCAGCATGGGGAGGCAGAAGCGTGGTACATGCATGTCATCCCAGAATGGGGAGGCAGAAGCGTGGTACGTGCATGTCATCCCAGCATGAGGAGGCAGAAGCGTGGTATGTGCATGTCATCCCAGCATGAGGAGGCAGAAGCAGGGGGATTACAAGGGGTTTTTTTTAGATATATTATTTTATGTGTATGAGTACTTGCATGTACGTCTGCGCACTGTGTGCAAGCCTTGTGCCTACAGAGATCAGGCAAGCGTGTCACATCCCCCGAAGCTGGAGAAGTGGACTCTTGTGAGCTGCTGTGTGGGTGCTGTAAACATGCACCGTAACAGTTGTGGTCATTTGCAGGAATGGCAGCTGCTCTTAATTCCGAGTCATCCTTCCAGCTCCAAACACAAGCTTAAGGTCAGCCTTGGCTACACTGCTAATTTGAGGCCAGCCCAGGACATATAAGACCCTGTCTCAAAACAATAACAACAACACACACACACACACACACACACACACTCTAACAAAATTTAAATGGTTTTTAAAAACTTAAACCCAACACAGACATATAGTGTGATATCGACCATGTAAAGGAAAATGGCACCGAAAAGCCATTCTGGAGACCACTCCCCCCCAAAATACCCCAGCTGAAGCTGCCTACTGCTTCCTGGCAGTGGACCTGTACTGTCTCACTTATAATAATTTTCTAAATATTTATTTACTTTATTGTTCTATGTGTATGGTGTTTTGTTTTGTTTTTTTGTTTTACGAGACAGAGTTTCTCTGTATTGTTTTGGAGGCTGTCAGTCCAGCCCGGCTTCGAACTCACAGAGATCCACCTGCCTCTGCCTCCGGAGTGCTGGGATTAAAGGCGTGCGCCACCAACGCCTGGAGTATGGTGTGTTTTGCCTGTATGTATGTCTGTTCACCGTATACATACATGCAGTATCCATGGGAGCCAAATGAGGGCATCAGATCTCCTGAGCCTGGTGCCATAGATGGCTGTGAGGTCCCACGCAGGTGCAGAGAACTGAATTGGGGTCCTCTGCGAGAACAAGTCCTCTCAACTGATAACTCATCTCGCCAGCCCTGCACACTGTCTATTTAAACAAAGCTCCTACTGCTTGCCGAGAGAATAGGTGGATGGAACAACTGCACAAGTCAGGTCTGGCATCACACCCCCAGAGCCCATCACCCAGAAGGCTGAGGCAAGAGGGTCAGCTGAACTCAGGGTGGAACCAGACAGTACAATAATAATAAAGTGGGAAGTACCCGAGGTGCAACGTGCCAGGTTAGTGACAATGACTGCCTCGGGCCGGGATTAAAAGTGATCTTTTCCTGTTTCTTCCCTCCCCCCCACACCTCTGACCTTTTCCTGTTTCTTTCCTGGCCTGTTATTACAGCCCCATCTTCTCTTGAGCTCATGAAGCAGCCATAAGACATAGACTGAGGGCTGGTGGGCGTATCGGGAAAGATCTAAACAAACTACGTCACACGCAGACCCTCAGAAGCCTGCGGCTTCTCTTTGGTCACTTTCCCATGGGGGCATCTCTTCACTGTCCCTCTTTCTGACATGGCATCACATGGCTGGTCAATGACAGTCCAGTCACACCTGTTTCCAAGAGTCCTTGACCTCATGGGCTGACCTGTAATCAATGGCAGTCCCACGAGGTCACAGGACAGGTCCAATCCGTGCCTCCTTTTTTTTCTTTCCTTGAGTTCTCTGTGGCACATGTGTGGACATCAGAGGACAGCCTTGGGAGTCAGTCCTCATCACCACTGCACACACCAGCCTGGTCTCTGCTTCCTGTCTGCCCAAAGGAACCACTGGAACCAGACACCCAGTAAGTTTCATTGTGTCCTGGGGACCTGAACTCAGGTCCCCACATTTTCATGGCAAACACTTTACCCACCGAGCCCAAGTTTCCCTAGTTCTATCGTTTTGTTTTTGTTTAAGATAGGGTTTTTTTTTTCTATGTAGACCAGGCTGGCCTCCAGCTCACAGAGTGCTGAGGTTACAGATGTGTGTCCCAGGCCCGGCACACCGATTTACATAAAGGCGCCCCAGCTCCGGAGCCAGGGCGACACAGGTTGTAGAGAGAACAGCTCACCCTCCTCACGCTCCAGCTCCCCCAGAACCATGTACAGGAAGTCCACATGCGGCTCAAAGGGCTCCACCAGCCTGGTGCAGACTCGCAGCTGGCACTGATTGGATTTGTGCTGTGCTGTCAGGGTCACAAGGGAGCGTGTCATGTCGTAGAGGCACAACCTGGAGGGCAGAGGACGTTGTGAGCATTTGTACTCATAGACAAGCTACCACCAAGCTCCATAGAGGAGGCCAACAAATACATGGGCATCCATGATTGGCCTTAATGTGATTCAAAAATGAAATACAAGCCACAGACTGGAACAAGTGTCTCCCACTACCTTATAGGTGGGAGGCCACTGCCTGGCAATTTTCTTACTTTTGTTTTGAATTTTGTTAATTTTATTTTGAGACAAGGTCTCACTATGCATCCCTGGCTGGCTCTGGAACTCACTCTGTAGACCAAGCTGGCCCTGAACTCACAGAGATCCACCTGCCTCTGCTTCTGAGTACTGGAATTAAAGGCGTGGGCCACTGTGCCCAGCTTATTTTTTCCTCTTTTGAGACAGTGAATAAGCAGGCATTCAAGCTGAGATTCTCCTGCACTGGCCTCCCAAGCTAGGATGTGTGTCACCATGCTTAGTGACACTTTACTCTCAGGTGGTCTGTGACATAACGATAAACAACTAACAGGATGTATGTATATAAGTGTATTCCCACATCCACCCAGATCATCACTCACATATATACACACGAGAAAGAATAGAGAGATCAAAAGATTTATCAATGGCTGTCTGGACAATGGTACTATATGCGATTTTTGCCTTCTTTACTCCTTTGTGGTTATTTGTATTAAAACAAACCATACAGGAGGATCTCTGTGAGTTTAAGGTCAGTCTGAGTCTAGGTGGCTCATTCCAAGGCCAGCCGGGGCAACACAGTGAGAGCTTATAAGTAGACAAAATTATATTACAACCATTTGAATTGAATTTCTTTGGAGGGGAGCTATTTAATCACCCCTGGCATGTGAAGGGATGACCATTCTTACCTGCCAAACGTTCGCAGTGGGCTTCCATCGGGGACTTGGCCATCACTGACTTCCCAGGGGAAGTAATAGATCCCAGGTTTGGGCAGCATTGATGACACCAGGGAACAAATAGTTGGGATGGAGCTCTCAGGACTCCTGATAAACCAAGATAGCCGTAAGACATGGAAACCAGCCGTGTCTGGAAGACTGGCTCCAGCAGGAAGGGTTGTAAAAGTCTCGGATGCATTATGAGCTCACATGTTAGTACACTGACACGCATATACATTATACATGAATAAAAGCTCCAGGGGGAGTTCTGTTTCCACTGCAATCGCCATTCTCTGTCAATTACAGAGGGCAGAGGTTTGTAGAGAAACACACATTAGTCAGGTGGGGTGGCCCACATCGTTAACCCCAGCACTCAGAAGGCAAAGGCACATGAATCTCTGAGTTTGAGGCCAGCCTGGTTTACATAGTGAGTTCCAGGACAGAAGGGTTACATAGAGAAAACCTGTCTCAAAACACCCCTCACCAAAGATGCACTTATGTATTCCACTGTTGTGGGCTGGAGGGTCTCCATTGCTGCTCATGTCAGACATCTCATTTTTATTTTCATTAGTTTTGGTTTTTCGAGACTCTCTTCCTCCTGGCCCAGCTTCCCAGCTGCTGGTGTTTGGAGTAAGCGTTACTACTATATGAAGCTCTGCCAACACTCTGGTCTCAGATTCCCGGCTTTCAGAGACGAGCCCCTGTCACTGACGTCACTCTGCTGCTTTCTATTGCAACAGCTCCTGGCAGGTACATGATATCACTTATGATGCTAGACTGGGTTCCAGGGGAGTAAAACCTCTGGTAAGGGACAGTAACGGACAACGGGAAAGCCATGGAACGGAATGTGGATTCAATCTCCCTAACCATAATCCTGTAAATGTACTTTTCGGGAATTCTTAAATATTGACAAGTAAAGGACTTCCACAAAGTTTCCTCAAAGAGCGCCAAAAGAGAGTGAGCAGACAGAGAAACCCTGCAGCAACTGTGGCAAACGTTAACCAGGGAATCTGGGTGAAAGGGGAATTGCTTCTTTATTCCCCTGTCGTGACTCCTGGGTGTTCAAAAAACGAACATTCACACGTGACCATCAGACTACAGGACTTCCTGTAACGGGTTGACGGGCAACCTCTTACTACAGCCAACAGAACTGAGCTTGGGTTGGCCCATGGTGTCATACTGGATGGCGGTGGTCTAGCTTTACCTGTATTTCCCGTCCCCCTTCCTCTGGCTCACGATCAACTCAGAGGCTGTAGCTGAGCTTTTCCCGATTCTCCAATCAGGAATATTCGGTTAGTTTTAGACAAAAACCACGTAGCTCTAGCTGGCTTGCAACCCACAACCTTTTTCAGTAGACCAGGCTGACCTTGAACTTCCAGAGCTCACCCTGCCTCTGCCGCCTGACAAGTCTTTATTGTGGGTGTTAAGTGCTGACAAATGCATGTCATAGCACTCAGCGGAGCTCAGAAGACAATCTTGTGGAGTTGGTTCTCCTCTTTCGAAAACCTTTATGTGGGTTCTGGGGATTGACCTCAGACCTGTAGGCTTGCATCTTCAGGAGGCAAGAACCTTTACCCACTGAGCCATCTGTCAGCCCCATTGAACAGTTTTTCTTTTCCAGACTGTTCGTGGCTGCTTCTTCTCTCCCTTGGAGTTCAGATATTTTCAAGCATCTCTTTGACAGCAGGGTCTTCCTCCTCTGCCACTAAAATAGCATCTTCTACGGCCCTGCTCACTTTGTACCTCCCCACTGATTCATTTCATTCATTGCAGTTTAGTAAATAGTCACATTTCAAATAGTTTGGTCTGTTTTCTTGTGTTGGTCACCAGTTTATCATCCCACGAGGCAGGGACCCTGATAACTATGTTCTTTGCATCTATCAGCTTCTGGGACATTATTAAATATGAATGGATGAATAGATCCATGAAGAAGATGAAAATTAAAACCACCCACCCCATACACGCTGGGCACTGAACTAAAGCCATACCTTACTATTCACATGGATGCAAACCTGTCAGAATTCTGCCTTCATCAGCATTTCTAACTCTGCCTGGACTGTCCACCCACGTGAACGGCTTCAACATTAACTGCCAGTCTGCCCTCTGGGGTTATCTGAGACCCCTCACCTTGTCATTCCCAATTTTGTTGTTGTTTTGAGACAGGGTCTCACTATGTAGCTTGACTGGCTTGGAAACCACTCTACAGACCAGGATGACTTAGAACTCACTGAGATCCACCTGCTTCTGCCTCCCCAGTGCTGGGACTAAAGATGTCACCACCACACCCATCCTGTACTGTACTCTAACTAAGACCCAGAGTTGAAAAAGCTGCCTTAAAAGTCAAACTTTCACTATTTGCTTATGATATGATAGTATACATAAGTGACCCCAAAAATTCTACTTGGGAACTCTTACAATAAACAAATACCTCTAGCAATGTAGCATGATACGATACAAGATTAAATAAAAAAATGCAGTAACCCTCCTATATACAGATAATAAATGGGCTGAGAAAGAAATCAATCAACACCCTTCACAATAGCCACAAACAACATAAAATATCTTGGGATAACTCTAACCAAACAAGTGAAAGATCTGTATAACAAGAACTTTAAGTCTTTGAAGAACAAAATAGAAAAGGATAGCGGAAAACGGAAATATCTCCCATGCTCTTGGATTGGTAGGATCAACATAGTAAAAATGGCAATCTTACCAAAAACAATCTCCAGATTCAATGCAATCCCCATCAAAATTCCAACACATTTCCAACACAGACCTTGACAGAACAATACTCAACTTCATATGGGAAAACAAAAGACCCAGGACAGCTAAAACAATTCTGCAAAGTAAAGGATAAAGATCATCTGGGGCCATCACATCCCTGATTTCAAGCTCTACTATAGAGCTATAGTAACGTCCAAATGGATCAAAGACCTCAACATAAATCCCACCACACTGAACCTCATAGAAGAGAAAGTGGGAAGTAGCCTTGAACACATTGGCACAGGAGACCGCTGTCAAAATAAGACACCAGTAACACAGACACTAAGGGCAACAATTAGTTAATGGGATCTACTGAAACCGAGAGGCTTCAGGCAAAGGACATGGTGAACAAGACGGAACAGCAGCCTACAGCATGGGAAAAGATCTCCACCAACCCACATCTGACAGAGGGCTGATCTCCAAAATATCAAAGAACTCAGGAAACTAGACACCAAAATACCAAATAATCCAATTGAAAAATGGGGTGGAGATCTAAGAAGAGAACTCTCAACAGAATAATCTTAAATGGCCAAAAAGACGCTTAAGGAATTGCTCAACATTCTTAGTCATCAGGGAAATGCAAATCAAAGCAACTCTGAAATACCATCTTATACCTGTCAGAAAGGCTAAGATCAAACACTCTGATGACAGCTGATGTTGGAGATGTGGAGTAAAGGGAAGACTCCTCCATTGCTGGTGGGAGTGCAAACTTGTACAGCTGTTTTGGAATCAGTACAGTGGTTTCTCAGAAAACTGGGGATCAATCTACCTCACCACCCAGCAATACCACTCTTAGGCATATACCCAAAGGATGTCCAATGATACCACCAGAAAATTTGCTCAACTCTGTTCATAGCAGCATTATTCGTAATAGTCAGAACCCAGAAACAACCTAGGTGCCCCTCAACCGAAGAATGAATAAAAAAATGTGGTGCATTTACACAATGGAGTACTATTCAGTGTTAAAAAAAATAACTTGAAATTTGCAGGCAAATGGATGGAAACAGAGAAAAAAATCCTGAGAGAGGTAACCCAGACCCAGAAAGACAAATATGGTATGTACTCACTCACAAGTGGATATTAGACATAAAGTAAAGGATTACCAGCCTAAAATCCACAACCCCAGAGAAGCTAGGAAACAAGGAGGACCCTAAGGGAGACACACATGGATCCACCTAGGAAGGGGAAAAAGACAAGCTCTCCTGAGTAAACTGGGAGCATGGGAGGGAGGGGAGGGGGCGAAGAGGAGAGAGAAGGTGGAAAGGGGAGTGTGGAGGAGAACATGAGAGAACTGGATGGTTGAGTGGGGGAGGGACAGAGAGGGAGAGCAAGGAAAGAGATATCTTCATAGAGGGGGCCATTATGGGATTACCGAGAAACTGGCACTAAGGACATTCCCAGGGACACCCGAGGATGACCCCAGATAAAACTCAGCAATAGTGGAGAGGGTGCCTGAACTGGCCTTCCCCTGTAATCAGGTTGAGGACTACCTTGTTGTCAAAAACCTTCATCCAGTAACTGATGGAAGCAGATGCAGAGATCCACAACCACTGCTAGGCCGAGCTCCTGCAGTCCAGTCCGAGAGAGGGAGAAGCAATAATACGAGCAAAGGCATCAAGACCATGATAGGGAGACCCACAGAAACAGCTGGCCTGAGCTAGTGGGAGCTCACTGACCCCAGACTGACACCTGGGGAACCTGCATAGGACTGAATTAGGCCTCCTGAATACAAGTGACGGTAGATGGCTTGGGCTGTTTGTGGGGCCACTGGCAGTGGGATCAGGATCTATCCCTAGTGCATGAACTGGCCTTCTGGAAGCCATTTCCTATGGAGAGATACCTTGTTCAGTCTAGACACAGGCAGAAGGGCCTTGGTCCTACCTCAACGTGGTGATGGGACAGACTTTGTTGACACCCTAAAATGGGAAGCTTTACTCTCTCTGAGGAGCAGACGGGTGTGGGGTTGGGTGGGTGGGGATAGGAGGTGGGTGGGGGAAGTGGGAGGAGGGGAGGGAGGGGGAACTGAGATTGGTATGTAAATTTTTTTTTTTGGTTTTTATAAGGGTTTCTCTATTGTTTTGGAGGCTGTGGCCCAGGGTACGTAAAATTTTTAAAACGGTGAAAGAAAAAGCAAAAGGATTGGTAATCACTAAATCAACAACCAAAACATGACGAGAGAGAGAGAGAGAGAGAGAGAGAGAGAGAGAGAGAGAGAGAGAGAGCGAGAGAGAGAGAGAGAGAGAAAGCTACCTTAAACCAAATTAACAGTTCTCTGCAACTCAGGTTGGCCTTGAACTTGTGATCCTCCTGCCCCAGCCTCCTGAGTAGCTGAGATTCCAGGCCAACAGGCCAGGTCACATTTCTAATTGTCGCTAGGTTTGACCAGACCTTCTGAGACACTGCCAAAGGTTTGCTATGTACTTTCCCTTTACCCCATTAAGCAATCACCTCAATCTCGGTTTCATCTCATCAATAGCTTGTGCTGGCTGCATCTGGGATACAAGCTTTTGATAAGAGGAATACAATTCAAATAACCAAACTAAACAATGTTTCAGTGCCTGGAAGAGCGTTCTTGAAAACAGCCTCAGGAACAGAGCCTTGCTCGGGCATATTGGAGCCCGAGCCAAAGGTATACTCAGAAACAGCGGTATAGTCTTTATTTAAATTTTTAGTATTTTGCTTATTCTCACTTTTGAATTTATAAATATTGTGTGACTGGGGATGTAGCTCAGAAGTCCATCTCCTGTACCAAGAAAAAAACAGTGCATTAAAATATTGAATTTGGGGGGCTTCCTTAAGTTTTGCATTCAGGATAAATCCTTCATTCATTTCGTCCATTTGAGGTAATGTTAATGTAAATGGGTCTTAAATAGGTTGCTACAAGGACAAGTTAGAGATAACACACTGTAGTTTTCTCTTGTGACGTCAAGTCAAAAGACCGATAAACCAAATTAAGAAAGTGCAATTTAATTAGCACTTAAAGACTTTTTGAAACAGGTCATTACAGGCCAAGCTGCCCTCAGAGTCTACACGGCTGAGAGATTACAAACCTGTACCACCGTGCCCAGTCTATGTGGTGCTTGGCGATTGAGTCCTGGGCTTCGTGAACGCTAGATAAGTACTCTACTGACCTGCGTCTCCTGTTTGCTTTGTTCTTTTTCTTCCTTCCTTTGGAGAACACGTGTTCCCCTCTTAAGTGACTTAGTCTCCCTCTCTCATTTGCACTGGTGTTTTGCCTGCATGTGTGTCTGTGTGAGGGTGTCAGATCTTGGAGTTACAGACAGTTGTGAGCTGCCATGTGGGTGCTGGGAATTGAACCATGGTCCTCTGAAAGAGCAGCCTGGACTCCTAACTACAGAGTCATCTCTCCAGCCCCATGTTTGTTAATGTCGTTGTGTTTTGTTTCTTTATTTTGGTTCTTCTGCAAGACAGGGTTTCTCTGTGTAACTCTGACTGTCCTGGAAAGGCTTTGAACTCTCCCCGAGTGCTGAAATTAAAGGCATGGGCCACCATGCCCGGCAGTTTAGCACTTTTTAAGGAATAAGAACTAAGAAAACGAATTTGTGAAAACTAGCTGTCTCTGAGGCTAAGGGACTCTTTGTCATAAATCGTATGCTGGAGTCTCTTAGGCATGTGTACATTTACGCCTTCGATTACGGTGATAATGACAACACAAACCAAAGACTAGGTTTCAAAACTTATAGGCCCTGCCAGGTTAGGAGGAAAACGTCTTGGATTCCAACATGTAGAGAAACACGTCCTCTTGGCTCTAAATCAATGGACACTGCATGCCACGCAGCCCATGCCTCTAGGGTCAAGTCGCCAACACTTTTATAACCGAAAGTAATGAACCTTCTCCTGAACGTGACATTTGTCCCAGTTCCCTTTTGCTCTGATTTGGGTGGGTCCAAGTAAAACCAATACCTTTCCTCTACTGGCCCTTTCGGAGCATCCCGGGCCCTTGTCACCCACTCCCCGTCTCGTTTCTGAGGAGGGTTTAGCGAGAGGACCCCCCCCCCAAAAGCTGGAACCAGGTGAGTCCCACGGCGCAGGCGCAATCCCGCCCCCCCGGCCAATCCGTGGCGCGCATCTCCCGGGCTTCCCAGTTCCTCTTTTCCGCCCGGAGAGATCACATGAGCCGGGAGAAGCGACGCCCACAAGCGTCCCCGTCCCCTTCCTGCCGCCCCGCGGTTCCCTGACCTTCTTCTACCTTGTTCTCCTTGGCGAGGAGCCGCCCTGGGACCTCCCCTGGCTCGCAGCAGGAGATTCGTCCGTCCGGCGGGCGGTCCGGGCTGGCAGCGGGTCACGCGGGGCGTGGCGGCGGGGACGGGGCGGGGCGAGCGGGGCGGGGCCTCGGGCGGTCTCCGCAGAGTTCTTAGGGCCGGCTCTGCGCCCTGGCCGCAGACACGGGGTTGTCGTCGCCTGGGTGTCTGTCACTTCTGTCGCCACCTCGCCCGTCACCGCCACCGGTCGCCACCATGAACCCCGACCTGCGCAAGGAGCGGGCCGCCGCCACCTTCGATCCGGAGCTGGTCACGCACATCTTGGATGGCAGTCCGGAGAACACCCGGCGCCGCCGAGAGATCGGTGAGGCCGGACGGAGGGGCCAGGCCAACCCCGCTCTCCCGACCGACCGAGGCGGAAGGCCCCTGTGAAGTGGGGGGTCTCCCTACCTAGGAGGGCACCCCCACCACCACGGCTCTAATCTGCTGGGATTCGGGGAGGGCGAATGCTGTGTCTCTTGATGTCGTTTAACTCCCTTGCAGAGAACATGATCCTGAACGACCCAGACTTCCAGCACGAAGACTATAACTTCCTCACTCGCAGCCAGCGCTACGAGGTGGCTGTTAAGAAGAGTGCCACCATGGTGAAGAAGATGAGGGAGTTTGGCATCTCAGACCCTGAAGAAATCATGTGGTTTAAGAAGTAGGTATACCTTAGCACAGTCGTGCAAGCCGTCAGGGGAGGCCTTTTTTTTTTTTTTCTTGCATGGTTATGTGCGGGCTCAAATTGAACGTTGCATCATTCGGTTTTATGTGTGAAAAATGTTACTTTCGCATCTAAGCCCTTTAGTGGGGTAGTGTGGCATATTTGTAAAATGCTAATGATGAATAGATATGCTTAGTTTCGTATCTCTCTCTCTCTCTCTCTTTTTTTAAGTTTAAGGGTTCCTGATGTGGCTACTCATCTGGTAAAGGCGCTTGCCACCCAGCCTAATGGTCAGAGTTCAGTTCCCAGGACCCACATGATAGAGTCACAGATTGTCCTCTGACCTCTGTTTACTAGAGGTGGCTGTTGTGTGTCCGTACACACACGGTAGAATTAAATTTAAAATTAACTTTAAAAATTCTTTCGTGCCTGGATGATGGTTGTGCACACCTTTAATCCCAGCACTCAGGAGGAAGAGGCAGGTTGATCTCTGAGTTTGAGGCCAGCCTGGTCTACAGAGCGAGTTCCAGGACAAGCAGGGCTATTACAGTGGGAAACCCTGTCTCAGAAAAAAAAAAAAAAAGAAGAAGAAAAGGAAAGAAAGAATACACAAATAGTAATGAAAAATTCTTTTGTTCCAAACATCCCAATGAGAGTTACTTAATGCAAAATGAACTTGGACTTTGTAAGAGTGTCCTGTGCTGTTGCCAGGAGTGTGACTCAGTGGAACGCAGGTTGTCTAGTATTCACAGGACCCTGGGCTTTGCTTGTCAGCACTGAAGACAGAGGAAGAGAAAGGCCTACTGATCTCTGAGAAATGTAGTTAGAAGACGAGACATTTAGGTATCTTGGGATAGTAGCAGGTTTTGTTGTTACATAACGTGTGTCCTGAGTATAAGATAAGGGGAGGCGTGAGGGTAGGTGGAGAGCAACATGTCAGGTCTCAGAATGAATCTGATATTCTAAGACCCGTGTTCTAAGAACCCAGCATTGTTGAGTGCTGTGCAGCGTCCGTTCATGGGTGTTTTGTGCATCAAACCTGCCTGAGTGCTGTTGTTGGGAAAGTGTCCATTTCTCACTCATCCTGTTACACTTTTTTTCTCGGTTATGCAGAGTCCCTCTTTCCCCTTAGCCTCGGGTTTGTACCATCTCTGATGCTTGTCCTTCTGGGTTCTTATATTGTAGACGAACTCGCGTGTTTCCATTAGTAAAGATAAAATTGGGAGGCTGGAGATAGACCTCAGCGGTAGAACCCATGCCCAGCATGCACAATTAATTACCTAGGTTCAATCCCTGGCATCGCCAAAAATAAATAAATAGGTAAATAAATGGGGCTGGAGAGATGACTCAGCTGTTAAGAGCACTGGCTGCTCTTCCAGAGGTCCTAAGTTCAATTCCCAGCAACCATATGGTGGCTCACAGCCATCTATAGTGGGGCCTGATGTCCTCTTCTGGTGTGCAGGCATACTTGGAAACAGAGCATTCATGTATGTAAATAGCTTACTTTTTTTTAAATGAAATAAAAATTTGGACCATAAGTGTAGTTCACCTTTGCCTCTTACTCTCGAGACCCTAGGTTAAATCTATAGCACCTGAGCAAGAACAGAAGGTTGTGTTTTGCTTTGTGTTTTTGAGATAGGTTGGCCTGGAATTTATTATGTAGTTAAAGCTGGTCTCCAATTTGAAACACTCCTCCTGCTTCAGCCTCCTAAGTGCTGGGGTTATAGGTGGAGCCGCCCTGCCTGACGTAAAGAGATTCAATTTTATTAAGAATGTCTTCAAGAGCTAATGCTTACAAGCCCCGCCCTTATGTGGTAATGGTTATTCCTCCTTCCTTTGCGCGTGGGTACAGTGCATTCAGTGTCTGCTTGTGACTTGGTTTGGTCATTACTGTGATGTTGAAACAGGTTGTTTTGCCCTCAAGTCCTCAGGACTGCACGCAGTCTTACTAATCAGAAACATGGTGTGTACCAGTAACCCTAGCACCTGGGAGCCGGAGGCAGATCAAGGCCATCCTTTTGTATCTATCCAGTGTGAGGATAGTCTGACCTGCATTTAAACTTCCTTTGTGTTTAGTGTGCAGTCCAAATCAGAATGCTCGCCAGCTTCCAAACATTCACTCTTGTTTCTAGAGCGTGTGATTTGTGGGATTTTTAAAAAAGATTTATTTATTACATATACTCTGTTCTGCCTACATGCCAGAGGAGGGCACCAGATTGAATTGTAGATGGTTGCGAGCCACCATGTGGTTGCTGGGAATTGAACTCAGGACCCCTGGAAGAGCAGTCAGTGCTCTTAACCTCTAAGCCCTCTCTCCAGCCCCGATTTGTGGGATTTTCAAGTACAATAAATCCTAGAAAGAGTTACAAGATGGACTAAGTTGGGTTTACAAACTTGAAAATTGCTAAGATTTAATACCTTCTCGAAGCAACATAAAAGATAAAGGTTGCTGTTTTGTTCTGTAAGTGGGTGATACCTGGCATTTCATAACCTGTGTTAGTTAGTGTTCACTGTGCAGGTCACAGAGGCCTGGAACAGAGTCCTTCCTGTTGAGATGAAGTATTAACGATGTTTGAACACCCTGTGACAAGGAGATCGGTTTAAGTCAGAGGAGGAGGCTGCAAGCTGGTCTTGGCAGTGAGTGTGGTGTTAGGCTCTCTGTGAGCATATACTCCCTCCTGTAATGAACAGCAGAATTTTATGTGCCACCAAGAAAAATTCACATTATTCCTTTTTGCCCAGTTTCTTATCACTTGCTGTAGATTGTAGATGGCTTATTTTGCAAGTACGTTTCACCTAGTAATAAAAATTTAGGAAAAAAAACCCCCAAACTTGCCATTAATTGTAAAATACACTAGATATGCTAAATGAGGGAGCAGGAGGATTTCTGGGGATTTAGGGCATTTACAGGTCTCTTTGTTATATAGTTATTACCCTTCCTTCCTTCCTTCCTTCCTTCCTTCCTTCCTTCCTTTCTTCCTTCCTTCCTTCCTTTCTTTCTTTCTGGTTTTTCAAGACAGGGTTTCTCTATGTAGCTCTGGCTGTCCTGGAACTCACTCTGTAGACCAGACTGGCCTGGAACTAGAGATCCACCTGCCTCTGCCTCCCGAGTCTTGTCCTACCACCACTCAGCTACTATTTCTTTTTAAGATGATCTGTTTTATGTCTTGTTTGGGGTTTTTCTTTTTTTTTTTTTTTTTTTTTTTTGAGAATATGTTCTTATTGTTTTTTTTTTTTTTTTCGAGACATGGTTTCTCTGTGGCTTTGGAGGCTGTCCTGGAACTAGCTCTTGTAGACCAGGCTGGTTTCGATTTCACAGAGATCCGCCTGCCTGTGCCTCCTGAGTGCTGGGACTAAAGGCGCGCGCCACCACCGCCTAGCTGTGTTGTTATTTTTACAAAGTTGATTTTTAAAAAAAATTTGGTGTGTATGGATGTGTTGCATGTATGTTTATATACCACATGCCTGCCTGGTTCCCATGCAGACCAAAAGCAGCATGAAATCTGGTACTGGAGTTAACAGTTGTGAGCTGCCCTGTGGGTGCAGGAATCGAACCCAGGTCCTCTCAAAGAGCAACCAGTGCTTTTAACTGCTGATACCCCTTCCTTGTCCTTACTTTAGAGATAGGACCTTACTCTGCAGTCTGCGCTGGCCTTGGACTTTTGGAAAGTCCTCAGCTCATTCAGCCTCTTGATGATACCATTTGTTATGAAAAGAAACTGAAATTCCAGCAAGGGTCAGTTGGGTTTTTATAGACTCCTTGTTTTTTTTTTTTTGTTTTTGTTTTTGGTTTTTTTTTTTGGTTTTTACGAGACAGGGTTTCTCTGTATTGTTTCGGAGGCTGACTCCTTGGGTTTTTAAAGCTGATTCTTTGGGGCTGGTAAAGGTATCCAGCTCAGTTGATAGAGCACTTAATCATGTTTGAGGTCCTGGACCCTATCCCCAGCCCCCTTTCATTAATTAAGTCTGATTTCTTGACAAGCATCTGCAGGGTCATAGAGCCTAGGCATTCCTTCTCCCAGCCAAATGTTTGGACTCCCAGCTACAGATTTTGTTCTTCAGTTAAATTCCAAGTGGTCTGGGGAAGGGGGAAACAACAAAAATTTTAATTAAGAAAAAATTAGCATTTTTGTCCTATTTGTTTCCTCCTCCTTCGGGGCAGGACCTTCTTGTTGTAGCCCTGGCTAGCCTGGAACTCGCTATGTAGAGTAGGCAGTCTTTGAACTCTCAGATATCTGTCTGCCTCTGAGTAATAAGCACATAGGATGACGCTGTCACACCCAGCTCTGTGTTAATATCCTTATTATAATTACATCTTCCAGTTTCAGAAACCTTTTCAGTTCCCCTGTGAAAATGTGGGTGCGTTGTACATTCACCATTTCTGGCTCCTCAATTACACCTTATTTCTCAGAAATTCCTGTTTTGTCTTCTCTTCTCTCACTGTCTCTGTCTCTGTCTGTCTCCCCCCCCCCCCGTCTGTCTGTCTGTCTGTCTGTCTGTCTGTCTCTGTCCCCTCTCTCTGTCTTTCTGTCTCTCTGTCTCTCTCATGCATGTGCGTGAGTGCTCATGGACAAGGGGAAGGGTGGTGTGTGGTTTAGTGGGCGTGGAAGGCCTGTTGGGATGCTGGGCCGGTTGTCCTGGAGGGTGACTGACGTCTGTCCGCCTCCTCAGGCTTTTAGCACTTCAACTTCCTCTGTCCATTCACGTCTCCTCTCCAGTTTCTCATCTGCTTCAGATCAGACCCTGCTTTTGCTGAGGAAACAGGCATGTGCCGCAGCAGCTTCCACCCTGCTTAAAGTGATAGTTGAATATGATGTTATAGAAATCAGGGCAAAAGGCACTTCATTATTTGGGGTTTATTATCATCTTTGTGTCTAGTCAGTTATCTCATGGACATTTGGGCATTTGTTCCTAGCATACCTGAAAAGTGATTTATCTGTCTTGCTGGGTAGTGAACAGAGTGCCTTCTACATGCTAGACAACTGATCCCACCCAGGCTAGAGAGGGACCTCTCTGTTGGAACAACACAACTGAAACCATTGGCATCAGAGCAAATGTTCGATGAGCTGCATCCATTAACATTGTCCAGGACGGAGGATGAAGAAGCCCTCCCTCTGCAGACTCTGTGATCACATCAGCTCATTTGGGTTGATTGGCAGTATCCGTCTCTGAGAGCATCCATGCAGAGTGTCTCAGAGTGGCTGTGATGGCTAGAAAGCAGAAGAGTCTGGCTAGTTTGTATGGTGTTATGTCAGAGACAGAACAGTAGGCAATTACTGTGTTTGCTGCCATTGCTGCTTTTAAGGTGGGGGCCCCTCTGTGGAGGGACAGTCTTCCTTTCCTGCTGTAATCCATGCTCTGCTCCTTGTGAAGCCCAAGGTCTCCTGGGTGACGCCTCTTCTAGTCATTTCTGAGAAGACATCAAAGTCACTTAGGTGACACACATTTGTACTCCCAAGTTTGGGTGTGCACTGGGCCGAAATGCAAAAGACCCCTAGGAAGTCCACGGGAGCAGAGTCCTGACTGTGTGCTCAGCCTGTGTTTCGTCTGTTCTGTTCGATGAGAACGTGGTTGAGGGCTGGATTTCAGTGTCATGTACAGCTCCCTTAGTCTTAAACCATGGTCATTGGAGATTTTTTTTTTAAAGCAGATGAGACTCTTTGTTTTTTTAAGATTTATTTATTTATTATGTATACAGTGTTCTGTCTGCATGTATCCCTGCATGTCAGAGGAGGACACCAGATCTCATTACAGATGGTTGTGAGCCACCATGTGGTTGCTGGGAATTGAACTCAGGACCTCTGGAAGAGCAGCCACTGCTCTTAGCCTCTGAGCCATCTCTCCAGCCCCCTGGAGGAGATTTTTAAACTGCTTGCTTTATTTAGATACCCTGGAGACCTTTGGAGATCCATGGTCCTACCCTGAAATACTTACTCACCTGGTTATTTCCTTAGGTCATGTAGGCAGAGACCATCCTACTGTCCTTTTTTAACATGTTACAAGCTCATCCTATACTACTCTGCACCAGAGTGGGAGTTGGTCATTTCTTTTTTTTTAAATTACTTATTTTGCTTCCATTGGCGTTTTGCCTGCATGAATGTCTGCATGAAGGTGTCGGATCCTCTGGAACTGGAGTTACAGACAGCTGTGAGCCGCCATGTGGGTGCTGGGAATTGAACCCGGGTCCTCTGGAAGTGTAGCCAGTGCTCTTGACCACTGAGCCCTCTCTCCAGCCCTGGCCATCCTACTATTCTTGATGCCAGGCGTGGTGCTGAATGCCTGTAACCCCAGCACTTGGGCCTAATGGATGAGGATTCCCAGGAGTTTGAGACTATGCTGAGCCACATAGTAAATTCTAGGTCAGCCAGGGTTATGTAGTGACAGAAAACAAAACATTGAAATGGATTGTTCTCGGGAGCATTTGCTGACGGCTCTGTAATAAGCAATGACTGTGGAATTCCTTTTGGTCCTCACATCAAGGGCTCACACCCACTCTAAAACACCCCTGCAGGCACAGCAGCCGTAACAACAACCTCCCTGTTTCAGATCAAGTACAGAGTTCATCCAGGACCTCTTTTTTTAAAACCGAGACAAGAATTCTGAAGCCTGCAGGCTGCTGCTCAGTAGTGGAACTAGGCTTAGCTGCCTGAGGAGCTGGGTCCATCCTGCAGCAGAGAAAAACAAAAGGAAAGCGTCCTGAGACTGAGGAGGAAAAGAGCTGCTACATAAATAAGATCCTGGTCTTGGCTCTTTGTATAGTAAACGGTACATTTTACATTTAGTTTAATCAAAGGGGTCTTCAATTTTCCATTCTTCCTCCTGAAGGCCAAGATTTTTCTTTTGTCAAGAATGTGGGGTTGAGGGGCTGGCAAGATGGCGCAAGGTGGTTGCCACCAAGCTTGAGAAGTGGAGTTTGATTTCTGGAACCTAAGGGTAGAAGAAGAAGCACTTACTGCCCTCTGACCTCCACGTGCCTCCTCCCCCCCTGTCACGGCGCACACTGATGACAAATTGGCAGAGTGAGTGGCGGGCGCAGTGTCCTGCGTGAGGCTGAGATGCTTTTCTTTTCTCTCCTGTAGACTACATTTGGTCAATTTTGTGGAGCCTGTGGGCCTCAATTACTCCATGTTTATTCCTACCTTGCTGAATCAGGGCACCGCCGCTCAGCAAGAGAAATGGATACGTCCGTCCCAAGAACTCCAGATAATTGGTACCTACGCCCAGACGGAGATGGGCCACGGTTAGTCCACATCTGACGGGCCGGGGTGACCACCTCATGAGTTCAAGAAAAGTGACTCCTGCTGTTTGTTTGTGTTTTCCTTCCTCCCCTGCAGCTATGTGTTTGGGAGTTTATTTTTAAATTGTCTATCAAAACCCAGTTTATTTCCCCAGGACTCTGGCCAGTGGACATCTTAGAGCTGTTGTCATTGTCACGCATGCCCACTGTTAACAGTTCCTGAGCAGCTTGGAGAGGTGGCATTTAACACATCAGAGCACTCAGTTGTGTTGGTGTGTGTAGTTGTGAGGGAGGCTGTTGGAAGAGGTCGATGCCTCAGCAGTGTCTAGAGGTGAAGTCATAAGAATGCATTGTACTAACCGGAAAGGTAAAGAACTGTCCTGCTCTCCCGTTGACCGCTCGCTGCTCCGCAGTTTGAAAAGTGGGTCCTGTGGTTTTCTCCAGCTGTTTATTGTACATCTTCCGCAGAGTGCCTGTGGACCCTTCACTGCCAGTGGGTTTTTGTTAAATCCTTCCTAAATGCTTGGGTTCATTTAGCAGTTATGTTGGTGGGCTCAGTGTGGAATTAGACTGTTTGCAGAGACCACACCTGGGGTAATGTGTGTGTTTTAGCTTTTGTTTGGATACTGTTTCTTGTTTTGTTTTTCGAGACAAGAGTTTCTCTATGTAACAGCCCTAGCTGTTTTGGTACTCTTTTTTGTAGACCAGGTTGACCTCACCGAGGTCCACCTGCCTCTGCCTGCCATGTGATGGGATTAAAGGTGTGCGCCACCACTGCCTGACTGCTTTGGTTTTTTTAAGACAAGGTTGCCTGTCAAGTACGGTGGCACTTGACTTTAGTGCCAGCACTCAGGAGGGACTAGGTGAGTTCGAGGCCAGCCTGTCTCAAAAAAATAAAAAATAAAGCTGGGCGGTGGTGATGCACACCTTTAGTACCAGCACTTGGAAGACAGAGGCAGGTGAATCTCTGTGAGTTCAAGGACAGCCAAGACTACACAGAAAAACCCTGTTTCAAAAAACTTAAAAAAAAATTAATTTGGACATGGTGCTACATTCCTTTAATGCAGTTCTTCATGTTGTGATGACCTCCCAACCATAAAATTATTTTCATTGCTACTTCAAAACTATAGTTTTGCTACTGCTGTGAATTGTAATGCAAATATCTGCATTTTCTGTTGGTCTTTGGTAACCCCCACCCACAAGGGCTCTAGAGTGTGTCTTCCCTCCTCTTAAGGCATACCAGGAAATCTAGACAGACTTGTTCATCCTCCTGGAAAGGCCAGGCCTGGGCAGAGGAGGGGCACCCTACAGGGCTCTAGTGTTGAAGGGACAGTGTGGAAATCAGCCTCACATTTCTTTAGGTCACGAAGCAGGTGACCAGTTGAAGAACTTGTCATCTCATGGAGACTGTTTCTTCTCCCTTCTTCCCCATTAGCATTTTGGTTAGGGCTGTAGCTCTGTAATATAGGTGCTGCCCTGGAAGATGGCATTGGCAGATTCCTCTCACTGAAGAAATTCCTTTTTGCCTTCCATGGAGGAGAGCAGGTTTGGTCTCCTGAGTCACTCATCTTCCTGCGCTGCCCCCCCACTGTGCCCTGTGCTACTCTTGGTTCTTATCAGCTGACCGAACCCTGTGGGCTCCCATGAGACTTGCTTCTTGGTTTTGGGTTATTGTAATTTTCTCGACATTTTTCTGTCCATCTGTCTGTCTTTTTGATTTGATGCTGGGATGGAACCAGTCTTGAATCGTGTTAGACAAGCACTCCACTCCTGAGTGATATCTGTAGCCCTTCCCTGCTGCTATAATCTAACTTCTTTATAGGCATCATAGTGCTTGCTTAGCAAATGAGAGGCTCTGAGTTCAACCCCAGCACTGCAGTGAAGGAAGGAAATAGACACACACACACATACACACGCATGCACCCACACACAGACATATGTACTTAAACATGTATAGTATTTGGGATTATACCTTTAGCATATTATTATCAGAAATGAATTACTGCGCTGAAGGAAATGAACATTTTTTTTTTTTTTAGGAAATGAACATTTTAAACAGGTTTTTTTGTTTTGTTTTTTTGTGGGGGGAGGTTTCGAGACAGGGTTTCTCTGTGGCTTTGGACCCTATCCTGGAACCAGGTATTGTTGACCAGGCTGGTCTTGAACTCAGAGATCCGACTGCTTCTGCCTCCCAAGTGCTGGGACTAAAGGCGTGCCCTGCCACCACCCGGCTTTTTAAAGCAGTTTTTACTTTGTTTTGTTTTGTGTTTTGAGACATGGTCTCATGTAGGTTATAAAAACCTAGAACTCATTATTTAGCCAAGGACGACCTTGAACTTCTGGTCCTCCTGCCTCACTTCCGTCATCGTGCCCAGCTTCATTTGATTCTGAGCTTCTTTACCAGCTTTGTTTCATACAAGGTCTTGTAAACAGCTCACACTTGCCTTGAACTGTGGTCCTCCGGCCTCAGCCTTCCCAGTGCTGGGGCTACAGTCACCCCGTGCCCCATCTGTAGTGACTTGAGGATGCACTTGTCTCTGTAGCCCTGTCCAGGTGGCCACTTTGGTTTCCCCACACTAGCACACGCCTGGGAACTGAAGCTGTGGTGTTCCGTCGCCAGCTTGTCCTCGGGTCGCCAGCTTGTCCTCGGGTCGCCAGCTTGTCCGCGGCTACGGGTCTCAGTTGCTATTTGCATTTGCTTTGATAAGATGAGGGAATGTTTTTCCATCTTTGAGCATTGATGAAAATAGAATCTGCATATTGATTTCTCACAACACTCTTTCCATCTAATAATTCTTCCATTCTGCCTCAGGTGTCAGACTTTGTACTCTGTGTGCTGGACTGTTCTCGCTTCTGTTCTGTTTAGCTCATCTCCAACGATAACTTAGAGAGCGACATTTTCTACATTTGTATGTTTCTCAGCTAGTGGCTTTTCTTCTGTTGGTTCTTCATGGCTTCTTTTAGAGTTTTGTAATAGTATGACTTTATTTCTGGAATGTACTGTAGACATGAACTTCTCTGTGTCTGGAGGCTGGGAATGGAGCTCAGAGATTGGATGCTTGCCCAGTGTGTGCAAAGCCCTGGGCTCAATTTCTAGAACCAAACACTCAAAACAAAATGGAGTATGCACTTGGTATTCTTGCTTAAACCAGCATGACCTCTTCTGTGAGTGTCACCCCTTCCCCCCCCCCAGCTAGGGCTCCTCCCTCATTTAAATCCTGGGTCTCCTGTATGAGTTCTAGGGTTAGGTGTGTGGGATTAGCAGTGGCTTGGTTTTTGTGTGTTTGTGATAGAGCAGACCCAAGGCAAACTGTTTACCACTGAGCTGTGCCCCATTCACAGTGCTGATAGGAATGAGAAGGGTATCTCTCAAATGCAGCTGGGTTTGATTTGGTTGATGTGGTTTGGGTTTCTAAGGTAGGGTCTCCCTGTGTGGCCTGAACTGGCCTTGACCTGGGACCCTGCCTCAGCCTCCAGTGTGCTTGGATTACAGATGTGCACCATCACAGCTAGTCCCATGAATTGGCTTCAGTTTTTCCTCTAATTTAAAAATGATGACAAATTCATAGGGGGTTGCAAAAGTAGCACCAAGAGTCCCCACAGCTCTTCCACCTGCTCTGCCGGGGCAATCTTTTGTGATTTCCATTTTGATGTTTCTGAGGACAGCTCTGGACTTTAGACATCCTCAGTCCATGTCACGCTTGACCATTAAGATTGCCAACCAAAGACCAGAGTCATGACCAGGCTGTGAAACCAATCCTCGCCCTGGCTCGCCACTATCGTTTTGATGCGACTGTGGCACTTGGCCGTACATCTTCGTTCCTTTAGGAAGTGGGGACGTCACTGTGTCTTGTGGGTGGTTAGCCGAAAGCACAGCCACTTACTTGCCTTGGAGAGGCCCTTCCTGGTGAGCTCTTCCTAGGGAACAGGCTGGAACAAGCCGAGAGGTTGGGAGACTGGAAGGCGCTGGGCCAGACTCATCTCTACTCATCTCTGAGATGGTTAAATGCACCATAATGGATCGCAGCCCTGATGATGATTTGCACTTACAATGACCCTCACTAGAGAGCACGTCTTTAATTGCTGGAATTGTTGGGGTGGAGAGCACTGTCCCTTTCTGTGTTAATTTGCACCAATAGATCCAACCCGAGTATCTGACAGGATGAAATTAGTCCTGTAAAGACTGTGGGTCTGTCCTCAATATTTTCTGAACAGACAGAAGGGATCCCAGTCTAGACACGTAACTGAAACTGCGGTCAGAAAAACCTTAGTCCCAAGGGCTGGAGAGATGGCTCAGCTGTTAAAGGCTAGGCTCACAACCAAAAATATAAGGAAAACCTTAGCCCTGATTCGTTTTAGCCCTGAGAGAACAGCCCTGTTTCCCCTTCAAGTCTCCTCAAATTTCCATTCCCGTTTATTGAATTGCGAGGCTGGAGTCTTGCCCTTACACATTGTGCTACATGGGTCCCTGCCACACACACTGCCCCTTAAGAAGATGGATGTTGGGGAGAGTCATGACGTAATACAGGAAAGGACAGTGCTCCCTCCCGTCCATGATGAAGTGCACGTGACTGATTGATGCTCACAGTTGTTTTCTCTCCTTCCCGGCTCTGTCTGCTCACATTATTGATTCTCGCACCCCTGATGCTGCTCCCCTCAATTGCCTGTCCTTGGTATGTCTTCGAAGCTCTGTGCACCGAGGGCGACCTGAGCCTTTGGATCTTCACTTGGGCATGTTCCTGCCCACCTTGCTTCACCAGGCCACCGCAGAGCAGCAAGAGCGCTTCTTCATGCCAGCCTGGAATCTGGAGATCACGGGCACTTATGCCCAGACAGAGATGGGTCATGGTACAGTGTATTTAGTCTACCTTCTGGGTGGGCGGGTCCTGCGGACTGGTGGAGAGCCCCGCTCCCCATCATGAGCTGGTGACGGCACAGCAGGGTGCCGCTAGCTGTCCCTGTGAGCCTCTGCAGAGTCTGGCTCCCGGCTTAGGCTCAGGCGGTGTGAGTGAAGTTACTTAACACCGTGGTTGTTGGTTCTTCCTGACCCTGCTTCAGAAGATCAGGGATGACCAGTCAGGCCTACAGCCACGCAGTCTGTGGAACCTGTGTGTGTAGACTCTGAACACATCTGTTGTTACTTTCTGATGATTTCCTCAGGACACATAATGTCTGAGTGCCCTTTGACTTCCTATAGAGAGGTGTGTAGCTTCCGGTAGTGCAGTATTTATGCCGTGAAGTCACTTGTGCCTTGAAGTTCTGAAGGTGGTTTGACCAGAGGTTAGAAAAGTTAAGCCGTGCTTCCAGGCCACTGACATCAAACTGTTGGCACATACTTGCCGCCTCAGCTCTTTCTGAACCAGCTGGGGCTGCAGGTGGTAGTTTTTCTCGTGTCTAAATTGGCATCTCAGATTGCACCATCTTAATTGTCCCCCTCCCCCGTTCTGAGGAGTCAGAAAAAGATATATTCTATACAGCCTCCTCTTCGTGCTGAGCAGTATTTTATAGGGTCCTCACAAGGTACCCGGTGAGCAGCAGAGTTCAGCTCTCATGTGGGAGCACTTTGACTTTCCTGCTTGATCTAATGTGTCCCCAGGCTTCTGAGGCAGAGGAGTTCTCTCAGTGTCCCCAGGCTTCTGAGGCAGAGGAGTTCTCTCAGTGCCTGCTTTCTTCTACCTTGAGGGCTGTTGCTCACAAACTGCCCGTTTCTGTTGCTCAGTTTGGAATTTCTAGATGTCTCAAAGTATTCAGGGAAGCTTGGTGTTCTCAAAGTAGTTTGTTTAAAAAAAGCCTTTAGCATTTGTTTGGTGTAGTGCTACTAGAAGAATCGTGGGTGTCTGGAAGTAGAATTCAGAGTGGAAGTGTCCGCCCATCTCCAGCAACACACAAGACTAGAACACAGGCTTCCTTGCTCCTGAGCAGTGAGCGCTGAGGTGGAGTCTGGCTCTAGAGAGCCACAGAGTGAACCCAGGCTTTGGACCTCTAGGAGAATTACATGAAGTCACTTTTCATAGCGAATATATGTAGTGATCATTCTGAAATAAGTTACCCATATATGGAAGGTCTAGTTAAAGTGTTTCTGTCGAGTTGCCTTTGTCCTCAGTACAGAGGTAAATAGTTCACTAGAGTTGAAGTTGTCATTTTGAGACTCAGAAATGGGGGCCCAGGCTGGCAGTGTGGTGTGACCCAAGTTCAATTCCCAGGAGCCACTTGGTAGGAGATGGTGTGCTGTGGAGAGTAGCTGTCTCTGTTCTTAGAGCACGTGCTCCCTTTCCATCCTCTCTATCGGTCTCAGTACATGGGACACACTTACACACACATGTACACACACATGTACACACACATACCCACATGCACACACATGCACACACATGTACACACAGGGACACACTTAGAAGTGGGGTGCTCATGACTCTCCCGTGTGCTGCCCAGTGGGGAACTGTCCAGAGGATTATTAGCTTCTTGCTGGGCTGGGCCCATCACTCACAGCTGGTCTACAAACACATTGCTGCTTCTTGGCTGCCTCTGAGACCTGGAACTTTGAGGGTTCAGCAGGGACTCTGTCTGTCTGTCTGTTTGTCTGTCTGTCTGTCTGTCTGTCTGTCTGTCTGGTTGGTCTTTCCCCACTGTGCTGTGTCTGAGATCGTATGTTCTCTTTCCTTAGGGACTCACCTTCGAGGCCTGGAGACTACAGCCACATACGACCCCAAAACCCAGGAGTTCATTCTCAACAGCCCTACTGTGACTTCTATTAAGTGGTGGCCTGGGGGGCGTAAGTTGTTTTGTTTTGTTTTAAAGCATTTGTTGAATGCTGTGTTGTTGTTGAACATTTTGAGTACTTATTATGAGATGGTATTTACAACGTAGACCTTATATGAGAATATAATTGTTAAGCAAGAAAAAAATAGTTATAGTCTTAAACTACTACACGATGTTTTATGTTCTCTTGTGGTACATGTTATATCTGTATATATTGTAAAAGCATAACAGTTGTGGCTATAATACTTGACTTAGTTTTTCTTCTAAATATCCCCACATACCATAGTTCTCATAGTCATCATTTAAAATAAAATTCCTAGCCAAGTATGGTGGTACACCTCTTTAATCTCAAGAGGCAGGCAGGCGGATCTCCATGAGTTCAAAGCCAGCCTGCTTTACAGAGTGAGTTCCAGACTAGTCAGAGATACATAGTGAGATCCTGTCTCAGAAAATAAAATAAATTTCCCTATTTCTTTTCTTCTTGTTTTTTTCCGACAAGGTTTCTCTATGCAGCCCTGACTGTCCTGGAACTCACCCTGTAGACCAGGCTGGCCTGGAACTCACAGAGATCCATCTGCCTCTGCCTCCGGAGTGCTGGGATTAAAGGTGTGCGCTGCCACCACCCAGCATAGCTTCCCTGTTTCTTAATCCTGACAAAAATTTGAGCTACGTTCAGATTTTTATTGTAAATAACTTTGATATAGAATTTATATTTAGTGTCTAGTTCAGGTGTAATTAATACTTGATGGATTTTATTACTTGCAGTCTCATTTTGTTTTGGGGAGCAAGGTCTTGCTGTGTAATCCAGGTTGGTCTCAGATTCTCTAAGTATCTCAAAATAGCCTTTGTCTATTTATTTATTTAAATTTTTTTTTTTGATACAGGGTTTTGAGACCAGGCTAGCCTAGAACTCACAGAAATTTACCTGGCTCTGCCTCCGAAGTGTTGGAATTTCACACCTAAACTAGACTTTGTTGTTGTGTGATAGAAATAGAGGCAGTTTATTAAGAGAATAAAGGTGTTCCCAAGAGTAGATATGAGTTAAAGAGCTGGGACAGGTCCTAGAACCCATTGCCTGTACTGCCCCAGAGAGCTGGCTCAGCAGGCCAAGGCATGTTTGGTACAAGCCTGCCAACCTTAATGTGATCCCCTAAATCACATGGTGGAAGAAAAGAACCCTGACTTCCATGGGCACTGAGGCACCTACACCACCTCCTTCGTGCTCATGTGTGCACAAACCTAAATACTAAATGTTTAAAAACTGAAAACCTATCTTTTCTTGTTTAATGTAGGATTATCTGCCAAAAAATATAAAATAAGAGCAAAATATAAGCTTTGTCCAGAAGCTCTGTGTGAGATTGTCATGGGAAAGGACACACTTTCATGTGCTTTAATATTTCTACCATTTAGAAATTCTAGAACAGGGCCGGGCGGTGATGGCGCTCGCCTTTAATCCTAGCACTTGTGAGGCAGAGGCAGGTGGATCTCTGTGAGTCCGAGACTAGCTTGGTCTACAAGAGCTAGTTCCAGAACAGCCTCCAAAGCCACAGAGAAACCCTGTCTAAAAAAAAAAAAGAAATTCAAGAACAGGGCCGGTGCTTGTGCCAACACCAATGACTCGAGTTCAGTCCTCAGAAACTGTCATGGTGGAAGGAGGGAACTGTTCCCACACGTTTTCTTCTTACATGCACATGCATGCCATGTCACCTGCATGGGCGACTTCCCTCCAGCAAATGTGATATAACCTGTGAAAATACACACACACACCCAAGCTGGTGGTTCGTTCACACTTGTCATCCCAGCTCAACCTTCACAAGGCTCTACTTTTAGAAAAAAGAAATAGAAAAAAGAAAAACTAAAAAGCGGAACAACACACTAACGCCCCCCCCCCCCCCGTTCTTGACGTTGCAGTTGGGAAGACTTCCAATCATGCAATAGTTCTTGCTCAGCTCATCACTCAAGGGGAGTGCTATGGGTTACATGCCTTTGTTGTCCCTATCCGTGAAATTGGGACCCACAAGCCTCTGCCAGGTAAGGATGGTTCGTCTGATGTCAATTACACAGGGCAGGAGACAGGACTTAGCAGTTACAAACCCTGGCTGACCTTCCAGAGGACAAGGGTTCAGTTCCAGCACTTATATGGTGGTCCACAACTGTCTGTAACTCCAGTTCCATGGGGACTCAACACCCTCTTCTGGTCTCCTGGGGCCCTGGACAGGCATGTGGTCATGGACATACATGCACAGAAAATACCCACATACATAAAATAATTGAATAAGCTATAAAAAGTATAAGGCAAGGAATTCAAAAGTATAAATCTCAACCCTGTCTCGAAAAACCAAAAAAAAAAAAAAAAGTATAAATCTCTCATGTGTTTCTGTTGTCTATGGTAGGTATTACTGTTGGGGATATTGGCCCCAAATTTGGTTATGAAGAGATGGATAATGGCTACCTGAAGATGGACAATTACCGTATTCCTAGAGAGAACATGCTGATGAAATATGCCCAGGTATGTTTGTTTATTCTATCTGATTTTAAAGTTGTCATTGTCAACTTCTCACTGTGTACCCAGTCTAGCTAAACTAGAGTCAGGGCAGTCCTCCTGCTCCAGCCTTTCCATGTTGGCTGCAGAAGGTGACATGCCCTGACTTCTGGCTTCTTTTATTCTAACAGGGACTTAGAAGCAGTTGAGGAGGGTGGGAAAAGTATTGGTTCTCAAGCCCTGAAGCAACTTGAAATTGCCTGGAAGGCAAATTAGAACTCAGAGCCGAGTACAGTGTCCACTGAGGGGGCAGAGGAAGCGAGTTCAAGGTCAGGCTGCGCTCACTGCATAGCAAGCCTATGTCCTTTGTGTTATGTTTTGTTTCCAGACAGGGTTTTTCTATGTAACCCTGGCTTTACTGGAACTCACTCTGTAGACCAGGCTGGCCTGGAACTCAACAGAGATCCACCTGCCTCTGCCTCCTGAGCCCTGGGATTAAAGGTGTGCACCACCATCGCCTGGCTTAACTCATGCCTTAAAATCAAGCCCTTGCCTTCAAAATCCCTGGTTCCGAAGGTTAGAGTCAGGAGTGAAATTTAGTATTTCAGACTGGTTGCCAGGTCCTGCTGAAGCCAGGTCCCCTGCTGTCCCAGCTCCCACAGAAAGCCACTTCAGACCTGTTTATTTTCCCAGGTGAAGCCCGATGGCACGTATGTGAAACCCTTGAATAACAAGCTGACGTATGGGACCATGGTGTTCGTCAGGTCCTTCCTCGTGGGAGATGCAGCTCGGTGTCTGTCCAAGGCTTGCACCATCGCCATACGCTACAGTGCCGTGAGGCACCAGTCTGAAATCAAGCCAGGGTGAGGTGGGGTCTGAGACAGCTCATGCCGATGGCGATGGCTTGCTTTGACCGTTCTTAAGAGGGTAGAGCAGAGTAACTACTTCATTCATTTTCCTCCCTGGTACCAGTCCCATGTGCTAGGTGTTAACCCAGTCACATGTGCTAGGCCCCCAAGGGCATAGCATCTATGTAGCATGCATGATGGCAAGGAGTCAGGGACAGGCAGGCAAGCTGCTTCTGTCTTTAAAATTTAAAAACAAACAAAAAACCCTACAAAACTGCTAATTAAAAAATTGCTTATTATCTGGCGGTTTGATACACATATACAAGATTATCTTGACCGCTTTCAACCCCAGGGTCTTTGTCAGTTCTTAATACTTTAAATATTTAGCTGGTCAGAACACAGTATGTTGAGCCTTTTGTGACATCTCTGAATTGTGAGCTGACCAGCTTGGGTTTCTGTGTAGCTGTGAGATATAGCTGTCTCAGTCATACGGGAAACACTGAGTCAGTTAGAAGACTGTCTTCACAACAGTGCAGGAGAGTGGAGAAGAGCATTGCAGGTGGATCTCTGCATGTTCCAGGACAGCCTGGTCTACAGAGTGAGTGCCAGGACAGCCAGCACTATGGAGAGAAACCCTGTCTCAAACAACCAGGGAGAAAAAAAAAAAAAACAATATGACCTTACAGAGCCAAGAACTGCCATTTTGAGCTGTGTGACCTCAGACAGATTCCCTAACTTCTCAGTTTCCCCATTTGTATAATGACAGTAGTGACAGCCGCTGTCATACAGTAAGAACCTATGTAAGGATGAATTCAATTGCCATGTCTTTATTGCAAGTAAATATTTACTAATTGTTTTTTTCTTTTTTCTGTTATTTAGTGAACCAGAACCACAGATTTTGGATTTTCAAACCCAGCAGTATAAACTCTTCCCTCTGCTGGCCACTGCCTATGCCTTCCACTTTGTAGGAAGGTACATGAAGGAGACCTACCTTCGAATCAATGAGAGCATTGGTCAAGGAGACCTGAGTGAGCTACCTGAGGTGTGAATGCACTTTCTCATTCCTCTGTAAACACCCGTAGGTTTCCATAGATAACCATAGGTTTCATGTTTGCCTGTTGGCAGACATCCAACAACAACTGCATGTTGGAATTTCCTGAAAAGCATTCCATAACCTTGGAACTTTTTAAAATTAAATACAGATCAGATGGCAAGCTAGAATTGTTATAAACAGAATTTTAATAGGGGCTCATTGTTTGGCCAAGTACAACCATTCAGAAAGGTGAGAACATTGCTGATTCAGACCACAGATGACCGTCTCTGCAGTAGACATGCACACAGACCGCAGATGACCGTCTCTGCAGTAGACATGCACACATCACAGATGACCGTCTCTGCAGTAGACATGCACACAGCTCACAGATGACTGTCTCTGCAGTAGACATGCACACAGCTCACAGATGACCGTCTCTGCAGTAGACATGCACACAGACCACAGATGACCGTCTCTGCAGTAGACATGCACACACATCACAGATGACAGTCTCTGCAGTAGACATGCACACACATCACAGATGACAGTCTCTGCAGTAGACATGCACACAGATCACAGATGACCGTCTCTGCAGTAGACATGCACACACCACAGATGACCGTCTCTGCAGTAGACATGCACACAGATCACAGATGACCTTCTCTGCAGTAGACATGTGCACAGACCGCAGATGACCGTCTCTGCAGTAGACATGCACACATCACAGATGACCGTCTCTGCAGTAGACATGCACACAGATCACAGATGACAGTCTCTGCAGTAGACATGCGCACAGACCGCAGGTGACCGTCTCTGCAGTAGACATGCACACATCACAGATGACAGTCTCTGCAGTAGACATGCACACATCACAGATGACAGTCTCTGCAGTAGACATGCGCACAGATCACAGATGACCGTCTCTGCAGTAGACATGCACACATCACAGATGACAGTCTCTGCAGTAGACATGCGCACAGATCACAGATGACCATCTCTGCAGTAGACATGCACACAGCTGGTTCTGACATGTCCAGCGCACTTCCAGGAGAATGTCTTTCTATTGGAAGGTGGGTTCTAAGCCAGGGTTCTCATGGCCTGTACTTGTCCCCTAGCTTCACGCCCTGACTGCTGGGCTTAAGGCTTTTACTACCTGGACAGCCAATGCTGGTATTGAAGAATGTCGGATGGCTTGTGGTGGACATGGCTATTCTCACAGCAGCGGAATTCCAAATATTTATGTCACTTTTACCCCAGCCTGCACCTTCGAGGGAGAAAACACTGTCATGATGCTTCAGACAGCCAGGTGAGAAGCTTCTGCACTCCACCGGGAAAGGCGGGGATGGCTCCCTTCTGCCATGACTCCTTGTTTGTGATCAGGTTAGGTCACTGCTGCTGTGACGAACACCATGACCAGTGTAACTGGGGGCGAAAGCGTTTTCTTTTCTTTTTTAAAGATTTATTTATTTATTACATATACAGTGTTCTGTCTACACGTCAGATTGAATTGTAGATGTTGCTGGGAATTGAACTCAGGTCCTCTGGAAGAGCAGCCAGTGCTTTTAACCTCTGAGCCATCTCTCCAGCCCACGAAAGAGTTTGTTTGTTTGTTTGTTTGTTTGGTTGGTTGGTTTTACGAGACAGGGTTTCTCTGTATTATTTGGAGGCTGTCGGTCCAGCCTGGCCTCGAACTCACAGAGATCCGCCTGCCTCTGCCTCCCGAGTGCTGGGATTAAAGGCGTGCGCCACCACCACCCGGCGCGAAAGAGTTTTTTAAGACATAACCTTTCCTTGTTTTTGGAAACAAGAGCTCAGATTAATTAATTAATACCACAAATATAAAACATATGACATCTTGAAAGTCTTTACCATTTCAAACACTTTAAAAGTTCAGTGTTACTTAGCCAGGTGGTAGTGGTGTACCCCTTTAATCCCAGCACTCGGGAGGCAGAGGCAGGCAGATCTCTGTGAGTTCAAGGCCAGCCTGGTCTACAAAGCTACACAGAGAAACCCTGACTTGGAAAAAACAGAATTCAGTCACTGAGCTGGGCAGTGGTGGCGCTCGCCTTTAATCCCAGCACTCCGGAGACAGAAGCAGGTGGATCTCTGTGAGTTCGAGGCCAGCCTGGTCTACTGAGCGAGTTCCAGGACAGCCTCCAAAACAATACAAAGAAACCCTGTCTTGGAAAAAAAGAAAAGAAAAGAAATCAGGACAGGAAACTCAAATAGTGCAGGAACCTGGAGGCAGGAGCTGATACAGACACCATGGAGGGTGCTGCTTACTGACTTACTCCTTTTTTTTTTTTTTTTGTCCCCTCCCTCTTGCTGGCTTATTTCTAAATGTTTGCTTGGCCTTTCTTTTTGTTGTTTTTCCATTCAATGTTTCTCTGTGTAGCTCTGGCTGTCCTGGAACTAGCTCTCGGCATGCTGTCTTATGAAAATCTAAGACTAGTAGCCCAGGGACAACACACACACACACAATAGCTGGGCCCTCCCCCAAAATCACTAGCTTAAGTAAATGCTCTGCAGCGGGCTTTTCAAGCTTCCTCATGCTGCGAGCCTTTAACACAGTTCGTGACCCCAGCCAAAGAACTGTTTTCGTCGCTACTTCATAACTAATTTTGTGGCTACTGTTACGAATCATCGTGTAAATATCTGTTTTCTCATGAGGGGTCGCGACCAACAGGTTGAGAACCATGCTCTACAGGCTTGCCTACACCCTAATTTTATGGAGGTATTTTCTGAGCTTCCCTCCTCTCAGATGACTTTATCCTGTGTCAAGTTGACATAAAGTTAGCCAGCACAATGGTCAGACTCTATGAAATCATTTCAGTAGCTACTAAAAATATGTGTTTTGGTGATTTCTAGGTTCTTGATGAAAACCTATGACCAGGTGCACTCTGGGAAGCTGGTGGGTGGCATGGTGTCCTACTTGAATGACCTGCCCAGTCAGCGTATCCAACCACAACAGGTGGCAGTCTGGCCAACCCTGGTGGACATCAACAACCTGGACAGCCTGACTGAAGCCTACAAGCTTCGTGCAGCCAGGTGAGCCCCCATCAGGGGTAAGAGGCCAGCTGTGGGGCCTTCCGGGCTGGGGCCAGGTTGAGGGGTGAGAAAGAACCAAGATGGCTTCCTCCCTCTCTACTCTCCTTGTTGCTTGACAGATTGGTAGAAATTGCTGCAAGAAACCTCCAGACTCACGTGAGCCGCAGGAAGAGCAAGGAAGTAGCATGGAACCTGACTTCTGTCGACCTCGTTCGGGCGAGTGAGGTCAGTGGTGGCTCCCTGCTGCCCCTTCCTTCATGCCCAGGTCACTGTGGCGGTTTCACCAGCCCAGGCTGGTCGGGAACTCAACAAGTGGCTAAAACTGACCTCAAAGTCATGGCAGTCCTCCTGCTTCAGCCTCTCAAATGTTGGAATTAGACGCGGAAGCCACCACAGCCACCTTCCCAGGGTCCCACACTCCACTGTTTGTCTTTCCTCCAGGCCCATTGCCACTATGTGGCAGTTAAGCTGTTTTCAGAGAAACTCCTCAAGATCCAAGACAAAGCCGTCCAGGCTGTCCTGCGGAATCTGTGTTTCTTATATTCTCTCTATGGGATCAGCCAGAAGGGAGGAGATTTTCTTGAGGTCAGTATTTCCAAGCAGAAGTCTTGTTTTGTGCTCGTCTGTTTGATTTTAAGCAGTTGTCTGTTTTACAGTTCTGTGTGTATAAATGTCTAGTCTGTACATGTTTTTATTGATTCATTTTATCTCTTTTCCTTAGGGGAACATCATCACTGCAGCTCAGATGTCACAAGTAAACAGCCGGATCCTGGAATTGCTCACACTAATCCGGCCCAATGCCGTTGCTCTGGTGGACGCCTTTGACTTTAAGGATATGGCGCTCGGCTCTGTTCTTGGCCGCTATGATGGGAACGTGTATGAAAACTTGTTTGAGTGGGCCAAGAAATCCCCACTGAACAAAACGGAGGTAAAACAAGCAAAAAGTGTCTTTCCGGCTTTTGGAGTTCTTGTTTAATTCTGTGCAGTGCTAGTTCAGAGCCCAGGGTGCCCTGGCAGGTGCTGGCAAGGGCTCTGTCCCTGAGTGGCACTCCTGGCCTGTCGACTTTTGTCATATAAGAGGGAGGATGGGCTGGAGAGTGCTTGATGCTGCTACCTGGATTTGGCTCCTACCACATATGTTGAGTGGCTCACATGGTGATTCCAGCTCCAAGGGATCCAACACCCTTTCTGACTTCCATGGGCCCCTGAATACATAGGAACACACACACACACACACACACACACACACACACACACACACACACACACACACACACACACACACAGATTCAATACATACGTACACATACATTTATATATTTACTCATTTATTTTTTAAATAAAGGATGGGCATAGTGGGGCACACTTTAATCCCAGCACTGGGAGGCAGAGGCATGCAGTCTCTGGGAGTTTGAGGCCAGTCAGGGCTATATAATGAGCCCCTGGTTTAAAAAAAAGACAAAAACAAACAAAAGTATTTTTATTTTTGTCTTTATAAGGTCCACATAATTTCTCAGTTAAAAGTGGTGTTGTTAGCCGGGCGTTGGTGGCGCACGCCTTTAATCCCAGCACTCGGGAGGCAGAGGCAGGCGGATCTCTGTGCGTTCGAGGCCAGGCTGGACCGATAGCCTCCGAAACAATACAGAGAAACCCTGTCTCGTAAAAACAAAAAAAAAACAACAAAAAAAAAAGTGGTGTTGTTACTGTTTAAAGATGAATGCTAGTTTACATGGGAAGTTCCTTACTGGTCGTCTCTGCCTTCCCTGCAGGTCCACGAGTCTTACTACAAGCACTTGAAGCCCCTGCAGTCCAAGCTTTGAACTTCCCCAGGGAGAGGTCTGACTTGCTCCAGAGATCATCGGGAAATCTCTTCCTTGATTCACTAATCCTTGTGAAATCTTCATCAAATTTGTGTAGCTATAGAGCAACTGGTGGATTGGCCTTTTTCGTCTCTAAGAGAAATGAGCAGACTGTAGAGATGAAATGAGAAATTCCGTATGCTTTGAGTGCAGTAACAGACTCTTAGGTACTCAGAGGGCTGGCTTCACAGCTGTGGTCTGACCTCCACCTGTGCTGCTAATCCCAGTAGGCCGTCAGCAATTAGCGGGGTTTACTTCTAAATCCTTAGTTATTGTCACATTTTTACTGCTAATCACTGGATATATGTTTTCTAAAGCAAAGGTGTTTTATAAGGTGGAACTTTCCAGGTTTTCCAGCCTAAATAATCTACACTAAAAAGGCGTTGGGAGCCTGAAACTAATAGGAGCCCTGATGTGGGTGCAGCTGGTACATCCGTAGCCGCTGCTGCCTGCTGTGCGGATGTGTACTCTGAACTTTATCATTAACACAGCCAACACACACCCACCTAGGAACCATAAGCCCTTGCTGGAATGGCCATCTGTCCGGGCTCTAACTTTCCTGGTCATAGCACTATTGCACCTTGTCCCTTGCTTGTGACATAGTTAGGCACAGTTATCTTTTCTTATTTGGCCATTGCCTGGACTTCAGTCCTGGTGGCTGGTGTCCTCCCTTTCCTGCTTGCCCTTTGAAAGAGATACTAAAGACGGTGACTATGCTTTCCTTGTAGGTTAAGTGGAGGGAGAGCCCTCAGCTGTGGCACTGCTGTATTTTGGTGACTTCATTAAGTAAAATTCCTGGGACAATCCAGATTTGATTCCTTTGTCTTGTGGTAAGCTGTTAAAATGCTTGGTGGTCAAGTATTTGGCATATAAAAGTAAATCACTCAGGTCACCTTTAACAACCAGAAATAACAGAAAACCCTTTGCCACAGCTATGCACTGTGGTTTCTAGTTCAGGAGATATAATCATTGGTGCAGGCCAAGGATGAACAGAGGTCGCAGCTAGTTCCTTGCTGCTGAGTACTTGGCTTTGTGGTGTTAGCATCCTTACCTAGCAGGTCAAACAGCCCCTTCAGTTGCAGTCTAGTTTCTACAATCATTGTGCTTAAAGGTGAAATATACCCTTTGTGTGGGGTGGGGTGTGTGTGTGTGTGTGCACGTGCATTTTTTGTATGGTGATTTTGTTTGTTTTGAGATGGGCCCAGACTGACCTTGAACTCTTGATCCTCAGTCTCCTGAGTGCTGGTATTATAGGTATGTGCCACCATGCCTGGATAATAGGGACTCTTTGTTCTTAAAATCACAGAGAAGGCATTTTAACCTGTTAACCCTGTACCCATGGTATTTGCATCATGAAGACAATTGAGGACATTATACTGTTGAGAATATAGTATAATGAAGTAGAAATAATGTCTTCACACCTGACATAAAACCAGTCCCAGGGCAGTTGATAACATTAGATTTGTTGACACAAAGCCTTAACCTTTCTCCTGGAACAACTGATAACTGCTTATGATTGAACATTAGCACTATGTCACCTCATTTGGGTTTCTATTGACAACACTTCATATTCTTGAAAATAAGAAATAAATCTAAATGACTGGATTTGGCTGTGAAATGCAGACTCATTTCTGAATACTGTGTTCATAGATAATGGTGGACAGCATCTGCTGTGTGAACCAGCCCTGCTGTGTGAACCTCATCCCGTTGCATAGACCTGGAATCTTAGTAGGATTGAAGAGGTGGTCTACACGATAGAGCCCCCTCTAGCCTCAACACTTGAGTTCTGTTTAAAAAGTTAAGTGTGGCAGGGGTAGGGGGTGGGGGTGGGTTGGTGGCATATGCCTTTAATCCCAGCACTGGGGGGGGGGGGGGGGGGGACGGGGACACAGAAGCAGGCAGATCTCTGTGAGTTCAAGGCTGGGCTGGTCCGACAGCCTCCAAAACAATACAGAGAAACCCTGTCTCCTAAAACAAAACAAAACAAAAAACTTTTTTTTAAAAAGTTAAGTGTGGTGACAGAGACAGGCATATGGCTCTCTATGAGTTCAAGGCCAGCCTGGATTGCATGAGTTCCAGGCTGCCAGAGCTGGTTTGACACTTGGGACTAGAACTTGTAATGCATTAGGTGTTTTACCTGCATCTGTATCTGTGTACCAAATGTGTTCAGTGCCCTTGGAGGCCAGAATAGAGTGGTGGATCCCCAGGAACTGGAGTTACAGAGATCTGTTAGTCCTTCTATGGACAACTCTAGTTCCCAAGGATCCAGGGGATACCACGCCTTTAATCCCAGCACTCGGGAGGCAGAGGCAGGTGGATCTCTGTGAGTTCGAGGCCAGGCTGGACCGACAGCCTCCAAAACAATACAGAGAAACCCTGTCTCGTAAAACCAAAAAAAAAAAAAAAAAAAAAAAAGAACAAAACACCCCCACACATAGAATAAAAACAAACCTTTAAAAAGAAAGGAAGAGACAGAAAAGATCACTGTTGCTCAGCTCTCTCCTCTTCAGAACGTCCTGCCCAGGACTGGGCCCGCCCACAGTTACACTTTGTCTCCCACATGATTGACAGACCCCCACAGGTGTGCCCAGACACCAGTCTTCCAGATGATTCCAGACTACCAAGATGACAGCACTAGCCATCACCATGCCCTTTGGCTTTCACTCGATGAGCCTGGTGTTGAGGTCAGCTTAGGTGCTCTGCTTACTGCTGTGCTCTGTCCAAAGGCTTCCCCAGGGTTCCACAGAGCTTAGAACCTGGGGCTCCCTGATCTCCCTGGTTTTCTTTCACAGCACAGCTTTTAGCTGCTGCCTAGAACTTTACAAATTCATCACCTAATGTTCGCTGGAGTCAAAAGTTTAAATACTTGCTACCCAGAGTTGTTCCTCCTTTTCTGAATTCTTTAAATCTGTCTTCCTAGGAAATGAAACAGGCATGGGTGGTGGAAATCCCTGACAGTCATTGTGGGCTGGTGACCTAGCCCAGCAGCTTTGCCAGTGACAGGTTCCTGAGAGGAGGACCAAGAGACCAGAAAATATAGGTAGGAAACTTCGGGGTCAGGAGGTTTTGCCCCAGCTGTATCTTAGACCAGTATCAGGCTGGAGAGATTGCTCAGCTGTTGAGAGCGCTGGATGCTCTTCCAGAGGACCCCCGTTCATTTCCCAGCACCAACATAGCAGCTCACAGCTGTGTGTAGCTCCTGGATCTAACACCCTCACACAGATACACATGCAGGCAAAACACCAATGCACATAGAAACAAATAAATTATGTATGTGTGTGTGTGTATAAAGTATATGAGTTTGTAGGAGGAAATGGGGCAGTCAACAGAAAGCATCCACACAATGGGATGGTGCCTGAAGGAAGCCAAGCAAGCTATAATTGCACAGAGATCCATCCCAGGCTGTCTCAAGTGCACCGTGGATCAGGCACGCAGCACTCTTGGGACTATTAACTCCAGTCTCTTCAAGGGGGAAAAGTAGGTGCCTACAAACTGAAACCTTAATCCTTCAAGACCCTAGCCCCAGCCTCAGACCAGACCTTGCCAGTTCTGGCCCCGGGCAAGGACTCAGACCGTCTAGCAACCCTTTGTCCTTTCATCAGGGACTAAAAAGCAGGTTCATTTGTTTGTTCGAGAAAGAGAACTGACTCCAGGAAGTGGTCCTCTGATCTGCACACATGTTGTAGTGTGTGGGAGCTCACACACGAGTAAATATGAAGTTAAAGAATATATATGAGGATTTGCTTTTATCTGTCCACACTTAGTGAATTTTTCTTTTGTGTTTTACGTGTGTTGTGTTTTTGTGTGTTGCCTGTGTGTCTGTGCCACCCGCAATGGCAGATCCCCTGGACCACACGGTGCTGGGGAACCAACCTGGAAGAGTAGTTGGTGCTCATAAAATTGCCAAGCCGTCTCTCCAGCCCCAGCTTACTGAAGATTTGTTGTTTTGTTTTTTTATCTTCAAGACAGGATTTCTCTGTGTAGCCCTGGATGTCCTGGAGTTCTGTAGATCAGAGATCTGCCTGCCTCTGGGCCTGAATGCTAGGATTAAAGGCTTTGCCACTACCACCTGGCAGTTTGCTGAATTTCTAAAATACTCCTGTGGTTTGTAATGGTAAAAATATGACAAACTCTTTTTAGGTTTTTTTTGTTTTTGTTTTTGTTTTTGGGTTTTTCGAGACAGGGTTTCTCTGTGGCTTTGGAGGCTGTCCTGGAACTCACTCTGTAGACCAGGCTGGTCTCGAACTCACAGAGATCCGCCTGCCTCTGCCTCCCGAGTGCTGGGACTAAAGGCGTGCGCCACCAACGCCCGGCTCTTTTTAGTTTTTTTATAACCGGTTTTTTAGTGTTTGCAAGTGCCTGGATTCTAGTGTGGTTTCCTTTAGTTTTGTTTTAACTAGTTAAATTTTGGTTGCCAGGCAGTGGTAATGAACATTTTTAATCCCAGCACTTGGGAGGCAGAGGCAGGCGGATCTCTGAGTTCAAGGCCAGGACAGCCAAAGCTACACAGAGAAACCCTGTCTCAAAAAACCAATCAATCAAATCAATAAATTTGAGTTAACTTTATTACAAGTTTCTTTTTGCAATAAATGGCAATTAATACAGAGACAGCTGATCAGCATATAGCGTGTAAGACACTGGAAGTGCTCAGCCCTAAGTGGAACATCTATACCACACATTCACATACCACATACACACATCATACACACACACACACACATCATGCACACAACACATACACACAAATCATACACACAACACATACACACACATCATACACACCATATACACAAACCACACACACACCATATATACACAAACCACACATCACACACACACATACATACACCATACACACACACAAGGCTGTAACTGCTCTCACACAGCCAAGCCAGCCAGTCTTTCCACATGGATGGGGACAGGCTCCCCACCCCAGCTGAGTGAGGAGCTTTTGGCAATTGATGCCAATGGGAGAGTGTCAGTTTTATTGAGGAGTTCTTCCCCTGGTAGGTGCCCGTGCTCCAGTGTGCCCAAGAGCATGGCCCTGCACCGCTGCAGGCACAGAAGCACTAGTGGACTCTGGTTTTAGGAAAGAGCACATGAAGGTGGAGGGAACAGGCTGGGGAAGGAGGTACGGGAGGGGCTGGGGATGTAAAGTGGAGGGTGGATTTGATCTAAGCAAAGACACATATAAAACTTATTTAACCCAGGTCGGGATGGCACACACCTTTAATCCCAGCACTCAGGAGGCAGAGGCAGCAATTCTCTGAGTTTAAGGCCAGCCTGGTCTACAAATCGAGTTCCAGGACCGCCAGGACTGATACACAGAGAAACCCTTTCTTGAAAAACAAACAAAAATAAGTACACACTACTCTTAAAAGAACCCAAGTTTGGGCTGGAGAGATGGCTCAGCGGTTAAGAGCACTGACTTCTTCCAGAGGTCCTGAGCTCAATTCCCGGCAACCACATGGTGGCTCACAGCCACCTTGAATGAGATCTGGTGCCCTCTGCTGGCCCGCTGGCAGAAGATTGGATACATAATAAATAAGTAAAATAGTAAAAAAAAAGAAAGAACCCAAGTTTACATTTTTTAGACTTATTTTATGTGTATTTGCTTGGATATGCATCTGTATACCACATTCCCTGGTGCCTGAGAAGGCAGTGAGCCTCCATGTGCTTTTGAACTTTACCACTGAACCAACCCAACTCTATCCAGAGGCCCCAAGTAATCCCCAGTATCCATGTTAGGCTTCCTACAACTGCCTATACTCAAGGGGATTAGCAATCTGACTTCCATGAGTGCACATACCCATCCCCCAGTCATGCACAGGAACAAACGTGGTGGTTTGAATAGAAATGGCCCCCAGAGACTCATTCGTGTAAATGCTTGGCTTATAGGGAGAGGCACTGTTAGGAGGAGGTGTGGCTGTGGAGTAGGTGTGGCCATGTTGGAGGAAGAGTGTCACTGTGCAGGCAGGCTTTGAGGTCTTATAAGCTCAAGCCTGGCCAGTGTGACACAGTTTCTCCTTCTGTTGCCTGTGGGTCCAGACACAGGACTCTTGGCACCTTCTCCAGCGCCATGTCTGCCTGCGGCACAGCATGTCCCACCATGACTGTAGTGGACTGGACCTCAGAAACTGTGAGCCAGTCCCAACTAAGTGTTTTCTCTACAAGAGTTACCACGGTCATGGTGTCTCTTCACAGCAATAGAAACCCTAACTGAAAGAAAACAATTTAAAAATAAAAATTAAAAAGAATTCTGCATCTATTTTGCTACAGTATTGTTGGCTTTTGTTGTTTTTTTTTAAGACAGTGCACATTATCTTCCATATAGTGACCACCGGTAGACGACGGCTCAGTGACTAAGGGCACACACTGCTTGTGGTGGTTGAAGGAAATGGACCCCAAAGGGAGTGGCACCATTAGGAGGCGTGGCTTTGTTGGAGTAGGTGTGGTCTTGTTGGAGGAGTGTGTCACTGTGGGGGTGGGCTTTGAGGTCTCATATGTGCTCAAGCTACACCCAGTGAGACAGATCACTTCCTGTTGCTGGCAAGTCAAGACGTAGGACAATGAAGGGCCTGCTCCTCCATCACCGAGTCTGCCTGTACGTCACCATGGCCATGTCGCACCGTGATAATAATGGACTGAACCTCTGAACACGTGAGCCACCCCAATGAAATGTTTTCCCTTTGTAAGAGTTGCCGCGTTCATGGTGTCTCTTCACAGCAATGGGAACCCTACCTAGGACGCTACTTGTGCACAGGACTCATTTTGGTTTCCCAGCACCCATAATCCACAGCTCACAGCTGCCTACGACTCCAGCTCCAGAGCACCCAACGCTTACCCCCGGCACTCATGCAAAAACCCACACATAACACACAATTATTTAAAATATCTTTTGAAAGACTGCTTGCTACTGGTTGATAAACATTTCATTTTCAGTTGCCATGGGATTATCTAAATGACTTGTTATCTTTAGTTCCTGACAATAGCCTTTAGCATATGTTGCTACCCAGCCCTGTAGAAATGGGGTAGGAGGTTGCTGTCCAGGACCACAGCTTGCAAATTATGGTTAGACACTGATGACCTGCCAACACTTTAATAAAAAATCTTACATCTAAATCTGTAATGGGATGGGTGTGGTGGCATAGGCCTTTAATCCTACCTCTTGAAAGAGAGAAGCATGGGGATCTCTATGAATTCAAGGCCAAACTGGTTTACTTAGAGAGTTCCAGGACAGATGGGGCTTACACAGTGAGACCCTGTGTAGGGAGAAAGGGACAGTCAAAGAAACACACCCTGAGCAGAGCCAAAGAAACACATTTTGTCCCTACAAACAGAACTAAATAAATGCACCCTGACCCTGAAACCAGTGCCAAAGAAACACACTTTGTCCCTGGAATCAGAGCCTGTGAAAGAAATGCACGCTGGCCCCAAAATTAGAGCCAAAAGGCTAAGAAGGACCAATGAAAGAAACACACTTTGGCCCTGAAACCAGAGCCAAATCTGACCCTGAACCTGAGCAGAAAACCAACCAATCCCTGAGCAGGAGATGTAGCCAATCTGAGCTCAGGGATCGAAATCTGACCAATCCCCCCCTGGAAAAGCCCCGCCCCTAAGGAGTCCTATATAAACCCTGAGTCTGTTCAGCTTGTGGCTGTTCAGGCTTGTCTGGCTATCCTCTGCCGCCCTGGCAGAGGCGGCCACTCTCCTGGATTCTTCCCTCCCAATAAATCTCTCGAATGAGGTTTGGGTGAGACCTTTGCTGCAATGGAGCCAGGGAGAGAAATAACAGCTTTTCACCAGAGCCGAGCTGAGAGGAGCTGAGCAGAGCTGTAACACTAGCAGGGGAAAACCTTCCCAGGGACTGGAGCCAAACTGTAACAACTTCGCTGGGGAAACTCCTCTGCTGGAACAGAGCCATTACCCTGGGGAAGCCTCTCCCAGGAGCAGGGCTGCGAGCTGCTACGCTTACTGTGACCTGTGGTAGTCCTTGGCTCCCCAGTGCCAGAATCCCTGTCCATCCCATCTGAGTCACTGTGATGCTTACACCATCTCTAAAAAAACAAACAAAACCTGCAATAAGTACACCCAAGAAAATACGTAAAGTGTATTTCTGAGACACTTCTGTAGCTGGCCTCAAATCTGCAGCAGCCGGGTTTGACGTGGGAAATACCGTTTTGGTTCAGGCTAGGCTTTACAAATGCTGTGGTTCCGGGCGTGGCGTGTCCACCGCGTGCCTCTGTTGATGGCTTTGGGTTTTCTGGTAGCGCAGCTTTGACCTCTCCATTGACCACGAAGGTTACTGTCACCAATCAGCGCGAGGAGCTAGCTTGCACACAGTCAGAGGCTGCTTCCCCTGCCCCTCACTAGAGTGCCATAGAAACAGCTCCTAGCAACGGACGTCCAGCCTTGAGAAGCGGGGCCCCACCGCGGGGCACGCTGGGAAGTGTAGTTCTTTCCCGGCACCTCCTTGTGGTTCGGCCGGCAAGTGAGCGGGCTGAGGACTACAGTTCCTAGAAGTCTTCACTTCGCCTTCTATTTGAGGCCGGAGGCGGCGAGGTGGGGAATGTCGCCGGCGCAAAGGTGGTAGGCCTGGCGGGAACGGGCGGACTGAATGGAATCGGAATCCGGGTCTCCGGTTGGGTTGGGTTTCCGTGGCCGTGTTTCGGAAAGGGCCCTCGGGGGCTAGGAGGAGCGCGGGAAGGGCGCGCGGGGGATGGAACATTGAGGGGCACCCTGCCTGGCCTGGCGCGCCGCTCCGGGGACCGCTGCGGCCGAGGGGCGGGCTCGCGGCTTTGGAAGTGTCTCCGAGGAGTCGAGTGGCTGTGAAGGTTCCTCTAGGGCCCTTGGGCCCTTCCAGGCCGCTCCTGGGAAACGTCCCACCGCCGGGGAAGCTGCGACGGGATGCACAGGAGATAGCAGACGTCCCCCGGAGTGTGAGCCCAGACGCCTTTGGACTACCCGCAGGTCGCTAAAGTTGCCATTGCTCGGGAGGAACACGGGCATGCCCCTGCGTCCACGACCCCAGATGCACTTGGCGTTTTAACAAGAGCTGGCTAGGCACCCCAGGAAGACAGATGAGCGCCACAGCCTCCTTCCTCCCCAGGCACGTGAAGGTGGGTTTGGGGTGAAGTGGAGGAGGGAGGGAGGGAGGGAGGGAGGGAGGGAGGGAGGGAGGGAGGGAGGGAGGGAGGGAGGGAGGGAGGGAGGGGGAATGCCAGAAAAATGTGTCCCCAGGGTGGTGAGTTATCTGTGAAAGGAGAAAGCAGGGCTCACTCTCACACTTTCTGATGGGTGCTGCCCACAAGTAGTCTGTAGGGTTTCCTGGTAAGCCGGCCCGGGCGGGGTGTGGCTACCCCTTTCCGCATGGCTCTTTGCCATTTCAGCATCCTCTCCCAGGGTGAAGGATGGGGACTGCTTTTCCCAAGTACTCTCTAAGCCAAGGACAGGCCAGTAAGTGAATAGGGAGTTCTCTCTCTCTCTCTCTCTCTCTCTCTCTCTCTCTCTCTCTCTCTCTCTCTCTCTCTCTCTCTCTCTCTCTCTCTCTCTCTCTCACACACACACACACACACAATTTGTTTCTTGAGACAGACGCTCACCCTAACCTAAAAAAAATCACTATATGTCAAAACTGGTTCCTAACTCATAGCAATCCTGCCTCAGCGTCCCCGAGTGCTGGGATTACAAGTATGAGCCACTATGCCTGCCTAGCTCTTTCTTCTTTTTTAAAATTTTATTTGTATTCTACGCGTAGGGTGTTTGTCTGCATGTATGCCTGTGTGTCGCACGCGTGAAATACTCTGGGAGGCCAGAAGAGGGCATCAGATCCGTTTGTCCCTCCTGTCTGCATGGGAGTTAACACGGGTTGTGAGCCACCACGTGGGCCCTGAGAATCCAACCCAGCTCCTGTGGAAGAGCAGCGAGTGTGCCGAATGGCCGAGGCTTCTCTTCGGGTCCCTAGCTTTTCCCTTCTTGACTAGGTCTTGTTAAATATCTCTTCCTGCCGCAGGCCCCCAAGTTCTGGGGTTGAAGCTAAGTTTCTGTGTTATTGTTTGTTTATTTTTTTAGTGACACTTATTTATTTGGGGGGTGGGGCACACGCATACATCAGCGGTCAGTTTTCTCCCTCAGTGCCCTGAGGATCCCACGCATGTAGTCAGGCATGTTGGCAAAAGCACCTTCATTCGCCGAGCGGCTTTCAGTTCAGAAGCTCTGGACTTACAGAAATGGGTTTGGACCTATCCCTGGCTCTTCTGGAACTGGCTCTGTAGACCATTCTAGTCTTGAAGTCACAGAGATCCACCTGCCTCTGTCCCCGAGTGCTGGGATTAAAGGTGTACGCCACCACCTCATGACTAGGCTTTGACCTCTTAAAGTGAGAGGATCCTTAACACCCTTGGAGTCAAGCACTGGTAAATGCTGTATTTTATTTATTGTTTTGGTTTTCTTTTTTTTGTTTTGTTTTGTTTGGTAAGATTTATTTATTTATTTATTTATTTATTTATTTATTATGTATAGAGTTCTGTCTGCAGGCCAGCAGAGGGCACCAGATCTCATTGTGAGCCACCATGTGGTTGCTCGGCACTGAATTCAGTGCCTCTGGAAGAGCAGCCACTGCTCTTAACCTCTGAGCCATCTCTTAAGTCCTTGTTTTGGGTTTTTGTTTGTTTGTTTTTGAGACTTACTTAGTCCAGGCTGGCCTTGAATATGTTATGTAACTGAGGATGACTGAGCTCCTGATTTTTCTACCTTCCTTTCCCAAGTTCTGGTATTTCAGGATGATGTCAAAGATTTTATTTTTAATTATATGAATATGTATGTAAGTGATTATGGGTGCAGGTGTTCATGGAGGCCAGAGAGAGACGTGGAACCCCGTGGAGCTGGATTTACAGGAGGTTGTGAGCTACCCAACAGGCGCTGAGAACCCACTCAGGTCCTCTGCAAGACCAGATTGTGCTGGTGTCTCCTGAACCGTCTCTAAGCAGCTACTTTAGTTTTCTGTACTAGGTAGAATGAACTTGCTCAGTGAGAACACACATGACTGAACAGTGCTGGGAAGGAGATGCAGAGAGCCCCAAAGCCAGGATGGCAGGCAGAGTGCCGCAGTGTAAATGTGTAGAAACAGCAGCAGCACCAACCCCATCCCTGCATAGAATATTCTAGAAGTTTTGTGGCAAGGACCCAGAGATAGTCTCCATGGCAGAGTAGCATAAGGAAAAAAATGTATGCATTGAGCTGGGCCTTTAATCCCTGCCCCTGGAGGCAGAGGCAGGTGGATCTCTGTGAATTCCAGGCCAGCCTGTTTGACATAGCAAACTCCAGGCCAGTCAGGGCTGCACAGTGAGACCCTTCCCAGCATCCCCCACCCCAAAATCAATGAACAAAGTTTCCCTTGAGCCTTGTTTTTGTTTTTTTGTTTTTTTTGGTTTTTTTTTGGTTTTTCGAGACAGGGTTTCTCTGTATTGTTTTGGAGGCTGTCCTGGAACTCGCTTTGTAGACCAGGCTGGCCTCGAACTCACAGAAATCCACCTGCCTCTGCCTCCCAAGTGCTGGGATTAAAGGCGTGCGCCACCAACGCCCGGCTGAGCCTTGTTTTTGTGTTCTTCTTTGGTTTGGTTTTGTTGAGGGACGTTCTCACTGTTGCTCTGACTGACCCTGAATTACCATGTAAAAGACCAGACTGGTCTGGAACTCAGAGATGTACCAGCTTCTGTCCCTGAGTGCTGGGATTAAAGGTGAGCTACGCTGGCCTATCTCTGAGTTCTGTATTTCCTGCTGGAAGCATTTTTCAACACCCATCAGACACGCAGCAGAAGAAAGCGCTCTGGTATTGATCGCATCTATCTGGTGGCTTTTGCGTGTGGTATCTGTAAGTCAGAGGAGAGGTGTCCGTCTGTCTACACCCTGGCTAGTAAGGACTGTCTCTGGGCTCTGAGTAAGTTCGTTCTCAGATGCTGGAGGAAAACAACCGGCTTCACCTGCTCCTTCCTGGGGCCTGGAGGACAGCTCTTCCTGCCCAGTTCCAGCACGTGCTCACTCCTGCTCTCTGCTAATGGGATTTCCCTCCCCCCCCATTTTAGGCGCTGAAAACCAAGAAAGGATTGAAAGGTAAGTGGAGACATGGGATATCAACCTTAATCCAAATAGACTTCTTCCTGCTCTTGCTCTTCCTTCTCCTTCTCCCTCTCCCTTCTCTCCCTCTTCCTTTTCTTTTCTTTTTTTTTGGTTTTTCAAGACAGGGTTTCTCTGTATAACCCTGTCTATCCTGGAACTCCCTCTGTAGCCCAGGCTAGCCTAGAACACACAGAGATCCGCCTGCCTCCAGAGTGCTGGGGTTAAAGGTGTGTACCACCACCACATGGCTGAGACCCATTTTTATTTATTTATTTATTTTTTCCCAAAACAAGCTGGTGAGGAGGCCCGACAGGTGAAGGTGTCTCAGGACAAGCCTGACAACCTGAACCCTGAGGACATACACAGTGGGAGGAGGGAACTGTCTCCTGACCCCCACACGTCATGACACCCATTCCTGCCCCAGCTTAAAAAAGAAAAAAGCCAACTATATTGGTGCACCACTTCAATCCCAGCACTCAGAAGGTGGAGGCAGGCTGATCTCTGAGTTCAAGGCAAGTCTGATCTACAGAGTTCCAGGAGAGCCAGGGCTGGGTAGAGAAAGACTGTATCTCATAAAAAAACAGCAGAGCTGAAACCTGGTCTACAGAGCCAGTTCCAGGACAGCCTCCAAAGCCACAGAGAAACCCTGTCTGGAAAAGCAAAAACAAACAAACAAAAAACTGCAGAGCTGGAGGATCAAGAAGGCTGAGTCTGATGAAGCAAGACTTTGCTGATACACTCCTCCTAGAGAAGAGGGTAGAAAGAACAGCCCTTCCTGGAGAAAACCACAGGGTTGACTGCACTACCCAACATTTAGAAACAAATAAATAAATGAATGAAGTTGTAGGAACAAACGTTCTCACTGAGCTCGGAATTCAGGACATATGGTTGAAGCTAAGGGTTTGAAGGCAAAGCTGGGTGGGAGAATTAATCCAAGCACACTTACCTGGGCCTCCCCACCATGCCTCCATCAGAAAGTGGCCAGGGACAGTGTATTCAGGCCAGCTCTAGGGGTGCCACATGGGATTGGGATTCAGAGGTATATGAGAGAGGTGATGATGTGCGTGCGTTTTCCTAAAAAATACACTGGCCTCTTAGAGGTTGGAAAACTGATTGCTAGCTTGTAAGTTTTGGGTAAGGTAGGTAGAAAGGTTTTATTGAAAAATTATTATTATTATTATTTTGGTTTTTTCGAGACGGGGTTTCTCTGTGGCTTTGGAGGCTGTCCTGGAACTCACTCTGTAGACCAGGCTGGCCTCGAACTCACAGAGATCCGCCTGCCTCTGCCTCCCGAGTGCTGGGATTAAAGGCGTGCGCCACCAACGCCCGGCTTTGAAAAATTATTATCATCATTCTTCAGGAAAGTTATTTTGGACTTTCTACCTGAGAATTTCAATAAGGCATTGTGACTTGTTGCCATTGAAAATTATCTCGTGGCCAGGGAGAATCAGTGTCAGCCTGAAGCCTGGCATCAGAGAACTCTAGGACACAGAAATCTCAGGGCTTCAGGTTTATAAATGTCATTCTTCTTGCCTCCTGAAGTCCTGATGTCCCATTTGTTTTCAGGTTCCATTGATGATGTCCTTGATGACCTCCTGGGCGATGACCGTAAGTACTTCTCTGGGCAGGGGAGAGGACTGGTAAGAGGAGAGCCAGTGAGAGTATAAGCCTGGACACTTGAGCTCCACCCCTAGGACTCACGTGGGAAGGAGAGTGCCAGGTCTCACTAGTTGGCTACTTTATCTTTTTTGCACACTGCCGGGTGGTTTCCCACAGCAGCCATGCCATGTTATATTCCCACCAGCAACAGCAGAGACCCCTGCTTTGCCCCGCCCCCCATGCTTGTCTCCCATCTTTCATGTTTCATTTGATTTGTTTTTTCTTGCTTTTTATTTGTTGAGCTGGGGACTGAACCCAGGGCTTGACTCGTGCTAGGCAGCCACTGTACCCTGGACAGTTTAGCACGTTTTCTTTTATGGGATACTCAGGCTGGCCTTGAACTCACTGTGTAGCCCAGGGAGCCGCTGTAGTTTCTGCTTCCAGAGCAGCTGTGAGCGGATGTATGTTTCCCTAATGCTGCGGAGTGTCTTCTCATGTGCTTGTGACATTTATCATCATCTGTGGGAAAGTGTCTACTCAGAACTTTGCCCATTTGTGATTAAGGCCCTTGGCTTTTGATTGTTGAGCTGTAAGAGTCCTCGAGTACTCTATCGTTTTGTTCTTTTTTTTGTTTGTTTGTTTTTCGAGACAGGGTTTCTCTGTATTGTTTTGGAAGCTATCCTGGAACTCACTCTGTAGACCAGGCTGGCCTCGAACTCACAGAGATCCTCTTGCCTCTGCCTCCCGAGTGCTGGGATTAAAGGCGAGCGCCACCACCGCCCAGCTCGTTTTGTTGTTTTCTACGTCTTTGGTAATGCTGGGAGTGGAACCCAGGGCCCTACTCTTCACTGAGCTACTGCTCTCAGCTCCTCGTTCCTTATATATCTTCCTTTTAAAAGGTTTACTTTTACCTTTCATTTTTGGAGACGTGGTGCACACTGGTGCAGCAGCACACATGTGGGGTCTGAGGACAACTCCAGTCTGTGGGCTCCACGGACTGAACACAGGCTGTCAGACTTGGCGGCAAGACCTGCGCCTGCTGAGCCATCTTGCTGGCTATCTATCTATCTATCTATCTATCTATCTATCTATCTATGTATGTATGTATGTATCTACCTACCTATCTATCTGTCTATCATCTATCTATGTATGTATGTATCTATCTATCATCTATCTATCTATCTATCTATCTATCTACCTACCTATCTATCTATCATCTATCCATCTATTGCATTTGGGATGAGGTCTCACAGTGCAGGCCAGGCTAACCTCAAACTTGAGGAAATCCCCTACCTTAGACTCACTTGTGCGAAGATTATAACCATGAGCCATCATGCCCAGCTAACCTACTAGTATTTGTGTCCATGTTGCTGCACTAAGGAACAGGCCTTAGGAGATGTGCAGAGCCCACCAGGGGTCTCCAGGCTTCTGTTTCCAGGAAGAACCCGTGTATTTGAACCTACAGTTAGGACAATGAAAAGCCATTGTCTCTCTGCCTTTTCACGTGGCACAGGTGGGGTCGGTTGAAGTGTCCACTTGGCAGTCAAGGATGGCGTCAGGACACACCCGTGATTCTGTCGAGCTGCCCTTTCTGTGGGAAGGTGCAGAGACAGCCAGGTGGAGGAATGGCTGTCCTCTTCGCCGTGGCCTCAGTGTTTGCGGCTGAGCTGCTCCATGAGTCTTCACTGGTTTCCCTTGTCCTAGCAGCCCCGCTTGAGAAGCCCGTTGAGCCAGCCTCACGTACCAAAGACACAGCAGGCGCACCTCAGTGGCCCCCTTCCAAGGCTAAAGCAAGGTAGGCCCTGCTGGCGCATATCTGTCAGGCTCCCTTCCTCCCAGTGCATGCTGGGAGAGTCTACTTTTCCCTCAGCTCTGATTTTTGGAATCAGAGAGAGTTAAAGGACCCAAGGCCTGAGGGTCTGAAGGCCTGGCGTCTAGTCCCCCACCTGTTACTTGGGTCGCCCCAAACCACTTTGCCCTTGGTTTCCTTATCCCCAAAGTGAGAGGACAGCTCAGATCCCTGCTTTTCAGAGTTTCCCAGCCTCTCGAGAATGAAATGAGCCCGCCACCTTTCACCTTCTGGCCATCCAGGTGGGGTGGGGTGGCCTTTAAGTCCTGGTAGAGATGGGTGGACCTGTGAGCTAACAAGGAGACAGGGTTTCTCTGTGTAGCCCTGGCTGTCCTGCAACTCACTCTGTAGACCAGTGTGGCCTTGAACTCACAGAGATCCGCCTGCTTCTGCCTCCTGAGTGCTGGGATTAAAGGTGTGCGCCACCACACATAGTTTGTGAGATTCTTATTCTATCTCTGTCCCCCGGGGAAATGTCTTCAAGTTCATTTTGACACTGTGGTTCTCTCCACAACTGTGTGAGACAGGGTCTCGAGTATTCTAAACTGGTCTGGAATTGGATATGTATCGGAGGGTGACCTGAAGTCCTAACCCTTCTGATGCTACTTCCAGGTGGTGGGATAACGGTGTATGCCCTCACACCTGACTGGCCTGCCCTCCCCTCCCTTCTCCTCCTTTCTTCTTCCTTCCCTTCCTTGACGCTAGGATCGAACCCAGGGCCTTGTACATACTAAACACTCGCTATAGCAATGAGTTACACCCCAGGCCCCAGTTTTAATTTTTAAAAAAAGATTTATTTATTTATTACATATATACCAGATTGAATTGTAGATGGTTGTGAGCCACCATGTGGTTGCTGGGAATTGAACTCAGGACCTCTGGAAGAGCAGGCAGTGCTCTTAACCTCTGAGTGATCTTTCCAGGCCCGCCCCAGTTTTAATTTTTAAAGTCATCTGGTCGCCATCTCTTTGCAGGTCCCTCCCAAAAGACAATGTTGACAGGCTGCTGGGAGCTGATGCTGAGGTGAGCCCAGTCCACCCCAGCCCTTGACCTTTGTGCTTGTCCCCAAACAGTGAGACTGGAGTGGCCTAATGGCTGCTCACGGAAAGATCTAGAAGTCCTGCAAATTTGGGTTGTTTTGTTTCGTTTCATTTTTGAGGTAGATTTTCTGTGTGACCCAAGGATTACAGGTGTGCAAGCTCATGCATGCACACCTGTACTTTCCCCAAACCCTTTTTTTTTTTTTGAGACAAGGTCTCACTATGTGGCCCTAGCTGGCCTAGTGGCCTGGAACTCACCATGGAGAGCAGACTGTCCTCAAACTGGGACTCACAGAAATCTACCTGCCTCTGCCTCCAGGTGCTGGGACTAAAGGCATATGCCACCATGCCCAGCTTCTTACTAGATTCTTAGAGTAATGCCCATGGACTGCTGAATGGAGCCAGATAGCATCCATTTCTTCCTCACTTGAACAATGGGCTGGATGAAGGAGCCCTCCCAAGCGCAGGAACTGGGGACAGCCTCTTCCCATGAGACGGTCCTGACTGCCTGGCTGCATGGTGGGATCACTTCCTCACCGTGTGGCCAGACTGCTTGGACTGTGGTGCAAGTGACTTCTGCAGCTGGGAGAAACAGACTCTGGGAACACTGTCTGGGTCTCCACAGAGGGGCAGGTCTGACTTCAAAGAGCTGACCCTGGAGGCTGGGGAATAAGAGACCCTCCTGTTTACACCCATCAGTTAAGCTCTCTGCCCCGCTGAGTAAAAGCGTGGTGACTGGGGCTGGGAACCATGTGCTCTGGGCCCTGGCTGACCTTAATCTCACTGTTCCACCTGCGGCTTCAGGTCTCCAGTATCTCGGATGCGGACCCACAGGTCTTCTTGCAGAACATGAAGGTAGCAAAACACCTTTGCCCTCTTCGTGGCTGGGGTGGGCGTGGCCCCGGCAGTCTGAGCCAGGGCTTCCCAGCTGTGTGACTTCTCTTTTTATAGCTCTGCACATCTGGGGCCTGGAAAGTCTGCCACAGGCCTCTAGTGAGAGGCTTTCCCAGATGGGCCCCTGATGTCCCCTGCTTCCTCCGGGGGGAGTAGAACAGGGGTAAAGTTTCTTCCCAAGTCTGCTCCTCGTCTTTCCTGTGTCTCCTCCAAGTCCCCTGTCAAGAGCGCCCCCCTTACCAGATGGAGCTGGGAATGACCCGTTATGCTGGGCTCTTAGGAGAAACTGTGGAATGTGTCCGGGAGCTCGGCCTGGGCCTCAGCCACCTCTCGTTCTCTCCCAGCCAGCAGCACGGTCACCCCCTTCAGTCACAGGCCCCGGCCACCGCATGGCTCTGGGTCAGCCTCATGGATTCTGTGTCCATTTTCTTCTTGTCTCTGTTTTCCTCACTGTCACTCTCTGTGGTGACCTTGTCTGTGTCTCTTACTGCGGTCTCACGAACAGTTCCCATCCGCCCCACTCTGCCTGCCCTTGCTTCCTGTTTCTCTCCATTCTCACAGTCCCCCAGTTCCCTTTTCCCCTCACAGTTCTGTGCCCGGGCACCCGCAGCCCAAGCCCTGCTCCCACAAGCCAGGCAGCTTTGTGGCACAGAAAGCATTCATGTGGGAGGTGCAGTGCCCAGGATGAGCTTGGCAGCAGGAAGTGGCCTGACCTCTGGAGAGGGTGCCCAATGGCAGCAGGGAAGTGTGTTGGTCACGTGGCCACAGTTTGAAACACAACAAAGAAACAGAATGGATGTGTTTCTTAGTTCTTTCCAAGAGACTGCCCCCAGTGACCCAGAGACTCCTACAAGGCCCCACCTCCTAATACCACCACCCCGAGAACAAGACTGTTCCTAGGGACCTTCGGGGAATCCTGAGCATCTAAACCACAGCACCTTTCCAGATGCCCGGTTTCACTCCTCCTGCTCTCCTAGGACCTGGACAGCATGGATGATGATCTCTTTGGTCGAATGAAGTCTCATCCACCCTCTGGCAAAGGAACTGCAAAGGGTTCTGGGAAGGAGGTGCCTAGCAATCCTCAGCCTGCTGGCACATCAACAGGTAATGAGAAAGGGGTGTGGACCATAGCCCTGTGTCCTGTGAGTTTTTTGTGCTGTCGTAGTCACTGTTCTCTTGCTGTGAAGAGACACCATGGCCAATGCAACTCTTTTTTTTTTACAAGACAGGGTTTCCCCGTGGCTTTGGAGGCTGTCCTGGAACTCACTACGGAGACCAGGCTGGCCTCGAACTCATGGAGATCCTCCTGCCTCTGCCTCCCGAGTGCTGGGATTAAAGGCGTGCTCCACCAACGCCCGGCCAATGCAACTCTTATAAATAATTGTTAACAATTTCTGAGGGTTAATCCATTATCATCCTGGCAGGGAGCATGGAGGCACTCATGGTGCTGTTGATGTAGCTGAGAGCTATATCCTGACCCACAGGCAGAGAAAGAAAGAGAGAGATTGGGTCTGGTTTGGGTTTTTGAAACTTCAAAGTCCACCCCCACCCCCTACCCCCCACACAACCCCTAGTGACACTTACTCCAAGACTTCACCTCCTCCAACAAGGCCACACCTCCTAACCCTCGTAATCTTTTCAGTCTACTCCCTGGTAACCAGGCACTCAAATGGGAGCCATGTGTGCCTAGGGTGAAGAGGCCAAGGAGCCAATTGTGTGTGTTTATGTGGGGAGGTCTGTTCTGTTCTTCTTGTCTTGGTTAGGGTGACAGTTGTATGTGTTTATGTGGGGAGGTCTGTTCTGTTCTTCTTGTCTTGGTTAGGATGACAATTGTGTGTGTTTATGTGGGGAGGTCTGTTCTGTTCTTCTTGTCTTGGTTAGGGTGACAGTTGTATGTGTTTATGTGGGGAGGTCTGTTCTGTTCTTCTTGTCTTGGTTAGGGTGACAGTTGTATGTGTTTATGTGGGGAGGTCTGTTCTGTTCTTCTTGTCTTGGTTAGGGTGACAGTTGTATGTGTTTATGTGGGGAGGTCTGTTCTGTTCTTCTTGTCTTGGTTGGGATGACAATTGTGTGTGTTTATGTGGGGAGGTCTGTTCTGTTCTTCTTGTCTTGGTTAGGATGACAATTGTGTGTGTTTATGTGGGGAGGTCTGTTCTATTCTTCTTGTCTTGGTTGGGATGACAGTTGTGTGTGTTTATGTGGGGAGGTCTGTTCTGTTCTTCTTGTCTTGGTTAGGGTGACAGTTGTATGTGTTTATGTGGGGAGGTCTGTTCTGTTCTTCTTGTCTTGGTTAGGATGACAATTGTGTGTGTTTATGTGGGGAGGTCTGTTCTGTTCTTCTTGTCTTGGTTAGGGTGACAGTTGTGTGTGTTTATGTGGGGAGGTCTGTTCTGTTCTTCTTGTCTTGGTTAGGGTGACAGTTGTATGTGTTTATGTGGGGAGGTCTGTTCTGTTCTTCTTGTCTTGGTTAGGATGACAATTGTGTGTGTTTATGTGGGGAGGTCTGTTCTGTTCTTCTTGTCTTGGTTAGGGTGACAGTTGTATGTGTTTATGTGGGGAGGTCTGTTCTGTTCTTCTTGTCTTGGTTAGGGTGACAGTTGTATGTGTTTATGTGGGGAGGTCTGTTCTGTTCTTCTTGTCTTGGTTAGGGTGACAGTTGTATGTGTTTATGTGGGGAGGTCTGTTCTGTTCTTCTTGTCTTGGTTAGGGTGACAGTTGTATGTGTTTATGTGGGGAGGTCTGTTCTGTTCTTCTTGTCTTGGTTGGGATGACAATTGTGTGTGTTTATGTGGGGAGGTCTGTTCTGTTCTTCTTGTCTTGGTTAGGATGACAATTGTGTGTGTTTATGTGGGGAGGTCTGTTCTATTCTTCTTGTCTTGGTTGGGATGACAGTTGTGTGTGTTTATGTGGGGAGGTCTGTTCTGTTCTTCTTGTCTTGGTTAGGGTGACAGTTGTATGTGTTTATGTGGGGAGGTCTGTTCTGTTCTTCTTGTCTTGGTTAGGGTGACAGTTGTGTGTGTTTATGTGGGGAGGTCTGTTCTATTCTTCTTGTCTTGGTTAGGGTGACAGTTGTATGTGTTTATGTGGGGAGGTCTGTTCTGTTCTTCTTGTCTTGGTTAGGGTGACAGTTGTATGTGTTTATGTGGGGAGGTCTGTTCTGTTCTTCTTGTCTTGGTTAGGGTGACAGTTGTGTGTGTTTATGTGGGGAGGTCTGTTCTGTTCTTCTTGTCTTGGTTAGGGTGACAGTTGTATGTGTTTATGTGGGGAGGTCTGTTCTGTTCTTCTTGTCTTGGTTAGGGTGACAGTTGTATGTGTTTATGTGGGGAGGTCTGTTCTGTTCTTCTTGTCTTGGTTAGGATATCAGTTGTGTGTGTTTATGTGGGGAGGTCTGTTCTGTTCTTCTTGTCTTGGTTGGGACGACAATTGTGTGTGTTTATGTGGGGAGGTCTGTTCTATTCTTCTTGTCTTGGTTGGGATGACAATTGTGTGTGTTTATGTGGGGAGGTCTGTTCTATTCTTGTCTTGGTTAGGATGACAGTTGTATGTGTTTATGTGGGGAGGTCTGTTCTGTTCTTCTTGTCTTGGTTAGGGTGACAGTTGTATGTGTTTATGTGGGGAGGTCTGTTCTGTTCTTCTTGTCTTGGTTAGGATATCAGTTGTGTGTGTTTATGTGGGGAGGTCTGTTCTGTTCTTCTTGTCTTGGTTGGGACGACAATTGTGTGTGTTTATGTGGGGAGGTCTGTTCTATTCTTCTTGTCTTGGTTGGGATGACAATTGTGTGTGTTTATGTGGGGAGGTCTGTTCTATTCTTGTCTTGGTTAGGATGACAATTGTGTGTGTTTATGTGGGGAGGTCTGTTCTGTTCTTCTTGTCTTGGTTGGGATGACTATTGCTGTGATGAAACACCATGACCAAAGCAGCTTGGGGAGGACAGGGTTTGTTTGTCTCACACTTCCACATCACTGTCCACCACTGAAGGAAGTCAGGACAGGAGCTCAAGCAGGGCAGGAGCTGGAGGCAGGAGCTGATGCAGAGCCCATGGAGGGTGCTGCTCACTGACTTGCTCCCCATGGTTTGCTCAGTCTGTTTTCTTACGGAACCCAGGACCACCAGCCCGGAGATAGCACCGCCCACCATGGGCTGATCCTCCCCTCTCAGGCACTGAAAAACTGCCACAGCAGTGGGTTGTGACCCCTTTGGTGGTCAACAACCCCTTCACAAGAGTCTCATGTCAGATATCCTGCATGTCATATTTACATTGCAATTAGTAACAGTAACAAAATGAAGTTATGAAGTAGCAACACAATAGCTTTATGGTTGGGGTCACACAGTATTAAAGGTCACAGAGGTCAAGGGCCACTGCTCTGCAGGCTTTTCTTCATTGACGTTCCCTCCTCTCAGATGAGTTTAGCTTCTGTCACGTTGACCAAAAACTGTGTACACGCCTCTAGAGTGCTGGAGGATTAGTTTCTATTTAAAATGGAAGGTCTGGGCTGGGGAATACGGCCCGGTGACAGAGCACGTGACTGTGGATGGCTCCCTGGGCTCCACCCGCAGCACTGCAAGAACACGGGAAAAGAGAAGTTTGATGGCAGCTGAGTCTCCCAAGCCAGTGGCTGGGGTGAGGGTGGGAGTAGCTTTCAGCCCTGTCGCCCTTCCCAAGGCCCAGGTGAGAACCCTGCTGTATGGTTTCTCCATGGCTGTGCCTACAGCCAAGAACCTCAGTTTGTCAGAAGAAAGTGCCTGCTGTCCCTGGGGCTCCACCACAAGGAAAACCTCAGCAGGAAAGACCCCGTTCCAGGACTGCCTTTTCTGTTCCTCCTGTAGGGGACACCATTCCCACTAAGAAGTCACCTCCTCCTCCTTCCAGCAACTTTGGGCTTCAGTACAAGAAGTTTTCCTTCGAAGGTATCAGAGTCCCGTCTCCCCCACTGTCCCCTCCCCCTTGGAACACTTGATTTGAGAGCAGTGATGCTGCTGAAGGCGCGGTCTGTGACTGGTCACTGTTTAGTTCTCACACGTTTCCCGAGGAATTAAGTGTGTGCTATCAGCCAGGCTTCAAAATGAGAGTGTTCTAAAAAGAGAAGGAAAAGGTTCCTTTGTGACTGGGTTCATGCCTTAGGGACATTTGTAGGAGTCCCAGGGTTCACCCAGCTCCCCACCCCTTATTTGAGCCCCTCGGTGTGTGCCCTCCCCATGGACCGAACTCTGTGGATGCGGAAGAGCCCCTTCAGCCTCCGGCTTGTTTTTCCTGAGTAAAGGACAGCAGTCTGACCTTTGTCTTTCTTTCTGGCCATGAGACTTTGAAGACCCTCTGGCGGGACTTCTCTCAGATGAGGAAGAAACAGCCAAGAAGCCACCCACAATGGAGAGTAAACCTGCTTCTAAGGGCCCCAGCACAGCTGCAGGCCACCAAGGTAGGAGGAGAGGCCTAACTCCTGGGGGTGGGGGCACAGCGGTGCGCTGTAGAACAGGGTAGAGTCCTTACAGCTCTTCAGCAGGGTAGGCCCCTGGGACCTCCTGTCCAAACCCAGGAGATTATGAGGCTCCAGGATTAAGAGGTGAATGTGTGAGCACTGGGCCTGGGTTCTCGCTGGGATTAAAGGCGGCCACCACCACCACAGCCAGGCTCTGGTTCTCTTTCTTAGGGCCTTCCGTTCCTCTGACTCCCGGAGATACTCCCATCCGGAAGAAAGAATTGCTGTTTGACGAAAGTGACGACATCATGACCACCCTGGGTTTTGAAGACAGTCCCAAGGCAGAGAAGAACACCGGAGACCTGTGAGGATCCTTAGGAAGTGGGGAATCCCTGGCCAGCCTGTTGCCTGAGGCCCAGGGAAAGCTCAGGTTGGGACAACATGGGAACCCCATGTCACGGCACACTCCTTCCCCACACTCTGTCCCACAGGGAAGGGCCCCTCCCTGCTCGCTCCAAGCTGGATGAACTCCTGGGTCGAGGCACAGCTGCCAAGCTCCTTACTCGCCCAGGCACTGGGGAACGCAGAGAGTTCAAGCTAGACAAGAAATATCAGAAGCCAGAGGGTGAGGATGCCCAGGGGAAGGGAGAGAAGGGGAGAGGGCAGGGGAGGGCTCTCTCTGTCTCTCCCCCATACCCCTTGCTTTTTGATTTTGTCTGTTGAGATAGGGTCTCTCTAGCTCCTGGCTGGCTTGGACTCTGCCTTCCTGTGTACTCTGATTAAAGGTCTGAGCCACCCTGCCTGTTTTTCCCTCTCTTTTGAGACAGAATATTACAGTAGGCTAGCTTCAACTTCATGATAATCCTATGCCAGCCTCCCCAGTGCCACTGTATCTAGCTCAAACCACATCTTCACCACAGGCTGTAACAGAAGCTTCCCTTCAGAACACACATCACATTGCTGAACTCTGTCACTGAGACAGCTGTGTCATGAGGTAGTTTACCCATAGTTTACTCTGTTGCTTTCTGTAGCTACTGTTTGATTTATGACAACCACTCATTCGGTTGGCTTCCCTAGCTCAGCCTGGAGATGTTGCCCAGTGGTAGAGCACTTGCCTGGTGTCTGCCAGACCCTGTAAAATGTTTGCTCTCCTTGTAGATCATGTTCATGGCCTTTAATTTCCAGACAAAGAAGACAGCTGGGATGACGAGATCCTCACCTTTGGGGCTTACCAGCCCACTGTACCCTCGTCTGAGGGCAGACGGTCCCGCCGGCAGTCAGTCAGGTAAGTGGGGCTTCAGGGAGGTCAGCCTTGGGGACAGGCCTTTCCCTGTACCTTCCCGGCCTCAGCATGCAGCCGTGAGTCTACAGTGTCAAAGTGAGAGGGAAGCTAGGCGCTCCTAACAGTCCGGGCAGAGACCCCCTAACCCTCAGAAGGGAAGGGAGGAGGTAGGCCTACTTCCGCTTGAACCCTGAGTGTCATGAGAGGCTGGTATGTCACTTGGTCTGCCAGAGGAACCACAGCCCAAGGAGTAGCACAGCCACCATCCTGAAGCAGTAGTGGGAGTCCCTCTAATGGCTTCAGGACCCTGCCATTGGCCATAGTCTCACGACACACTGCTCATTTGCAACAGAAACAGGCCAGCAATGAACTTTCCAGAATGTGTAATTTTTCTCCATGTATATGCTTTTGTTGTAAAAAGGATTTCTTTGTTTATTTTGTGCATATGAGTGTCTTGCCTGCATGTCTGTCTGTGCACTGCACGTACCTTGTGCCTGAGGAGGTCAGAAGAGGATGTCAGATGCCCTGGAGCTCGGGTTCTCGTGCTTAGTGACAGCTAACCTGTCTCTTCCTGCCCTTTTTGTTGTTGTTGAGACAGGTTGGCCTCTAGTCAAGTCTAGTCAAGGATGACACTGACTTTATCCTCCTGCCTTCATTCTGGACAGAATGCTGGGTCAGCAGGTGTGGGCCACCATCCTGGTTTGTTGTGACGCTAGGAATGAGCTTAGTATATGCTGGACATATACCAGCTGAGCCATGTCTCCAGCTGCTGTGGGATGGTCACTATTTTGACACAGTCTTTGTAGCACAGGCTAGCTTTGTACTTACAGCAATCCTGCGTCAGCCTCCTGAGTTCTGGAAATACAGGTGTGAGCTGCTGTACCCAGTTTCTAAGGGCCAGATGCCCCTCAACAACAGAGAGCAGGACTGATGGGGGCTGATGGGATGGGCTTCCTCCCCCGCCCAACACCAGCCCCCTGTCTTGAAGCAGGTTCTTGGGAGAAGGTGGCTCAGACCTTAAGGTAGAAGCCGGCTTCAGACGGAGCCCTCCACCAGCTTCCAGCCCCACCCACCACAGGAAAGGAGGAGCTGACTGGCTAGGCCTCAAGGACGATGACCTGGACCTGCTGTCTCCCTCTCCTGTTCAAAAGGTTCAACAAGAAGACTCAGCCATCTCCACACCCTCTCTGCCCGCTCCTACAAACCAGCACTCAGCCCCAGAGCCACACCCTGCCCCAGCTGAAGTGCCCTCAGCAGCCAAGCCAGCAGCCACGGGTTCGAGGCCCTCTACCAAAGCCAGCCAGGTCTCACTGAAAGCCTCTGAGGAGAAAGAGGATGACTGGCTGAGCCATGTCATATCCCAGAAGAAATCCCACGGTCTAGCCAGAGAGGAGCGTGCGGCGTCCTCTAAGGGCCTGAGCTCACGTGAATCATTGGGTCAGACCCCTGCTAGCAGGTATGAGCACGGGCTGCTATGGTTGGTGGAAAGGATTTGGCAAGGTCTGGACCTAGCCTTGCTCACCTTACCTGTCCCATCCTTGTTAGAGATACGAGGGTAGCCAGATGCCACCCCAGCTTTACTTCTCTTCCTTTCGGGCACAATGGAGAGCTGCCCAGATGCAGGCAGACAGGCCAGGCTGGTAGCACTCATGCCCTGACTGCCGTGGGGACAGGTGCTGGCTGGGTTGGGCAAGGGAAAACAAAGGGTGTTTTGTGGTAGCAGTGTCCCTGTCCCTCTCCTCGGAGCACAGTCCTTGTCTGCAAGACCAGTCACACTGGCAAAGACACCACTGTGCCGAGTGTGGGTGTGTCTGTCAGCTCGTGTTAAAGGTGGCTAATGCATGTGTGAGTGAGCTTCCTGTATCCTCTTGGAAGTATTTGAGTAGATGTGGAAACTGGAGGCAGCTCCTGAGAACCATAGAACAGCAGTTCAGTGAGCCTGGGGCGTGAGTGACCCCTGAAGGCAGGAAAGGAAGGGGCTGCCAGGGCCAGGGGAAGCAATAACAAGCCTTGCAACCAGAACCAGTCGGAGGAAGTTGTGTGATTTTGTGTGAGTCCAGGGACACCACCACTGTGTCCTAGATGTCCTGGAAGTGGTGTGTTGGAGGACGGCAGTTTTGATGTTGACCTGAGATCGAAGGGAAAGCTGTTGACATGAGAGCCAAGAGAGAAGGGAAGAGACTAGAAGACAGTAATCCAAGGGTAGCTATGGAGAGGGGGTGACTGAGCAGCACTGGAATCTAAGACTAAACAAAGACAAAAGAAGCATGGCAAGACTTGAGCTTGAACTTGACTCCAGCGTGTGTGGCATGCCCATGGTTGCTGTGTTACTAAGCCATGATGGATAGAAGGGAAAGGCAGCCCACAAACTCCAGGAGCCTCGCCTGGAGAAAATTCCAGAAAAGTGGTGGGGACAGAGGCAGGGGAGGGGTGGCGGGGGCAGAGGCAGGGGAGGGGTGGCTGGGACAGAGGCGGGGGAGGGGTGGCGGGGACAGAGGCGGGGGAGGGGTGGCGGGGACAGAGGCGGGGGAGGGGTGGCGGGGACAGAGGCGGGGGAGGGGTGGTGGGGACAGAGGCGGGGGAGGGGTGGCGGGGGCAGAGGCAGGGGAGGGGTGGTGGGGACAGAGGCGGGGGAGGAGGCTGCCAGGGCTTCATGCTAGGAGCTTGTCTGGGGTTATCTTCATGTAGCTCACTACCAGTCTTCACCTTTAACATGGACTTTCCTCAGCCAACCTGTTGCTAGCACTCAGGCCCTTGAGCAAGCCACTGTTGGAGAAGCCTCAAGAGCAACTCCACAAGGGATGGCAGCTGGCAGGCCTGGTGTCACAGGGTATGTCCAAAGACAGGGCTGGTGTCACAGGGTGTGTCCAAAGCCAGGGCTGAGAGAGCCAACCTAGGCTTCCTTCCCTGGAGATAGACGGGATGGCTAGGCTGACACCCAGGTGGCTTACTGACTGTCACATGCAGCATCTATGCCTGATGACAGATGTCTGAGGCACATATCGCCCCTTTACCAGGCCACCCGTGCAGCTCCTCCACTCCCAGCAGAGCCCCTGCCCCTCGGCCTCTGCGCCCTGTGTCTGGGTCCAGTGCTTTTCTTTGCTTCCCCTTCTCTGCCTCTGTGTTACACAGAAGCTGCTAATTGCCCTCATCTTTATGTCCCCAGGTTCTCCGTGAATTGCAGCCAAGCCACTGCTGTCCTCCCTGTCGGTGACCCCAAGGCAGAAATGGCCTCCGCCGCTGGGGACTTCTCTAGCAGAGGTCTGTTTCCTTCTTTGCTTGGGGTTTAGCCCTGGGTAAGGAAGGGGTACCTTGGGCTCCTTTGGGGACTCTAGAAGATGAGTGGCAAGGACGCTTCCCAGACACTCACTGTGCAGTCCTGAACCGCCTCTCTTTCCCTGTTGTCAAATTCCCAGAGCCTGCAGTTTATGGTCCACGCTCCCAGGAACCCACGGGGCTCTCTGTGCCGGTCCAGGTAGGGAAGGTGGGCAAACAGGTATAGGTCTTGGGTCCAGTGAACAATTCCTCCCTGCTCAGAGACAACTCAAGGAGCTGGCCTTTGACATTCTGCTAGAATGTACCAGATATATCCAGTAGGGCATCAGCCCACTCATCTGGTGTCCCCTATTAGCACTTCCCTGAACTTTTAGGCTCCCTACTCCCTAGTGGAGTTGGGTGTAGCTCTGCCAGCTTCAGTAGGAACTGGAGATGGTTGCTGTGCAGGAGCAACTGGGGTGCTCCAGTGGGCAGGGTTAGTACAGCCTGGCATGGTGGGACGCTCAGGAGGCTGAGATAGGACCACACGTGTGAGGTTGGCCACATTGTTAGTTCCAGCCCGTCCTGGGTTCAAGAAAGGTAGATCTGAGTGCTGGGATTAAAGGAGTGTACCATCACTGCCCGGCTATGGGGCCATTCTTATTCTAAACTCCAGCGCATCCCATTGCACACAAACTGCTAGTCCAGAAGACTGAGGTAGAAGAATCAAATTTGAGGCCAGGCCTGGGCTGTAGTTCCAAGACATGCCAGCCCTGACTACAGAGTAAGACCCTGCCTCTCACACACGCACCTAAATATGCACATACGCACACGCACACCCACACAGATACACATAGGTGCCCTGTTGTTCCACTGAAAACATCCCCCTATCTGTGTCTTCCCACGAGGCCTGAGAGGTATCAACTTTGGCCTTTAGGCCTGACCTAAAGGGCCAGGGTCAGAAGCTTTTGTCACAACTGAGGCATTTGTTTCTCTCAGGGTAGAGATGGCTGCTCATTGAGGAGGATGTCCTTGAGAAGGGAGGGTGCCCCATTCCTGACCAGAGCCTAGGCCTCACTAAGTTCCTGCCCTGCTGGAGCCGCTCTGGTCTTGTGCTGTCTGGCCACCTAAAGGGATGGCCAATAGGTCCACCAGGCAGAGACCGGGGAGTGGTGGGGCTCAGCAGGAGGCCTGTGGGAACAGCTCTCATCCTCTCCCACAGCCTCTGCTCCCAGAGTCTGTGGTGCAGAGCCTGCTGCCAGGCTCCGGATACCAGAAGCAACTCCTGGCCGCCCAAGAGCAGCTTCAAGGCAGCACTGCCCAGCTTCAGGCTGAGCTGCTGCAAAGCCAGACCAAGCTGTCCGAGCTGGAGGCCCAGGTGAGAGCTGCAGGCACGGAGGGCTGCTGTCCTCACTGGAAGCAGTGGGAGGGATCCCCAGGAGGGAGGAGTGGGTGGCCTGAAGGACTCTACCATTCTCGATTCACCCGTGCCTAGGTGCGGAAGTTGGAGCTGGAGCGGACCCAGCACAGGATGCTGCTGGAGAGTTTGCAGCGGCGGCACCAGGCCGACCTGGAGCTCATTGAAGATGCGCACAGGTGCCCGCTGTCTCCGGTCTGGGGGGCGGACGGGGACCTACCTGAGTGCAGGTTTGGATCTCCTCCCTGGACCCCCGGGATTAAGCCAGCGAGGCCCTCAAACGTGGGTTTTGTGTTGACAGAAGCCGCATCAAGGTGCTAGAAACATCCTACCGGCAGCGGGAGGAGCAGCTCCTCAGGGAGAAGGAGGTGCTATCTGCTCAGCACACGTCCTACTGCCGGGAAGCGGAGCAGGCCCGGGCTGAGCTCATAGCCCAGCACCAGCGGCACTTGGCCTTGGCTGCCCAGGAGAAGGACCAGGAGGTGGCACGGCTCCGAGAGCTGCAGCAGTAAGGGCGAGGAGGAGGAGAGTGGGCGGGGACCTTGTAAAGCCTGGGAGGTGGGCGGGGCGGGGGCGGGGAGGCGGCTCATGAGGACTATCTGCTTGGCAGCAGTGCCCGGGAGACCACAGTATGGTTCTCCGCCTTTGCATCAACTCACGCTTCCCTTCAGCCCGCTGAGGTGAAGGCTCAAGGCTGACTATGCCAATCCATCGCCCCTTGTGGGTGGGATTGGGATGGGAGGGTCTGGGAGTCACACACCGAGCTTTTGGGATGAGAATGGAATGAAGAAGAGACAGGCAACCCGTGGGCCAGCACATAGCCTCCTCCTGCGCTGTGGAAGGTGTCCTCTGCTAAGCAGAGGGTGCTCCAGCTCCCATGGGAGCAGTGAGAGAAGAGGCAGACGAGCTAGGGAGCTGAGGCACTGAGGCCAGGTCTGAAGGAGGAAGAGGAGGAGACAGTGCTCAAGGCATGTTCCCAGCATGCTCTCTGGTGTCCTGTGTCTGTGCGGCCCTGCTCACAGTGGCCCTTGGCCTCCCTGGCCTCCCCCAGGGCATCCATCCTGGAGATGCGCAAGGACCATGAGCTTCAACTACAGAGGTTGAAGAAGCTGAAGGACCAAGAGATCGATGCTGTCACCAGTGCCACCTCCCATACTCGGTATGTGTGCTGCCTGGTGCTGCCCACCCAAGGGATTCGTTAGGCCTGGGTGTCCCCCGGGTGAGACACCCTGATAATCCTTCAGGACCCTGAACGGCATCATTGAGCAGATGGAGAGGTTTTCCAGCAGCTTGAATGTGCTGTCCTCCCGTGTGGAGGCCTCATACCTCACCACCTCACAGGAGCGAGAGTTGGGGATCCGGCAACAAGACGAGCACTGGCGAGGTAGCCCCTCTCTGTAGCTGGCACCCCCTTGTTAGGAAGCAGGGCGGTCAGTGAGCACCCTGTGTGTTCCCCCAGCTCTGCAGGAGCGACTAGGCTGGCAGCAGCGAGACATGGAGGAAGAGCGTGGCCGGCTCCAGGAGGTCATTGGGAAGATGGAGGTGCGCCTGAGTGAACAGAGCCGGCTCCTGGAACAGGTGAGCCTGTCCTGATGTACAGGATGTCTGCACACCAGGGGTGTCTGCACACCAGGGGTTCCTAGCATGTGTGACTGGTAGGTAATGGCAAGATCTGGCGACTCAGGGCAGGGCCACTCCTGAACCTACCCTGTGGTGGTTTGACTTGTTACTGGAGCCTCCTAATTCAGAGCTGCAGGAGCTGGGCCTGCGCCGTACCTTCCAAGCACCTGTCACTTCATGAGTTTTTGAGAACGAGGAGTTTATGACTTAGCCTGGAGAAGCCAGATTTGCCCGGCCTGCTCCCAGAGTGGGGAGCCCGCCCTCAGCCCTGCCCTGGGCCTTGCAGGAGCGCTGGCAGGTGGCCTCTGAGAAGTCCAAGGCGGAGTCTGCCCAGCGCACCCTGGAGGACCAGAGGAGGCTTATGGTCCAGCAGATCTCCATGGAGAGGGAGGAGCTGGAGAAAGCCAAGGTGAGGCCATCTTCCCCACACCCGGCTGCTGACCCCACCAGTCCTGCCCCAGGACGCTCCACTACCCCCACTGTCCCACACAGAGCGCCTTGCTGGAGGAGCAGAAGTCAGTCATGAGCAAGTGTGGGGAGGAGCGCCGGCGCCTGGCAGCAGAGTGGGCCGAGTACTTCACACAGCAGAAGCTGAGTAAGGAACGGGCCGAGCGCGAGGCTGAGAGGGCGCTGCACGCAGACTCCCAGCTGGAGGGCACCATCATCAGCCTGACCAAGGTAGGGCCCTGGCCTCCCGGCTGTGGGAAAAGACCCCAAGCCTAGGAAATAAACGCACGGCTACACATAGCAAGAATTTGGAAACAGCAGTCAGCGCCTCAGGTACCTTGTCTTTTCTGAGGCACTATGCATATTTGTCTTACATGCTAGTTGGTTCTTTTGACTCATGTTTAAGTGAGAAAACTGATATCAGAGACACTGCACACACTGAATTTGTGTGGCTTGTGTGGGAGCCCCTGAGCTTGGCTCTAGGCCTCTGTGGTCCATGTCCAGGAAGCCCCTTGCTTTACTGCCCACTTAGAGGCAGAGGAGAAGGGGCCCCCAAGGGCTGTGCGGAGCCTGGGTTAGCTCTGGAGAAGTGATCACAGCAATGGTTCCACCTTCTCAGGAGCAGGCAGAGCTGACGGTTAGGGCCTGTGAGCTTCGAGCCAAAGAGGAGAAGTTGGCTGCTGAGAGGGAGGCTTTGGAGAGAGAGCGCCAGGAGCTTCGACTGGAGAAGGACAGGCTGCACAAAGCCAGCCTGCGCCTCCAGGCCCGCGTACAGGAGGTGGAGCACATGAGCAAGGTGTGCCTGGGAAGGGCTGCACGCTGAGCCCCTCCCCCCACCCGCCGCCAGACTCCAGCCAGCCCTGACCCAGTAGCCTCCCTGCAGGTGGCCTCCAAGAAGTACGAGGAGGGGGAGCAGGCCCTGCAGGAGGCCCAGCAGATGCAGTCTGAGCAGCAGGGCCGGCTGCAGGCAGTTCAGCGGCAGCAGGAATGGCTGAGGCAGCAGGAGCAGCATGTGCACCAGGCAAGGGTCCAGTCCTCACCCTCCTTCCTGTCCCTCGGGCCCACCTGCCTGTCCTCCTCACTGAGTCCGTCTCTCTGGGGTTGGGCACAGGAGCATCTAAGCCTGGCTCAGCAGAGACTGCAGTTGCACCGTGTGCGACAGGAAGTGCCTTCCGGCCTTCTAGGGCTGCCCTCCACAGTTGAGCACCCAGCAGGGTCCAGCCTGGATGGTAAGTGACTGCAGGAGCATGGGACACAGCCTGGAGCAGGTGGCAGCATCTCCTCCAGCTACTTAACTCAGGGGCTGCTTAAATCTGTTTAAAGACTGAGTCTTACATTACAGCCCAAGCTGGGTTCAAACCCAGATCCTCCTGTCTTAGTGAGTTTGTTATGGCAAGCTCATGAGACCCCAAATAGACCACCAAGGAGTCAACTCCCCCGATGCAAAACAAAGGTTTCCTTAATTGACGAGTTAATTGTATTAACTCGGTTCTTCTGTTTAACACAGTGGGTGGAGTGAAAAGGACCCAGAGGGACGGGGCAGGGAATTTGTTGGGGAGAGCAAGGGGAGTGTCTGGGGTCCGCAACAGTCTCAGGATTGGTACACTTCTGGGCTTGGGTGACCTGTCCTGTGCTGATTAGTCAGCTGGTTGCTATGGCATATAGGCCCTCCCAGGGCGGTTGCTATGCTCTGTACCATAAAGCACATCCAGAGCTTACCAGCTAACTTCTGATTGGTTCCTTGCCACATCCCTAGTGACTGGGGTAGGTCCAGCAAGGTCAGAAGGTTGGAAACCCAGCAACATGTTTTGAGTCAGAGGCCTACATCTTGCTAGTTCTTTCCTGCAGCCTGTTATACCTGCTAAATCAGGGGCTGGGTGAGGGTCTGGTCCCTTCAAGTATTCTGGATGCTAGATTGTAGGTGTATTAACTCTCCCTCTAGCCCCACCCCCTTTTTATTGTTTGCTTTTTTTTTGTTTTTGAAGACAGGGTTTCTTTGTATAGCCTTGACTGTCCAAGAACTTGTTCTGCAGACTAGGCTGGTCTCCAGTTCACAGATATTTGCCTGTCTCTGCCTCCTAAGTGCTGAGATAAAAGATGTGTGATAAGCCGGGCGTTGGTGGCGCACGCCTTTAATCCCAGCACTCGGGAGGCAGAGGCAGGCGGATCTCTGTGAGTTCGAGGCCAGCCTGGTCTACAGAGCGAGTTCCAGGACAACCTCCAAAGCCACAGAGAAACCCTGTCAAAAAAAAACCAAAAAAAAAAAAAAGATGTGTGATACCAGCTTGTTTGCCTTTTTGGGGGAAGTGCTTGTTTGTTTTTGAGTTTTTTGAGACAGAGTTTCTCTGTATAGCTTTGGAACCTGTCCTGGAACTCTCTGAAGACCAAGCTGGCCTCGAACTCACAGAAATCCACCTGCCTCTGCCTCCCAAGTGCTGGGCATGACGGTGTACACCACCAATGCCCAACTTGTTTTTGTTTTGAGACAGGGTCTCACTATGTGGCCCTGGCTGGCCTTGAGGTTACAGTCACAGAAATTCTGCCTGTGTCTTCTGAATGCTGGGATTAATTAGCCACCACACATTTTTGTTGCTGTTATTTGTTCTTGTGTCTTTGGAGTCTTACCTTGTAGCCAAGGCAGGCCTTGAACTCAGAGTAATCCTCCCGCCTCTGCCTCCCCGTGCTGGGATTGCAGGTGTTCCGCCTCCACGGGCTCCCAGTCTTCTTCCTTCCTTGTTCTTTTGCGTGTGGTCTGTGCACCCATGCATAGAGCCCACAGGTGGCCAGGTGGCCTGCTCCAATACAGTTTACTTTGTCCTTTTTAAAAAGTGTTGTGTGAGCCGGGCGGTGGTGGCACACGCCTTTAATCCCAGCACTCGGGAGGCAGAGGCAGGCGGATCTCTGTGAGTTCGAGGCCAGCCTGGTCTACAAAGTGAGTTCCAGGACAGCCTCCAAAGCTACAGAGAAACCCTGTCTCGTAAAAACCAAAAAAAAAAAGTGTTTTGTGGGGTATTCTTGTTCTGTGGTCTGTGCCTGATGCCCACAGAGGCCAGGGGAAGACATCGGATCCCCTGGAACTGGAGTTACAGATGGTTGGGAGCTACCATGTGGGTGCTGGAACTGGAACCTAGGTTTTCTGGAGTCCCCAAGGCCTTAGGCCAGGCCTTCCCGTAGGCCGTGTGGGTGTGGGTCGTGTAGAAAAAAGCAAGACCCCCCCCCCCTTTGCCCCCTGACATGGGCTCCTGCTTTTCTCCTCAGCCGTCCAGGCCGCTGCTCCCACCAGTCCTCACTGCAGCCAGACACCTGCTGCCCCGGTGCCCACACACCTTCTCGCCAAGCTGCTGCTGCTGAAGCACACAGCCGCACAGGTAAGAGCCCCCTGGGCCCGGGTTCTCACACTCATTCATAACAAACAGTCCCTCCAAGGCCCCAGGAGGCCTGGCCCCTGCTCCTGAGGGGGCAGAATAGACGGCGAGGACCGGGGATGTATTAGATGGCAGGGTGCTTGTCTAGCTTGTACAGGGCCCTGTTCAGTCCCCAGTAATAGCCTGTTAAAAATTGGCTTAGAGGCCTGGAGGGATGACTCAACCATTAAAGGCTAAGGTCACAACCAAAAAAAACGGCTTTGACGTAGGCAGTGGTGCCACACACCTTTAATCCCAGCATTTGGGAGGCAGAGGCAGGTGGATCTCTGTGAGTTCGAGGTTAATTATGGAAAAGTCAGGGCTACACATAGGGAAACTCTGTCTCAAAAAAAAAAATCAAAGAAAAAACCTTTAACCATAGCACTTGGGAGGCCGAGACAGGTAGATATCCAAGTTCAAGGTCAGTTTGGTCTACATAGCAAGTTCTAGGTCAGCCAGGGCTACCCAGTAAAACCTGCCAGAAAAAAAAAAAAAAAAGAGGCAAACTGCCTATATAGGTTCAGGCCTGTTCTAGGCACAAGAGGTTGGCAATAACCCTTAAACTGCAAATAACCAATGGCACAGTGACAATAGCTGTCACTCAAGGAGCGTGTCCCACAGCTGAGGTCTGCATGTGCAGCATGCACGTTCTCATGGCCCTGCGTGAGGGGCGGGTGCTTGACTACCACTGAGGCACCGCCTTGGCCTTTGTCCTCCTTTCTATTTTTTGTTTGCTTGCCTTCTTGAGATGGGATCTCACTCTGTAGCCCAGGCTGGCCTTGGATTAGCACGCAGTCCTCCTTCCAAGCACTGGGATCCCAGGTGTGAGCCAGCAGGCCCAGCTATGACACATTCTCATCCAGTCCATAGATGAAGGCACTGTAGCCTAGAGACTTGAGGTCATTGCTGATAAGTTCCAAGGTTGACATCATGGCCTGTCTCACTTCGTGCTTGGCCTCCCACATAACCCCCACTGCTTCCCAGTGCCAGGCAGGAAGTGAGGGGGTTCCCAAGTGCAGGCTGACTACACCAAGACCAGGGCACAGACTTGTGAGCACTCCTCTGGATCTGCCTCACAGGACCACGACTTCTTGGAGAATGAACAGTTCTTCCTGGAAACGCTGAAGAAAGCACCCTACAACATGGCATACCACTCTGCCTGAAAGGACCAGAGCCTCCTCGGCAATCATCTGGGCCTAGAGCTCTCGCCCACTGCTGACGCTCCCCGTTCCCTGGGAGAGGCTCCTAGGGTGGTGGCAACTACCCAGGGTCTGATTACAACTGCTTGTGTGGACAGGGTATCTGTGTGTTCTTCCCAAGGACTGTGACCTGCAGCTGAGAGGCAGGTGCCTTCCTCTAAGGAGCAATGACAGCAAGGAAGTCTCACCCCCAGTCGCCCGCTGCTGTCCCCTAGTAAGGCCCTAGCTCATCACCCCTCGAATAGGGCAGCCACTGGAGACCTTTATTCCTGGGTTTATCTCAGGGCAGCGGGGTGGAACACCATCAGCAGCCTCTGCTTCCCCTGACGACGATCCCCTCCCAGATGGGAACAGGGAGCTGAGTGGGAGGCCTGGCCAAGGACAAGGATGGCGTTGTGCTGGAGGGTACCATGCCCAGACAGACGGCTTCTCTAATTGGATGTTTCTGGGGTTCATTCAGACTTCATCCCCACTCTCAGACTTACACTTCCCCATCATTGCTTCCAGTGACCAGCTAACTCACCCTGACGCCAGCTTCCTCCCCATGCAAGTGCCCAGAGACCACGGAGGTGCATGGAGAAGCAGTGGGGGGGGAGGGGGTGGTTCAAGAGCAGGAGCTCTGCCTGGAGATGAGGGGACACTCAACCAAGCTACTGCTGCTCCTCCAGGCTCCAGTGTGCTGAGACCCTGTAGCAGGAGACTGGCAGGGGAGGGAAGTGATCCAGCCGACCTGGGACAGACAGAAGGACTCAGAAATGCAGTTGCTTCTACAGCAGCTTCCATTCTGGGCCTCTTGCTTTCCACCTGAGAGGGTGTGGCCACAGGAGTGAGGGTGGGGCCACAGGAGCAGTGGGCAGAGGAGGAACACGAGGGGTTGAGGCAGAGTCTGCCTCTGCTCTCAAAGGAACCTAATTCTCCAGCCAACAATGTGCACTTGGTCTTGGACCCATTAAACTGCTATATTCTTTGGGGTTCTGTTTTGATTTTGCATTGCTGGGAATCAACCCTGGGGCTATACACATGGGAGGTAAAAGTTCTTCCCCTGAGTTGCCCTTGAAGCCCATTCACTATGTTCCTAGTGTTAGGTCCTTTAGAGTTTGCCATGCCCATTGGAATCTATCCTTAATTATTAGAAATGTTTGCCCTGCTGGGTATGGTGGCTCATGTGTGTAGTCTCTGCGCTCAAGTTCAAGACAAGTCTAAGCTACAGACGTTCTAAACCAGGTCAGCCTGGACTGTGAGCTGGAGGCCAGCCTGGTCTACACAGTGAGTTCTAGAACAGCCACCAGGACTGTGTAGAGGAACCCTTTCTCAAGGGAGGGAGGGAAGAAAAGAAAGAAATACAATATTTGCTTTATGCCCCTGTTATTTGCTGGGAAACACAGTCCCCAAAACAAGCAGGTACTTTTTTTTTCTTTTTTTTTTTTTCTTGGTGTTTCAAGAGAGGGTTTCTCGCTGGGTGTTGGTGGTGCACACCTTTAATCCCAGCACTCAGTAGGTAGAGACAGGCGGATCTCTGTGAGTTCGAGGCCAGCCTGGTCTACAGAGTGAGTTCCAGGGCAGCCTCCAAAACAATACAGAGAAACCCTGTCTCCAAAAACCAAAAAAAAAAGAGAGAGAGAGAGAGAGAGAGAGAGAGGGTTTCTCTGTGTAGCTTTTGAGCCCATCCTGGAAATCACTCTGTAAACCAGGCTGACCTGGAACTCACAGAGATCCCCCTGCCTCTGCCTCCTAAGTGCTGGAATTAAAGGCGTGGGCAACACTGCTGGGGTAGCTGGTACCCATGAGGACTGAACAAGCCTGGCACTCAGTCCTCTCAACACATAGACAGTCCTGAGTCAACCCTGCATGAAGAGTTGTGAGTCTAAAGACGGGTGATTGACTGGGGTTGATGGGGCCATGTTTTTTTTTTTAAATATTTTATTTATTGTGTATACAGTCTTCTGCCTGCATGCCAGCAGAGGGCACCAGATCTCATTCAAGGTGGTTGTGAACCACCATGTGGTTGCTGGGAATTGAACTCAGGACCTCTGGAAGAACAGTCAGTGCTCTTAACCGCTGAGCCATCTCTCCAGCCCTGATGGGGCCATCTTGCATTTTGTTTGCCATCACCTGAAGAGAAGGTAGATGACTTCCAGCAAGTGGGAAGGAAGTCTTTACAAAGAGAGTCCCCAAGACTTGGTCTTCCTGAATAATGAAACAGACCGAGAGTTGGGGAGCAGGTGAAGCCAGCTATGTGCTATCTCCGTCAGTAGCCTGACTTGGCGGGCTGTAGCGGTAGACACCTGTAATCCCAGCACTCGCGAGACTGACTTGCGGGCTTGTGAGCTCTGGATGTGTCCGGGCTACACTGAAAGACTGTGTTGCATACTAACAGTAAGGGAGAGATGGCTCCACGGTGAAGAGCACTTGCTGCTCTTGCAGAGAGACCCCCACCTCCATTCCCAGCACCCACGTGACAGTTCGCAACCCTCTTCATCTCCAGTTCCAGGACACCCAGCACCCCTGCTGGCATCAAGCCCACACATGGTGTGCAGACATACATGTAGGCCAAACCCCCATAATCATAAAAATCTTGAAAACTTGGAGCTTATTGGGGCCGTCAGTACAACTGAAGCTTTATGATGTACATTTGCAAATTTGCATTTCTAAAATGTGTATTTTCATATTCAATGTGTGTGTGTGCCCAAGGAGGCCAGAAGAGGACACTGGATCCCCTATAGGCAGTTGGGAGCTACCACTGTGGGTGCTGGAAACCAAACCCAGGTCCTCTGGAACAACAGCATTCTTTTTGTCTGTTTTGTTTTGTTTTGTTTTTGAGACAGAGTTTCTCTGTGTAACCATGGCTGTCCTGGAACTCACGTTGGAGTCCAGGCTGACCTCGAACTCAGAGAGATCCCCCCTGCCTCTGCCTCCTAAGTGCTGGGATTAAAGTCATGTTCCATCACTGCCCATTGTGACTGAGTTCAAACTAGACAAGAGGGGAACAGGAGTGAGAACAGAAGTCTGTGTGTGTGTGTGTGTGTGTGTGGAGATGGCAGTGCACAGGAAGGGACAGGGGACAGAGCTGCACCTGACACCGCATCTAGGGCCCTGAACATGCATCAAAAAGGAAGATGTGAAGAGGAACCCAAATCTCTGACACATGACTCAGCCGCATATGAACAGTGCCCACACGCCTGTAACCCCAGCACTCAGGAGGCAGAGGCAGGCAGATCTTCGTGACCAACCTGCTGTACAAAGCGAGTTCCAGGACAGCCAAGGCTACACAGCTACACAGAGAAACCCTGCCTCAAACAAAACAAACAAACCGAAATGGTTGCTGCGAGTTCAAGGCTAGCCTGACTATAAAGTAAGTGCCAAGGAAGGTAGGGATACATAGCAGAACCCTAGCGCATTTAGAACTGATATCGTTGGAGCTATTGTTTCCGGTGAGGACAAGTACGAATCTATGCTAGGCCTCTCACACAGTTGGGATCCAAGAAAGCCCCTCTCTCCAGAGCTTCCCAGACAGGGAGAATGAGAGTGAAGACCAGGAACCTGGCTGAGCAGTGAGCCTCACTCACTCCTGGGGACCCTGTGTGTCTTCACCAGTACAAGGGCAGAGAAGGGAGCTTAAAAACAAAAGACTAAAACAACAGCAGATGAGACCTCCTAAACACACTGCAGGGTGCCTTCAGTTCCCCTGACACTCAGCAGGAACCGTTCAGTGAGTGTCAACTCTCAGGGTGAGGCTCAGGTGCCCCTGACCTGTGAACTCCGATGTTTGTCCCACATATGGTGCTCCCTGTGGAGGAATTAGAAGTGATGGTGTCAACCAAACACGGCATATCAAGCTGCAGTAAGACTAAGCAGTAAGTAAGGCTGGGCAAGGTGACTCAGTAGTGAGGAGCAGGGTCCCAAAAGCCAGGAAAGGAGTCGGAGACAGCACTGTTCTAGCTGGTCCACAGAAGGACCAAGCTACAAAACTGTTAACACGTGCAGAGTGCCTAGGTCGCGAAACAGAAACGGAGGGGGAGTGGACTGGGGCACGGGAACAGAAGCGGGGAGGGGATCTGCATCTAGGATGTAAGATAAGTAAGTTTTTTTGTTTGGTTTTATATGTTTAAAAAAAAAGTGATGGCGAGAGGTTTAGCTGTCTGGAAGCAATGAAATCGAAGATGTGGCCACTTATGCTGGGTGCAGAGACCCCACTACATTCACTGTGACCTAGAGGGTCAGACTTGTGCTAGTAGAGCAGCAGGTTGTCAACAGCCTGGACTTGAGACGTCAAGACTTCCTGGAGGGCCCACTTCGAGGCAGGCAGGTCAGAGGGAAAAGACATAACAACACTGCGTGCACCCTGTGACCGGGGGATAATCTGTGGAATTGAGCTTTGCTGCACTGAAGCTTGGGTTCCAGGGCAGGGGCTGTGGCTGGGACAGAAGCAGGTAGAGACCAGCAGAACTATATAAACTGGAGATGATCAAGAGATAACAGACACACCAGCGTGCAGATCCTCCCAACAGACTATGAAGTGAGCACTGTTATTACCTGTTTTATTCCCAACTCTGTCTTCAGAATCTTACCCATAAATCCCCGTGTCACGGGAAGAGGAATTTGAACGAGATCCCCGGGCCAAAACCGGAATTGTTCTTGGAGCAACGCGTATGTATTGCCGCCTAGTGGCAGCTCCCAGCTCCCGCGCAGCTTGTAGCCTTTTCGCCCCTAGAAAGAACCGAGTCGGGCTTGAGTCAGCGGGGCGGGGCCTCCGACGGGGCGGGGCGGGGCGCGCAGGCTTCTCGCTGGCCACCTCTGTTTGGGTCCTACCGGCGTCTTTGGCGACCTCGGGGAAGATGGCGGCGCCCTGGTGGCGTGCCGCGTCGCTGGCGAGTGGGAGATGCCGGGGCTTCGGCACCTCGGGTGAGTGGCGTGGGGTTAGGGAGCTCTCGGGCTCCCGCGGCTCCAGCCCTGGGCTCCCGCGTGACACCCGCCCCCGGTCTCTGCCCTCCCGCAGCCGCCCTCGGCCGCCGGACACCCCCTCTCGGGCCTATGCCCAACGAGGACATTGACGTGAGCAACCTGGAGCGGCTGGAGAAGTACCGGAGCTTCGAGCGGTACCGCCGCCGGGCCGAGCAGGAGGCGCGGGCCCCGCACTGGTGGCGGACCTACCGGGAGTATTTCGTGAAGGAGACAGGTGCGGGGCGACGCCGGCCACCGAGCCGGCCGGGCGGGCTGCGGAGCCGCTAGCGTGATCTCCCCCAGCCTCCGCCCCTGTGTGCTCCACGACCGGGGACGAGCTGCTTGCCACCCCGAGGCCCCTGGTTTCCACGTGTTTTGGCCCGCCCACTTGGACCAAACTCTTAAGGGTGTCTAATAAGTCCACGAACGAAATCCTTTCCCGACGATTCCCCCGCCCCGTTCCGTGTCGGAACACGCCTGTGTGATCCTGAAATGCTCTGCCACGCCGAGTCCCGTCATCATCCTCCCCGCAGAGAGGCGGCACCCTGAGCACAGAATCCTGCCTGTGTTGCCCATGGTTTGGATCCTTGCACCCACACGGTGCATGGGACGACGTGGGTAGCAATCTGCTAAGTGAAATGAAAACCTGGGAGAAGTGACTTAGGGACCCGACCCTAAAGGATTTACTTAGTGTTACTTTTGTATTTTGAGATAGGATCTTGCTGTGTAGGATGGCCTGGGATAAACTGTAATCCAGACTGGCCTCAAATGGGCAGCGATCCTCTTGCCTTAAGAGAACTGGGTTTGTTGGCATTCATCAGTACATGAAACTACCATACATCCTTTAAAAAAAGTTTAGCCAGACTGTGGTGTCCAAGCGAGTTCCAGGACACCCTGTCTCAAAAAAAAAATGTAGGTCAGTGGGAGCAAGACACTGGTAAGTCAACCTCTGGCTTCCCCACGAATCAACAGACACAACACACTCTCGAATTTAAAGCAAAGATGTGGTTCTGCTTCCCCCAACAGAAGCATAAGCTGCCTGTCTTCTCTAGATCCCAAAGACAAAATCGACATTGGATTGCCTCCGTCTAGGGTCGTTCGGACCCAACAGCTACAGGAGCGGAAACAGTTTATCCGGGAGCTTCGCGCCAGCGTGGAAGAAGAACGGGCAGCGCGTCTTCGCACAGGTGAGCGAGCCTCCCCGAAGAGGGCCCTGGGCGCCGGCTCTCCCCACGGTCCCAACTGTGCTGTGCTCCCCAGCCAGCATCCCACTGGATGCAGTACGGGCCGAATGGGAGAGGACCAGTGGGCCCTACCACAAGCAGCGCCTCGCCGAGTACTACGGCCTCTACCAAGACCTGTTCCACGGTGCCACCTTTGTGCCCAGGGTCCCCCTTCACGTGGCTTACGCCGTGGGAGAAGAGGACCTGGTCCCAGTGTATCACGGGAATGAAGTGACTCCAACCGAGGTAATGCTCATGAGCACACTTACATGTGCACACTTCTCCATGCTCTGTGCACACATATGTGGGCACACTTCTCCATGCTCTGTACACATACATGGGCACACTTCTTCATGCTCTGTGCACACACACACAGACACACTTCTTCATGCTCTGTACATACATACGTGGGCACACTCCTTCATGCTCTGGGCACACATACGTGGGCACACTCCTCCGTGCTCTGGGCACACATACGTGAACACACTCCTCCATGTTCTGGGCACACATACTTGGGCACACTTCTCCATGCTCTGTGCACATATATGGACACTTCTCCATGCTCTGGGCACACATACGTGGGCATACTTCTCCGTGCTCTGGGCACACATACGTGGGCACACTCCTCCATGCTCTGGGCACACACACTTGGGCACACTTCTCGGTGCTCTGGGCACACACACTTGGGCACACTCCTCCGTGCTCTGGGCACACATACTTGGGCACACTTCTCCGTGCTCTGTGCACATATATGGACACTTCTCCATGCTCTGGGCACACATACGTGGGCACACTTCTCGGTGCTCTGGGCACACACACTTGGGCACATTTCTCGGGGCTCTGGGCACACACACTTGGGCACACTTCTCGGGGCTCTGGGCACACATACTTGGGCACACTCCTCCATGCTCTGGGCACACACACTTGGGCACACTCCTCCATGCTCTGGGCACACACACTTGGGCACACTTCTCCATGCTCTGTGCACATATATGGACACTTCTCCATGCTCTGGGCACACACACTTGGGCACACTTCTCGGTGCTCTGGGCACACACACTTGGGCACACTCCTCCATGCTCTGGGCACACACACTTGGGCACACTCCTCCATGCTCTGGGCACACACACTTGGGCACACTTCTCGGTGCTCTGGGCACACACATCACAGAGTCGGTGGCATCACAGTCTAGGTTTCACGTTTTGTTACTCTGTCTTTGGTCTGGGAATCAACATCCTGAAAGTCACAGAACTAGGACAGAGAAGCGCCACCAGAGCCTGCTCTGTGCGCTGCCACTGTCTTTGCAGTGGCTCCCGTGTCTCTTGTCACATGGTCCTTACGGTTCAGATCTCAGGATGAACAGCGGGCAGGCAGTCTGTAAACACCTCTTTCCCTGTCTGAAGAGCTGTGGGGCCTGGTTTGAGGCAGTGCGGGCACTCTCTGCTCCAGGGCCCTGCAAGCTCCAGCCCTCCACAGAGAAACTCTAGCGTGGTGAGGATGAGCGCTGCCTTCATCTCTCCCTGCTAGGCTTCCCAGGCCCCAGAGGTGACCTATGAGGCAGACAAGGACTCCTTGTGGACACTACTTCTTACCAACTTGGGTAGGTGTCAGGGGACACCCAGCCTCCAGTCTGCCTCCCCTGCGCCAAGAACCTGGGGATCTGGGTGGGGCGGCACACAACAGCCCTGGCTCCTTTAAGAGGAGGTCTCTGTTTCCGTGCAGATGGACACCTGCTGGAGCCGGATGCTGAGTATGTTCATTGGCTGCTGTGAGTACCTGGGGGGAGCCAGATGGGGTCCCAGGAGGCCCTGGGTTAGAGTATGTGCTTGAATACAAGTACTGGTGACAGTGGCACAGCCTGGTGTGGTGACCACGCCTTTAATCCTAGCACCCTGGAGGCATAGGCAAGCAGATCTCCTGAGCTTGACGTTGAGTAAAGAGACCCTGTCTCAGAAGGAAACAAAACGGCGCCGCAGCCCTGCTCGGGCCTCACAAGCCTCTTCACTGCGCGGAGCTATTTCTGTCCTGGGAAACTGGGGATGTCGCCTCATGCTTCACCTGCCCGGGGATGCCGTGACAGTCAGTGGTGAAACAGACCACAGCAGCTCATGGTGGCGGCAGCGCTCAGACATTCAGCCCGTGGGTGTTTCTGCCCGTTGCAGTCTGCATTGGGCTGCCTTTCCTTCTTTTCTTTGGTGGCCTCGGCTCTGAGCACAGGCCAGGGGCAGGGGTCATGCAGGCTCTCTAAGCTTTGGGAACCCTCTGTAATTGAGGTCAGTGATTGGGCCTTGTCCCCCGCCCCCAACTTCAGTTATCCACCTATTAGCAGGGCTCTCTGGAGAGTTGTGGCTGGGCAAGGGGTACAGTGGCTACCTCAGCATCAGGCTGGGAAAGTGCCTGACATAGCCCTGGGGCATGGAGAGCAAAACAGCCCAAAGTGGTGTGGCTTCCTGACGTAAATGACGGGGCAGACACCCCAGTTCCCATTCCGAGTGAGCCAGCTGCTTGTTTTGTCACTGCTGTGGTGGTCTTGTTTTTGTTTCTGTTTCTTGGTTTGTTTGTTTTGTTTTTAGTTTTTGCAGAAGACTCCAAGTCTAGTCTTCTATTTGTTTGGTTTTGGTTTTTGGAAATAGGGTTTCTCTGTATAACTTTGGAGGCTGTCCTGGCACTCATTCTGTAGACCAGGTTGGCCTCGAACACACAGAGATCCGCCTGCCTCTGCCTCCCGAGTGCTGGGATTGAAGGCGTGTGCCGCCACACATACATGCCTGATGCCTGTAGCTTTGGGTTCCCTGGGAGTACAGATGGCTGTGAGCCTCCATGTGGGTGCTGGAAATTGAACCTGGGTCTTCTGGCGGAGCAGCCGGTTCTCTGAGAACTAACCACTGAGCCATCTCTCCAGCCCCTCTGGTTTCTGAACCATTCTGCTCCCTAATGTTTGTAGTGTGTCCCTGAGGTCCTGGCAGTCTGCATGCTAGCGACTGTCAGGGTCTGGCGCCTGGGGCGATTCTCCTAGGGTGCAATACTCTCCTGCTGCCTCCCTGGCCTGGCCGTTAATGGATACTTTCCTCCTACCAGGACCAACATCCCAAGCAACAGGGTTGCTGAAGGCCAGGAGGCGTGTCCCTACCTCCCGCCCTTCCCTGCTCGAGGCTCTGGCTTCCACCGCTTCGCCTTCCTGCTCTTCAAGCAGGACAAGCTGATCGACTTCTCCGAGGACACCCGTCCCTCACCCTGGTAATCTACTCTCCTGCTGGGACCCTGAGGGTCGCCCCTGCTTCTTCCTCCTCTTGGCATAGGCCTTGAGACCGGCAGAAGTTCGTCGCGCTGGGTGGACTGCAGGGGCTTTCCAGGGCTGCCTGTAGCGCTCCCTCCCACGCTCAGATGATCCCATCTCCTCACAGCTACCAGCTGGCCCGCAGGACCTTCCGCACTTTTGACTTCTACAAGAAACACCAGGAAGCCATGACCCCTGCTGGCCTGGCCTTTTTCCAGTGCCGCTGGGATGACTCGGTCACCCACACCTTCCATCAGCTCTTAGGTAAGGGCATTCGTTTTAGGGCTTGGTGGCCTGGCAGGCCTGAGGGCAAAAAACCTCCTGCCTTGCTTTGCAAGCCAAGGTGGGCAGTTCCTGGCAGGGGTCCACCCCGTCTCTTTACCTTTCTCGTAGATATGCGGGAGCCGGTGTTTGAATTTGTGCGGCCACCCCCCTTACCACCCCAAACAGAAGCGCTTCCCTCACGAGCAACCCCTACGCTATCTGGACCGCTACAGGGACAGTCATGAGCCCACCTATGGGATCTACTGAGAGGCAGAGTTCATTCAGCTCACAGGGTGAGCTGGCATGGTGGGAAGAAAGCCACGTCTCAGGAGATCCAAGCCATCTGGAGCCCTGTCTGACACAGTCCCTTGTAGGGCCTCTCGATTCAGGACCAGGGCCTTGCTGGAAGGAGCTTCGGTTGTGAATAAAGTACTTTTTCCTCATGCCAGTGCATACACACCTGTGCACATCATCAGAACCCTCTAGGGAGGCTGTAGTGCTCTGTGGGTGAGAAGCCTGGGAGCTGGGGTGCATGTGAGAAGCCAAGCTTTGCCTGTCCTGTAAGTTGTAAATAGACGTTTCCTGTCCTGATCAACCAGCCCCAAATACACACAGAAAGGCTTAATACTACTTAAAATGCTGGGTCAATAGCTCAGGCTTATCACTACCTAGCTCTTACATTTTGAATTAACCCATGTCCTTATCTATGCTCTGCCACGTGGCGGTACCTTCTTTAGCATGGCGCCTTCCTCTACATCTGCTGGCGCTCCTCTAACTCCAGCTCTCCCCATCCCATCATTATCAGTTTGGCTTTCCCAGCTAACTGTGTCCTGTTTAGCTGTTGACCAGTCAGCTTGCTTAATAAACAATCACAGTGACTTATATTCACACAGTGTAAAGGAATATTCCACAGCAATAAGCTTTGTAATCTTCATGGAGGCACGCCTGCCCTGGGCTGGGGATACACCATCAGACCCAGCAACAACTTGTTGGGAGTTTAGCATAATCTCAGCTCCAGCCAAGGCCTCGAACCCCACTGTGTGTCGAGATGTCTTTCTGGCTCTAAAGGAGAAGGCCTTGCAGCAAGCCAGTTCTGATTCCCACTGCCCAGGGAGGCCCTGGGACCCCATCTGCTCTGCTCGGCTGTAGAGGGATGGCAGTCACCCAGTTAAACAGGCTGTAGGAACAACCGGGCACCGGGAACTTACCCAGCCAAGGCTGGGCTGTGGCTTAGAGGAACCCTAGAAGAGGGACAGGTGCTTTGTTCGGGTAGCTGGGGTAAGACTTCAGAGGGCTGCAATAGTGAGACCTTACCAAATAAACAAGGGGCCTCAGCTGGGTGTCATGACTGACGCACACCAAGGAGACAGGGACAGCCAGGTCTACACAGAAAGCATACCTCGAAAAACCAAGACAAACCAGCCTGGTCTACAAGAGCTAATTCTAGGACAGCCTCCAAAGCCACAGAGAAACCCTGTCTCGAAGGAAAAAAGAAAAACCAAGACAAGAGAGAGAATACAGGTTCTATGAAAAAAGGTTAAATGGGCTTTCATGACTAGAAATTTCCACATCATTTTAAAAGAATCAAAATTGGGGCTGGAGAGATGGTTCAGCAGTTAAGAGCACTCACTGTTCTTCCAGAGGTCCTGAGTTCAATTCCCGGCAACCACATGCTGGCTCACAACCACCTTGAATGAGATCTGGTGCCCTCTGCTGGCATGCAGAAGATTGTATACAAATAAATAAATTTTAAAAAAAAGAATAAAAATTACACATTTCCCAGAGAAGGGAAGATACCCTGCTCCAGAAAAAACAAAAGACAAAAAAACAAACAAACAAACAAAAAAACACCGGGGGCCGGGTGAGGAGCGTTTACCAAGTGTACCAAGCTCCTTAATGGACGACCCTCACTTGCTGTCTCGTTTACTGGCTATGAAAACACCTCCAGCAATGACATCTCAGAGATGGCCCTAGGTCCAGTGAGGTTCCAAGTTTCGGTCCCTTGAAGCAAAGGCCAGATCGTCAGGGGGAGCTGCGAGCGAGCACCAGGAGCTAGAGAAGGAGCATGGAAATGCCAGGGTGGACCCATGGGAGCAGCACCCCGCTCCCAGCGCGTCAGAAGGCGGGCAAGGGTGACTTGGATGCCTGCCAAGGAACGTTCTGGGCCGCTGGAAGGCAGCGCCTGTGGTGTTTGGCACGCTGTCTTCCTGGGCTGTCCTTCGCCCTTCCGCAGCAGTCGCCCCGGTGCCTTCAAGAGGTCTGCGCCCTTTGGCCTCACTTCCGCCATGGCCGCTCAGCTGCTGGAGGAAGACCTGGTGACTTGCTCCATCTGCCTGGGTCGCTACCGCGACCCGGTGACGCTGCCTTGCGGGCACAGCTTCTGCGGGGACTGCATCCAGGATTCGTGGCGCTGCTGCGAGAAGACATGCCCCGAGTGTCGCCAGCCCTTCCCCGAGGGTGCCACGCTGCGCCGCAACGTGACGCTGAGCACCTTGCTGCAGGCGCTGCCTCGCGTGCTGCACGCGCAGCCCCCAGCCATGCTGCCACCGGAGCCCAGAGCCGGCCACTGTCCGCGCCACGGGAGGCCGCTCGAGTTCTTCTGCCGCACCGAGGGCCTCTGCGTGTGCAGCGCTTGCACAGTGCACGAGTGTCGCCACCACGAGCGGGCGCTGCTGGATGTGGAGCGCCGCGGGCGTGAGGTGCGTGATGGGGCCTTTCGGAAGGCGGGGCCGTTCTCAGCCAGAGGCGGGGGCTGCCGCAGGAGGCTGCGGGTTCCTATATGAACCCCGAGGGTCTGTGCACCTGAATGTGACACGCACCCCTCCCCACGTCCTCCGAATGAACTAGAGCCAGAGTGCTAGTTAGGCCAGAGCTGGCAGCCGCGTTTGCTACCTTGCCGGCTTTCAGTAAGTGCATGCGCAGTACGCACAGTACGGAAGGGGGGCTGTGTACCGCAAATTAGCCATCTGTGCTTTCTGCCCCTCGGAGACCTAGGATCTACTCAAGGGTCAGAAAGCGTCCCAGCAAAACCGGAATGTTTCCTTCTATAGAGACAGCAGGACTTCCCTGCTGAAGAGGAGAGAGAGGTGGTGGTCTTTAGGTGACGCTTCAGGGGAGAGGGAGTGCCAGAAAAAAGAGGATGTGGGGATGAGCGCCGAGGAGCCCAGAGGCTAGCCCATGCTAGCCCATGCACTGTGGTGACAGGCAGGAGGCAGGTCCCTGAAGATCTCCAAACAGGCTTTTCAGGCCATGGGGGACCAGACCATGATGGGCAGGGTGGTGGTGTTGAGGACCCGAAGCTTCCTGTAGGGATGTGCAGGGCCTTAGCACGCTTGAAACAAGAAGGCAGTGACGTCAGTTTTCAGGGGCTAAGAGGTGAGATCTGAGGGAGGGAAGCCTCAGCTGGAAAGCAAGTGAAAGAAGTGAATGGGAGCCCAGTGCCCAGTGGAGATGGGTAGCAGTAGGGACAGCTAGGGAGAGGGCTGCTGTGGGTGTGGGCTGCTGTGTGCTGGGCTGCTGTGGGTGCGGGCTGCTGTGTGCTGGGCTGCTGTGGGTGCGGGCTGCTGTGGGTGCGGGCTGCTGTGGGTGCTGGCTGCTGGATGGATGGAGAGAGCAGCTTGGTGTGGGATTTGGAGGGTGTGTGGGTGCTGGAGGACAGGCGCCTGCTGAGAGCTGGGGGGGTGGCAGCTGGGCAGGAGGGAGGAAGTTGGACGTCATTATAGGACCCCGGAAGGAGTAGAGACTTGCTGGGCAAGGGACGCCCTGCCTTCGATTGTATAGACTCTGACAGCTGCAGAGACAGTGGCCAGAGCACCGTGGGTTACAGGAGGGAGGGCGGGGTCTCTAGGAGCTCCATGCTGCTGAGAGGTTTGGATAGCGGGCAAAAGTGAGCATGAAATTGGCCCTATCTATGATGGTGCCCTTGCCCGTGGTCACCTCAGCCAGCGGTCTGAGGCTGAAGTCACCAGGGATGGGACAGAGAAGGAGAGGCGTGTCCTGAGAGTCACAGGAAGATGGCACGTGGACAACAAGGAGAAGGGTGACTGGGAAGCCTGATGGATAGGGAAGGAAGGCGGGGCTGCTGGAGGGGGCTTGCACAGTGGCGGGTGCAAACTACAGATGAGGGAGAATTGCTTGGGAAGAGATTTTGGAGCTGGAAACAGGGCCAGGGAGCAAGTGGCCTTGGAAAGAAAGAGAGAGAGAGGGAAGGAGGGAGGGAGGGAGGAAGAAAGAAAGAAAGAGAGAGAGAGAGAGAGAGAGAGAGAGAGAGAGAGAGAGAGAGAGGAACTTTCAGAGGGTTGGGGCGTAAGCCCTGGAGCTCCTGAAGCTCCCGAGAGTGAGGACGGGACATGACTGCTCGTGACAGGAGGCCAAGCTGAGCCCTGAAGTTTGCAGGGAGGTCAGAAGCCGGCAGCGAGCAGGCTGCTTCAGCCAGGTGGCTCACGGGTGGGGGTGGGGACGCGGAGTTTTGCTTGAGAGAGGATGGGAGGCACGGGGAGCTCAAGGGCCCGCTAGCCTGGCGTACACAGTGGCAAGGGAGCCGGTCTCAAGGTAGAAGGTGAGGACTGAGACTCCCAAGGCTGCCCTCTGACCTCACACGCCACTCTGGCATTCATGCATCTATGCACCTACGCACACTTTGCACAGAAGTCTTCATTTGTAAGATTTAAAGAAACAAATTATCTGGGCAGTGGTGGCGTATGCCTTTAATCCCAGCACTCGGGAGGCAGAGGCAGGAGGATCTCTGTGAGTTCAAGATCAGCTTGGTCTACATAGCAAGTTCCAGGCCAGCCAGGGCTGTCTAGTGAGTGAGACCCTGTCTCAAAGCAACAACGATAAGGTTTTGGAAAGGGGTTCAAAGCAGGTAACGAGACTCTTAGCCGGGCATAAGCTTCAGCTCCCGTGACAGCACATTTTGGTCCCCAAGGGAAACAGCTCAACCAAACAGTGGGGGTCCCAGCTTCCCTTTGGGCTCCATGTGCAGAACTGATCACTGCTCAGACAACTCTGGTCATCTATCTGTGCTGCAGGCTGTAAACCAGACTTACCGCTCTCATTTGTTGCCTGGGGTGGGGGGTGGGGTTATGGACCAGAGAAGGTGGGAGGGGGAAATCTCTGCTCAGGCCACCCAACCTGCAAGAAGCCAGAGTGGACCGGAAGTGGGGTCTTCAACCAGAATTCCGCATCCCTCGTACACCATCCTGCTCCATGCAGGAGCGGTCAGGCTCCCTGGGACTCTGGCCTGGTTCTGGCAGTCCATCATGAGTGGCAAGAGACAAGTGCCCGGTGTCCATGTGGATGGTGGGGTATGAGGTGAACTGTGCAGCCAACCCCAGCCTTCCCTTGTTGCCTGCCCTCTGGGTGGGTACCACAGGACCAGCTGAAAGCTAGAGTGATGGTTACCCGGCAACAGGTCACCGAGGCAGAGAGCCAGCTTCAGGAGCTGCAGCAGCGAAGCAGCCAGATTGAGGTCTGTCTCCCGCCTCCATGTCCGCATGCTGGCCCTACCACCCGGTTCCTGAGTGGCCTGGAAAATGCCCCCCCCGCGGGGGTAGGGAATGGGGAGTCGAGCTAGAAGCCGGGCCCCAGTGGGGAGGAGGTTCCAAGGGCCCTGACTGACCGCCAGTGGGTGACTGAGGACCTGGCCTGCCTTGCCTTTGTGCTGAGACTGGCCACCCTGAGCTTCCCTCCGGTGCCCACAGAGTTCAGCCTCCACCCTGGCCTCGGTGGTGGCCAGCAGATTCAGCAGCCTGCTCCAGGCACTGGAGAAGCGGAAGGCCTTGACACTGAGGAACATAGAGGCAGCCAAGGAGCAGGCGCTGGGCCAGGTTCTGGATGAGACACGGCGGCTAACCAGCCACCTGGAAGCCTTGTCTCAGTATGACCGCAGCGTCCAGGGCCTCCTGGGGCAACGGGATGACTGCATCTTCTTCCAGGTACCAGATCTCGGGGCAGGGGCAAGGGCCTTGATTGCATACCTTGTACCCCTCCCGCTGACACTGTCCCCGGGTTCAGGGGTTACAGCAGCTCTCTGAGCCTGCAGAGCCTCCTGGACCACTGACTGCTCCGCAGTGGGACGAAGAGCAGCAGCTGAGCAACGCCAATGAGTCGCTTAGTCCGCTGTGGGAGCTGCTCCTCGGAGACAGACCCTCCAGGGAGGCCGGCAAACCTGCCCGGGCTGGCCCTGCGGGTAAGGCTGACTTCTCCTTGCCCTCTGGGTCCTACCCTTCCCCCCCCCGCTGGTGGGTAGAAGTGGGGAGTCAGGGGTCATTCCTACCCACTCCCCTCATTCCGATTTGCTCCTTAGAGGCCTTGGGCCCCCCGCCACCAGTCCCCAGCGCAATGTGTCCACTGAGGAAGAAGCTCTGGCAGAGTAAGGATGCCCGTGTGTGCCTGTGTGCGTGTGTGCTCGCCTGTGTGCCTGTGAGAGCACATGTATGCATGCATGTGCCTGTGTGTATATGGGGCGAAGGACCTGACCTGACTGTCCTGCCCATGGGCCTGCCTGGCCCAGGCCCCACCTGTGGCAAGACGTAATCCTCGTCCACATCCACCCTGGGGCAGATGTGGCCAGCACGGGGTTAAAGGGCAGATTCTGACCACATGCGCCTAGGGTACATCACAGTCGGACCCACTTAACACTATGTGATCTCAACTCTCTGGGCCTCAGTTACCCTTTTGTAAAATGGGAGGATGCAGAAGACGTAGAAGGGGCTGGAGAGACGGCTCAGAGGTTAAGAGCACTGACTGCTCTTCCAGAGGTCCTGAGTTCAATTCCCAGCAACCACATGGTGGCTCACAGACATCTACAATTCAATCTGGTGCCCTTTTCTGGCATGTGATAAATATGTGATAAATAAATAAATCTTTGAAAAAAATGTATTAAAAAAAAAAAAGACGTAGAAGATCCCAGCTCAGAGGTAGCAATGAACAACTAATTCGCTAGTACAGTGATGCCTGGCGCTCTGCCCTCAGTGCCCGGTCAACATTTGAATGGTCCACAAATGGATCCACAGTAGCTCTCTAAGCTCTGGAAAAGAAAAATGACCCCTTTGCCTACTTCTGTTCATCTCTTTGGAACAGATTATCGCAATCTGACCTTTGACCCGGACACTGCAAACCAGTACTTGTACTTGTCCCACAAGGACCAGCAGGTGACACACGGTTTCCAGGCCCAGAGCCCGGCCAGGCCAGGCAGCTTCGAGCCGTGGCAGGTGCAATGCACGCAGAGTTTTCAGACTGGGCAACACTACTGGGAGGTGCGTGCCTCCGATCACTCCGTGACGTTGGGCGTCACCTACCCAAAACTATCACGCCGGAAGGTGGGGAACCACACGGACAACATCGGCCGCGGACCTCACTCCTGGGGCCTCTGCATCCAGGAGGACAGTGCCCAGGCCTGGCACAATGGCAGGGTGGAGCGCCTGCGTGGGGCGCCTGGCCGTCTCCTGGGCGTAGATTTGAACTTTACCTCTGGCTGCCTGGACTTCTACAGCCTAGAGCCACAGACAGAGCGACTGCACACCTTCCATGCGGTGTTCAGCCAGCCTCTCTTCCCCGTCTTCTGGCTGCTTGAGGGGAGGACCCTCACTCTCTGCCATCAGCCCGAGGCCGAGCTCCCTCCGGAGCCCAGGGAAGACGGCTCAGCACTCAGCTGACGGAGGCGCAGACAGCCACCATGCCCGTGTGCCCAAGAGTGGCTCGCCTCTGGCACGGAGACTGAAGGCCACCATTCTAAAAGGAAAGGCTTCTGGCCTCTCTGTTGGCTCAGAGGACACAGATGGAAGGGGACCATCTGAGTCAAAGCTTACCTTTTACTCTCTTTGAAGGGGAAGCCCCAGCCCCCCAAAAAAAGCCAAGTTCTGGGCATCGCCTAGACATCCGTCTTACTTACTGTTCTGTTGCTGTGAAGAGACACCATGACCCAGGCAAGTTTTACAAAAGAAAGCATTTAACTGGGGGCCTTGTTTACCGTTTCAGAGGGTGAGTCCATGGTCGCCATGGCAGGAAGCAGATAGGCATGGCGCTGGAGCAGTAGCTGAGGGCTTCACATCCTGATCCACAGGCAGCAGGCAGAGAGAGAGAGAGAGGGAGGGAGGTGGGAAGGAGGGAGAAACTAAGTCTGGTGTGGGCTTTTGAAACCTCAAAGCCACTGACAGTGACACACCTCCTTCAACAAAGCCACACCTCCCTTAACAAGGCCACACCTCCCTTAACAAGACCACACCTCCTTCGACAAGGCCACACCTCCCTCAACAAAGCCACGCCTCCTCATCCTTCCCAAACAGCCCTGCCAGCTGGGGTCTAAGTGCAGGCCGTGGAGAGCAGATGTGGTGATGGGTGCAGGTGCTTCGGATGTGAGCAGCTGCCCTTGCCCTCCCAGAACAAGCTTCCATGAGGGTCCTGGGATGGGTTTTGTTCATATTTCTGAAAGCAGAATTTTTTTTTTGTACTGGGGTTAGAACCTGGAGTGTTTTGAATGCTAGACAAGAGCTCCTTGGCCAGGCATGGTGGTGCACACCTTTAATCCCAGAATTCAGGAAGCAGAGGCAGGTGGTCTGAGTTCCAGGACAGCCGGGGCCACACAGAGAAACCCTGCCACGAAAAAACAAAAACAGAGTTCCTCCCTCTCTCACGACCCCATCCCCAGCCTGGTATGCTTGATGTTGTTTTTTGTCTTCTGTGACAGGGTTTCTCTGTGTAGTCTGGCTGTCCAGAAACTGGCTCTGTAGACCAGGCTGGCCTCCAACTCACAGAGATCCTCCAGTCTCTGCCTCTGCCTCCCGAGTGCAGGATTAAAGGCATGCGCCACCAACGTCCGGCCTGGTATGATTTCCTCGCTTGTGCCGCGCTCTGATTCTGGTGATGTTTACAAGGATGCCCACACTCGCAGCTTCTTTTCTTTTGTTATTTCTTAAGTTTTATATGCTCATGGGTAAATGTCACACAACAAAGGACTTTAGAAATTCTTTTCTCTTTATTGAGTGTGCATCTGGGGATGGGGTGGCTGGTGTGTTCCAGGACATACGAGTGGAGGTCAGAGAATAACGTTCTGGAGTAGGTCCTCTCCCTCCACCATGTGGATCTGGGCATGGACCTCAGACTGTCAGCTTGGCGGCCTCCCACCAGCCCGCAATAACTGTTTGTTGTCGTTTGAGACAGGGTATCTCTATGTAACCCTAGCTGGCTTAGAACTCACTATGTAGACCAGGCTGGACTCCAGCTCACAAAGATCTGCCTGCCTCTGCCTTCTGAGTGCAGAAATTAAAGTCTTGAACCACCATCACTGACCCAATAACAGTTTATAAGGGGTAATATGTGTAATAATATATACATTAGGAAATATATATTAGTGTTTCATATAAATGTTTAAACATTTTCCTGTTTTTTCCTCAAGACAGGGTTTCTCTGTACTGTTTGGAGGCTGTCCTGGAACTCACTCTGTAGAGCTGGCTGGTCTTGAACTCACAGAGATCCGCCTGCCTCTGCCTCCCGAGTGCCGGGATGAAAGGTGTGCACCATCACCACCAGCTAAACATTTTTCTTTAAAATCTTTATGTATGTGTGTATTTTGCCCGAGGCCAGAAGAGGGCGTCAGATCTCCTGGAACTGGAGTTACAGACTTTTGTGAGCCTCTGTGTGGGTGCTGGGAACCAAACCCAGATCCTCTGCAAGAGCAGCCAGTGCTCCTAAGCACTGAGCCTTCTCTCCAGCCCCGAGACAGCCTTGCTATGTAACCTAGCTGACTGGAACTCCCTGTGAAACCCAGTGTGCCTGCAAACTCACTGCAGCCCAGGCGTCATCCTCCTGCCTGTCACGTCCAAGTACTGCAATCAAAGGCATGGCCCACCCACTCAACACGGCCAGACTGTTTCTGGCCTGTGCTTTGTTTCTGTTTGACTTTTTGTGGGGTACGGGCTTGGGAACGGGTCTTCCTCTATAGCCCAGACTGGTTTGGAACTTGCATCGTCCCCAAGCTGTCCTCAATTGAGTGGCAATCTCCTGCTTAACCCCCCAAGCCTTAGGATTACAGGCATGAACTGCGAGCCAGCAGACCGCTGGGCTTCTTGTCACTGTTTCTGAAGCCATCCACACTGGGACAGCCCCCTTCCTGTAAGGGGCAGGGTCAACGGCCTGCACCTGCTCCACCTCCCCTCAGGGCTTGCCACGAGATGTGTAACCTGTCAGGTTTCTGTTGCCTCCCTTGTGGTTTTGGAGGCAGGTGTGAGCACAATCTTGCACAGCTCTGAAGTAACTTTGTGCCACGAGTGACAAATCATGTTGAAAGACTTCAGACACCAGGCAACAGTGTCTTCGGAAATGAACTGTCCAGATACCTGTAGTTGGATTTTCTTTGGACTGCCAGTTCCTGAATATTGGCACCGAGACTTATTATCAAGTGTGAAACCTTGGCCTTATCGTAGGCTTGTTCCCAACTAACTCTTTACACTTAAATCAGCCGGCGTTAGTGTTGCACGCCTTTAACCCAGCACTCGGGAGGCAGAGGCAGGCGGATCTCTGTGAGTTTGAGACCAGCCTGGTCTGCAGAGCGAGTTCCAAGACAGTGTCCAAAACAATATAGAGAAACCCTGTCTCGAAAAACCAAAAAGAACAACAACAACAAAAAAAAAAAACCAAAAAAAACAACAACTTATATCAAGCCATCTATAGTAATCTACATATGTTCTGCCTCATAGCTTGTTACCTCTCCTCCACACTGCACATCTGGCTTCCTCTGTATCTAGCTGGCGAATTCCCTGAGCCCCAGATTCTTCCCAGAGTTCCTATCTCTGCCTGGAAGCTCTTTATTAAACCAATCAAAGACAGGCAAAGACAGAGACACATCTTCACGCAGTGTGATCAAATTTCCAGTGACACATGCCATCACTGTAATTGATTTTTTAAAACTCTTTGCTCTTTGGGGGCCCACCACCCAGCTCCCAAATAAATACACGGAGACTTATTCTTACTTATGCATGCCTGGCCTTAGCTTGGCTTGTTTCTAGCCAGTTTTTCTAACTTAAATTATCCTGTTTCTCTTTAACTACATTTTGCCTCTGGGCTTTTTACCTTTCTTCATTTTATATTTTTCTTTCCTTCTTACTCTGTGGCTGGTTGGGTGGCTGTGTGGCTGCCCCTGGAGTTCTCCTCTCCTCCTTTTCCTCCTCCTCGATCTCTTCCCTAGATTTCTCCTGGTTTTTTTTCCTCTGTCTACCAACCCCACCTACCTCTCTACTGCTTAGCTATTGACTGTTAAACTCTTTATCAGACCAATCAGGTGTTTTAGACAGGCAAAGTAGCACAGCTTCACAGAGTTAAACAAACGCAACATAAAAGGATGCAACACATCTTTGCATCATTAAAACAACTGTTCCACAGCATAAATGAATGTAACACATCTTAAACTAATATTCCTCACCATATCCCATGCCAGGCATGGTGGCGTACACCTTTAATCCCAGAACTCAGAAAACAGAGGTAGGCAAATCTCTGTAAGTTTGAGGTCAGCCTGGTGTCCATAGCTAGTTTCAGGCCAGTCAAGCCTACATAGTGAGATGCTTGTGAGGAGCCGCCCTCGCTATCGCTATTGCCGTTAGAAGATGGCGCTGACATCCACTGTCAGTTGGAGTTAACTGTCGCTGTCAGTTGGAGTTAACTGTCGCTGTCAGTTGGAGTTAACTGTCGCTGTCAGTTGGAGTTAACTGTCGCTGTCAGTTGGAGTTAACTGTCGCTGTCAGTTGGAGTTAACCGTTTAAACTGTGCCTCTCCCGTGACGTCATCTGGGGTGATGTGCAAACCACCAATCCCGGCTCTACACATCTCACTCGGAGCTCCTAGGCTTATATAAGGGGCTGGGTTTCTTAGCTTGGGGTCTCCCTCTAAGAAGCTGATCATCTATCTCTCAAGATGCATTAAAGCTTTACTGCAGAAGGATCCGAGTGTTCTGCGTCGTTCTTGCTGGCGAGACGGTAGCGCGGGACATCTGGTGCCGAAACCCGGGAACTCTTCAACATCGCCGGCGCCGCGGAGACCCCTCGGAAAACGGGGCGGATTCAGAACTGCAGGGACGTAGGTTCAGAGAGGTATGCTTTATCCTGAACAACCCTTTTCTCGACTTTGGCCTTAGTTTGTCATCACCGTGGGACGGGTCAGTGGAGGCTTTGGTGCTAGTCCTGTTTGTCCTTCTCCTTCATCGTGGCTGGTGCTGACAGAACGGCGCTGTCCGTCTGGCGCTGTCCATCTGGCGCTGTCCATCTGGCGCTGTCAGTCTGGTGCTGTCAGTCTGGTGCTGTCAGTCTGGTGCTGTCAGTCTGGTAACGGAGTTGAGCGCGTTTTTTAGATAAGCTGTCAGCGCGATGGGGTCGTCACAGTCAGTGGTTACAGCCTTACAGACTGTGCTAAAACAAAGAGATCTTAAAATTGCACCACGAACACTTCAAAATTTTGTGAAGGAGGTAGATAGAGTGGCACCATGGTATGCTTGTTCCGGGTCCCTCACTGTGGCCTCATGGAACAAGCTAGGTAAAGAACTAGACAGGAAGCATGCAGAAGGAGATCTCTGCTTAGGTACCAAAGCCATTTGGAAGCTAGTTAAAAACTGCTTGGAGGATGAGGCCTGTCACCCTGCTATAATAGAAAGTCAGGGAACCTTAGAGGAAGTTCAGGATAGCATGTCAGAAACTGAACGGAGTGAGAGAATGGGAGCTCGCAAAAGAAAAGACATGTCTAAGAAAAAAGGCCCTCCCCAGGAAGTTAAGAAAGGGGGAGAGAAAGAAGGAGTTATCATTCACCCCTTAACAAATCTAAGAAAAAGAAAAAGCCAGAATCTAGTCTATACCCTGCAGTAGAGCTAGAAGCCTTGGAGCTAGATAATTCTG